TAACAACTAAACCTATATTGTTTAATACTTACTTACACATTTTTAATCATACATTACGAATAACAAATATTAACATATATTTAAAACGATATTTGATTTATGATTTGTTAATAAGTGCCATCTATCTCCATTCGTTCGTTAATTGTCAAATGATACGGGACGCTCTGATTGGTCGGTAAACTGTTCATATATTTTTTCGCCATTTTGTTGTTTTTGAATATTGTTATTGGTCTTTCTAAGCAGTAAGCGCAAGTGAAGTAAGTTTTAATTAGTAAACAGTGGATTAATTTATTAACGAATTCTGTAAAATTATAGCTGTGAGCTCTGTGCTGGTGATATGTGTTTATTGAAATTAGTTATTACGCTGTATCAACCTTCGTGGAACTTACACTTGTAGTTGTTTAGAAGGTTTTGCAGACCTTATCGTCAACACTCTATACCCTGGAAGGATATGTTCTTGTAAGTCGATTTCATTTGCTACTCTGTCGCACGAAATATATGAGGTATTTTAGACATCAAAACATAACCCTTATATATAATTTGACTCTAAAAGCGTTGTAAGATTTCCAACGATAATAAAACTTGTACAAATATGACATGATTATGTTTTAAATTGTAATTTTCAATAAAAACTTTCAGCTGACGCAATAGGCTGTGCGGGCTGCAACTATCATTGTACCTGCTTCGATCGTGAGAACGTGATGATATGTGAATGTTTCAAATGGTACGCGGGACGAACTTGTCAAGTCAATTTGAAAGGTAAATAGAGACATATGAGACTTGAGTAATCTGGAACGACCAAACTATAAAATGTACTACAGGCTTCCATATCTGAACTACTACTATTCACTATCTCTAAAATATGTTGCTTAATTAAATAAAATATGACGAGATTAACATAAATTGTTCTTAATTTGAATTTAATATTACCTATCCATAAAGGAATAATTTGATCTACGCCAGCATGTAGATCTGAATGGTTTTTTATGTCAAATGTCATGTACGAGGGTCAAACTGAAAGTTCTTAGAAAATCAAAAACTGATTATATTAGCCAGTTATTAGTTTTATTATATCTTTTCAAAATATTGTCCATTCACGTCAAGGCGCGAGGTCGGGGCTATACGGCGGGTGACCCAGTAATTCAACGTTTGATGTCGCCAAATACTCGATCGTTCGCTTGGCGGTGTGCGACGAGGCGTTGTGGTGGTGAAGGAGGATCCTACTGCGAGGTCGTTTCTCTCGAACTTTTTCTAAGACAAGTGGCAAACAATTGGTAGTGTACCATTCTGCAGAAACTGTTTTTTGATCCTCTAACACAATTGTTGCGAAATGACCTATCCTTCCAAAGAACGAGGCCATCATTTTTTTCCCGCACTTCGATCTCTCTTCATTTTAGTTGGCAACTCCTCGAAAGGACACACCCACTGAGCAGATTGTCTTTTGGTTTCAGGATCATAACAGTAAATCCAGCTTTCGTCACGTTGTTAGTATGTCGAACACAGCATTTGAGTCACCTCCATTAAATCTTTCAATCATTTTACGGCACCAATCCACACGATGGAGTTTTTGAGCCTCAGTCAAATTATGAGGTATCCACCGGGCGCAAAGCTTCCTGACCGCTAAATGTTCGTGGAGGATTTTGTGCACTTGACTCATACCGATGCCTAAGCTTGTCCGAATCTGCTGATAGGTCACTCTTATGTCAGTCTCTATCATACGCCGCACAACACAGATGTTATCTTCAGTCGTCGCCTTAGAAGGCCGTCCCTCTCGTAAATCATCATTGAGATTAGTGCGACCACGTTTAAACTTATTAAACCAGTTGTATACAGTCCCACGAGATGGGGCCTCATCGTGAAAGGCCAAACGTAGTCTATCATAACTTTCTTGTTGTCTTAAATGACATCTAAAGTCATAAAAAATCATTGCACGAAAATTTTCTCGTGTTAAATTCATGTTGACGTGACACAGACAATTTTCCGCCAAATCGTAAAACAAATGACAAATATATGAAATACCTATATACTCAGTAATATTGGTAAAGAGTTCTATTTTCAAATTTTAGAATTATTTTTTTATTATATTGTTTATAAGTGGCCAGTTCTAAGAGCTTTCAGTTTGACCCTCGTATTATAGTATTTTAGGAATACTAAATATCTGTTGTTGACAATTGGATTCTTTTAAGTAACAGTGAAAATACCATAAATAGCATTCACATAATTTATATATATTTTTTAACTTTCTACTTCCTTATGAGCTCCTAAAGTACTTTAAAGAAGTCATTAATTCACTTAACAAGGAGTAAAACAGTCCGACGCTATAGATCCTTCATCAAATATAATTAATTAAACGCGTATTGATAAACTAAAGTAACAATAATTTCTATGAATTTATTAATAATAAATACCTATGTCGGTGTCTCAACATCAGTGGCGGGGCAAGACCTAAATTCGATGTGGGCAAAACAGATTTCGCGAGGCCCTATTCTATGGCAACCTGAAGCTCTTACTACCAGCTAGTTTTAAAAACTTAGTCGTCGATACCATTTTTACCCTTAAAGCTTTGGTTTCCTTTAAAACACAGTATAAAGCGTATTTTATATACTAGTAATTATTGCGTTACATACTTGTTACCAATTAAATATTTGTTACTTAATGAAATAAAGACGAGTACAGGTACCGGTGTATTACAAATCATAAAGAAAACAAAAACAATTAAAAACGTCACTGTTTTCGGGGGCAATCAATATACTTAAACACCATCTATTTATTCGCTAAATATTATTAAAACATTGACCACACTATTCTTATCAAAATTGGTAAGTACAGTCGTAAAAATAAACAGTATATATAACACAATTATATATGTACATACGTTTTTTTTGGTATGCGCGTAACGCCAGGGATAAAACCAGGGATACCCCGCATTCTGGTAGGCGGCAAATGTTGCCAGTCTAAGAAAATATCATTATCAACAAAATTGATTTATTTATATATTTTTTTCTCGCTTTAAAAATTTTTTGAGGCGCGTGGCCCCTTGTAATGCGAGGCCGTAGGCGGTGGCCCACGTCGCCCACGCCTTACGCCGCCACTGCTCAACATATTTTTATTACATTTTCTATGACTACCCTCCAGAGAATATGTTTATTAATTATTACTTCAATATTCGTTTCAGAGCCCTAACGAGTCTCCTCCAGGACATAGTTTACTTTATAGCTAGTTTTGAAAACGAACCCAACAAGTCGAAAGCTCTAGAACTTGTTGTAGAGAATCCCAACAGAGACAGGCAGAAACTGTTGAGGGAGCAGTACATACTGAAACAACTGTTCATGATACTGCAGGTACTCTTATATATTAGAATATATAAACTAAAAGAAGAAATCAAAATCTTATTGAGAACCTCTAAGAAAACTTAATAATCATTTACCTTGACACGTAATTTTATCTATAACTAACTCGCCTCAATTGACGATATCTAAGACTCGTGAATATTCATATAAATGAAATTAATATTTTATGAAGTATTAACATATAACAGACATTACTATCACGTCCGTCCGTGATCGCGGTTGCTGCAAAGTAACCGAAACGTCGGGAGTATGTAGTTTTAAAAATAATAAAATACGTGTAGTATAATTCTAAAAATATTAGTTTCGTCTCAATTAATTTCATTTTTACTATAGAGCTCATATCTGTTTGATACATGATGTATTTGTTTCCAGAGTCCGTTTCAAGAATCAGCTAAAGGTGAACCATTCCTTCAGATCGAGGAGCTGTATGATCCACGGTACGCGCCTTACAAATTCATCTTCAGACTCTGCTACCGTATACTGAGACTTAGTCAACAAGATTACAGGAAAAACCAAGTGAGTGATGATATTAATACGTCTATTATACACTCACTAGCTTTCCGTCTGCAGATTCGCCCGCGTGGAGTTCGGTTATATCGCGTTTCCAAGAAAACCTTTCAAAAGTCTGGGATAAAAACTATCCTATGTTCTTTCTCAGGGTCCACTTTATCTTTGTACAAAATTCCATTAAAGTCAGTTCTGTGGTTTAGGCGTGAAAGCGTAACAGACAGACGGACAGAGTTACTTTCGCTTTTATATTTTATAAAAGATACTTCTAAATATAATTGTTGGTGCTTCTGTGAATGGGATTTAATATATTTCTACGGATTTTTCAATAGGTTCTCGTTTCAGGAATACATCGCGAAGCACTTCAGCTTCATGCAGAAGCAGATCGGCTACGACATACTGGCTGAGGACACGATAACAGCACTGTTACACAACAACAGGGAGCTGTTGGAGATAGAGACCTTTGTTGGTAAGTATATATGATCTTCTTCTTGGCAATTTCTCAGCCAGGGTCGGAAAAAATATACTTTTTGTATATTAAATTATTATTTAAATGAAACTAACAATTTTCAGATAACTACATACTCGTTATTGTACTATTTTTAAAACTACATACTGCCGACGTTTCTGTTACTACAGGGTGACTGGTGAATTACTATCGATACTTGAGGACGTGATATTTGACGATCATATATGACAAAATAAAAATTAATATAACATAAATATTAAAAACTTCTAAGTAAAGTTAACCAAAAGTTATGTAATTAATTACGCATCGTGTGACTACCCTACAGATTAGGTATACACACACACACACATACGTCCACACTTAGAACACTTGGAACGTGTCAACACTTTATTTATTTATACGGAAATTTGGTCAAAAATTAAGTACCTATTTTTTTTACATAATTCGAATGAGTATCATGTACCGAGTATTCTCCCTAAATATTGATAGTAATTCACCAGTCACCCTGTATACTGAAAACGTGATAACGGGCAGACGAGATGAGAATGATTCTCATAGTTTTCTAACTAATAAAATGAGTTTATTTTCAATAATACTCTCGAAAACCTATATATATATATATATATATATATACACACTTCCTGTATCTCGTTCCAGGTATAGTCCGTAAGAACATGAAGACCTGGACTACCTCAGTGACCTGTGCATCTCCGACAAGAAGGCCATCGCTGTCACACAGGAACTCATCTGCAAGAGTGTGTTGTGTGTTAACAATGCTGATATACTCACCAGATATAGAGACCAGGTACCGAATTTATTTACGGTTCACAAAGCAGATTATAACTAAAGATACAATTAATTGATAAGTAAACATTATAAATAAGCTGAGTTATAACCCAACGACTATGTGAACACGGATTATAGACTATATGTCACTTATAAAATCAAAAATACATCAGCACTTAAAAATACATTGTATAGATATAAGAAAAGACATTTACAATAAATAGAAAGAATATTTTACACAGAAAAGTATGAACAAGTTACAGCAATAAAAAATAAAATGAAATTATAAACTGGTGAAGTGAGTAACTAAATAATGGATAAGAAAATAGATTTAATCACTATTATTGTCTGTTAATTCAAACCAATTGTTTTTTTTTAAAATAGATTTAGGTTATTGTTTAAAATGTCAATACTATCAATCAATTAATAGATATATAACAAGCAACTATTTAATCTTTGTAAATTAAATGTGAGTTAAAAAATGTAACCGCTTTTCACTAATAGAATATAGATGTATGTAGTATTGGGTCATGCACTAAAATAATTATAATATCCATAGAAGTATAATGAAGGAATCATTACACAGGTTAGTGCCAGATGAGTCGAGCGACGGAGACGGTGGGGAGGTGATGCTGTACTGGAACAATAAACAGGTTCGTGTAGACATGGTATTATTGTGAGCGAGGAGAATAAATGTTACCTTGTGTTATTAAAGATAGGACTTAAACGTTAACATCGTCAATTTTTGCCTTTATCATATTAGTTCATGCGGACATATCTGACCTAATACAAAAACAACTCTACACCAGCATACATAATATACTTTTTATGTTCTATCTTGACAATAAAGTACCTTTCTGTAAGAAAAGATTAAAAGTGTTTTATAGAAGTATATATAATTATATATTTTTGATTCTAACAATATAATTAAAAACTATAGTTGTTTTGTGAATCCAGTACTTCTAAATCACATAACCTTAATTAGAAAAAAACTATTATCTTAAACCAAGACACCTTCAATAAGTTAAGTTCAATATATAAATACACAAGTTGCATAGACAAATATTTTCCCGCGTAAAATTGAACAAACCAAATGTCATTGCTTAAGGTCACTTTGGGTGCGTTCGGGAATTTAAAGCTTTGGTTCAAATTAAATGTTTGTTCCCTAAATATATCATGTTTCAGGAGTGTCGGTCACTGAACTCATTGGCTGAACAAGCTTCAGATCCTCGTAGTGATTTTGGATTACTACCGACACCAACTCGAGCTGTTCTCGTACATGTGTCTCAACAGACAGTACCTGGCATTGAACAATCTATCACATTGATCTTATACTCGAGTAAGTTAAATCATTCCTTTAGAAATATGTATGTTCATATGGTTTAGAATTATTGATAGTAATTTTTAGTTTCCTTTGTCAGTACTTTAAAGTAACAATACATTTTATTAAATAATAACGACTTTTTAATCACTCGAAAAGTGTACTTTGATACGATATTTTATTGATTCACGATTCTGATAAAGAGCTGATTTACCCAAACAAAATATAGTTTTTGTCATAAACGTCGTAAGCATAGCGAAAACTACGAAGTATCTCTAAAATGTAGAAATATCTTTCAAATCAATTATCGCATTATGTCCAAATGAAAAAATAATAAAATTATTACCTATTCAGATTTCAGATAACAAAATGAAGAATAAAAAGTCACACTCGTTGTGATCCATGTGCTAATAGTCCACGATGCTAACTAATATAACTTATATTTTCAGATTTCTACCGAAACGTCGAGATAACATAAAATACGTTTAGTACATCCGAAAATATTAGTACCATTTAAATGAATACTCTCTAAAGCCTCAGATATCATGAACAACTATACCATGATCTCCAGATGCATGTCCAACCCGGTGTTATCCCACGAGGTCCGCGCGTCCTTCTGCCGCCTCATGCTGCACCTGCACGTGGACCGCGACCCTCAGGAGCCCGTCACGCCCGTCAAGTACGCGAGGCTGTGGGCAGAGGTCGCCGCCACCATACGAGTGAACGAGTTGGTACACACACACACACACACACACACACACACACACACACACACACATCAACATTAACACACACACGCAAACACCCCGCGTGTTAAAAGACTAGTGATGTTGTGCTAATTTGTCTTTTACTGGAATGCATATATATAAAAGGGGGAGGAGGAGGATTTCTCCTAATTTCAGTCCGTGGCCAGGATCGGCCCCATATAAAGGAAAGGAAACGAAAATCCTTACGAAACCCATTATGTATGTACAAAAACCTGCAATTTTTTTTTTAATAAGTTAGTTAATTCAACCATCTGAATCGTCAGAATTTAACCATCTTTAATTCCGGAACGCGTTCCTGTCCAAAAAGGAAGTACCGGATTATGTTCTGGAGCGTTCCAGCTCAACAACACCACTGAGAAAGACACTCACACATACACACATACAAGGCACACACAATGACACTACGATAAAATATAAATACATGTATGATATCAATTATTTTCATTACATTAATCATTAATTAATTCTGCCACAGCTATCAATGCGTGAAAGGCGGTCAGGACGCGACCAGGAAAAAAGTGAAGAAGCAGTTCGAGTCCACCATAGACTTCGTTGAGGACTACTTGTGTAAAGACGTGACTAGGACGTGGTACTTGAGCGACCACGACCAGAACAAGTTGACCTTTGAGGTCGTTAAACTGGCTGGAGAATTAACTTACTTTGGGTTTTATAGGTAAGATATTGATTTGTAGTTAAACAAATTCATATAAATATTCATTTTCCAATAAAGCGACTTCTACTTCATATATATGTTTTAGTCTCCGTGACGATAACGATGTGTTAAAATACGTATTGATATCGAAAAACTATTACTTTGCTTATATAGAGCAAGATAATGTTAGTGAAAACACAATTAAGAGAGGCTATAGTTTGTGAGCTGTTAATATTGTGCAGATGATTATATTAAAGAATTATAATACCATGATTTCTCCAGTTCACTTCATTTGTCTATAAATGTATATTTTTCAATAAATAATATAAATTTGTCCATAATTTTCTAATTTAACACAGCTTCAGTGATCTTCTTCGGCTGACAAAACCTTATTGTCTTCTTGACTGTGTGACTGCGATCGATCTACTGAACGAAACGAACGCCCTCGCCGGAGAAGTGGAATGTGAGTTACATTAAATATAAACTAAACAAGATATACAGGGTGACTGGTGAATTACTATCACTATTTAAGGAGAATACTTGGTACATGATTCTCATTCGAATTATGTAAAAAAAATAGGTACTTAATTTTTGACCAAATTTCCGTATAAATAAATAAAGTGTGGACACGTTCCAAGTGTTCCAAGTGTGGACGCGTGCGGCGGCGTGCTGATACAACACCACGCCGCCGCACGTGTGTGTGTGTGTGTGTGTGTATACCTAATCTGTAGGGTGTTCACACGATGCGTAATTAATTACATAACTTTTGCTTAACTTTACTAAGAAGTTTATTAATATTTATGTTACATTAATTTTTATTTTGTCATATATGATCGTCAAATATCACGTCCTCAAGTATCGATAGTAATTCACCAGTCACCCTGTATATACATAGGTTATTTATAAACATGTACATACATCCTAAAAGATATATGTAAAACATTAAAAAAGTTAATTAATATATTTATTGTATAATATTCAATTTATGTTTATTTTAAAAACTTAATGTTACACGCAGCTGAGGAAAATGAAAAGAAAATATGTGAGTAGTATAGTGCAGAATAACTTTAGAAAATTATTACACATACTTGACCTGGCCAAAAATATTGTTATTTTTTAAATTTGGAGTCTGTCACCTTTTTCCCGCCAATTTATGTAAAATATTTTTTAATATTAAAATAAGGATATACAGAATACTGAATGACTGTTAGTTTTATATAAAGTAGCCATGTAATCAAATACATTTTGTTAAAATCTAACTTCTAATAAGGAAGAACATATAAATGTATATATTTATGTCTGACCAAGATTTATATATTTGTTGCAGCGGAGGGGGAAGTTCTCCGGAGTATTGGCGATATGGGAGCAGTCATGACCTCCATCACACTCGGACCTGGAGCATTAAATGAAAATGTAACAGAAAACACATAAAAAAACTATATTAAGGTCAGAACCAATTACTAATATATAACTCCAATAATATTCACTTAGTTTGAAACCACTGTAAGAACAAAAAATATCTGAATTTTTGACCACAATACTCCCTAAAGAACTTGTTTTTTACTGAGATTTACAATTATTTAGTCGATTTATATATAGGAATGTATGTTGTTATTTAGAAAAAATATGTTTTTAAGTGTTGATTATACTATAAAGGATAAATCAAGACTCAGTATTTGCAATCGAAGTAACCAAAATGTGTGTTCTATTAGCAGATGGTGGGCGGAGGGGCCCGTCAGCCTTGGCCCTGGCCTGGAAACATCCACTAGTGATGGAGACCAAGCTGAAGATTATAGAAATACTGCAGGTACGATACTGATAACAGTTCTGGAGATGTTACAACAACCGACACACATACTCAAAGCCAACGCACTCTTAGCTATTTATTTTTTTTTCTTTGAAAAACAAACTTAACTATGCAATTTACAGTAAACGTTGACGTCCACACTAGGCTAGGCCTGTGTCGTGGAAAGTTATACTCTAATTCTTAATTATATTTATATAGATACTGATCTAAATGTTTGAATGAAACTAACTTTTTTTATGATAAAATCAAGTGTAGTAAAACGAAAATATTGGTTTATTTAAATGAATATTGACGAAAGTCTTAGATCTCAGTATGATTAAAAGGTTCTTCAAAAATTTGTATTGTACTTCTTATTCTTATTATCTACTTATATTCATATACTTATTTGTATTCTAAACTTACAATTCTTGGAAAGTATGTACTGTTTTACAAGTTTAAGAAAAACGTTTCTTCAGCTTGATACTACTATTATACTGACCAAAATAATACATTACTATGAAAGTGACCCAATATATACAAGAAATATTCTCCACAGTTTATCCTGGACGTTCGTTTGGACTACCGCATCAGCTGCCCGCTGTCGATCTTCAAGAAGGCCTTCGAGACCTCCTCGCCGGACGCTCTCGGTCGACTGGACGTGGAGGCCATAGGACTACAGGCCGAGGGGATCTTCAGATGTCGGCATGACACACACACACATACATACATACCAACACCGACTAGGCGAGATACAAATACAAAGATCATTGTATAAGAAAGTCATTCAACTTAAATTTTTACTCGAACATGTATAAATTTAATCACATACATGTGTGATTTTATTCAGTTCAGTATCATTATATTAAAATGTTTATAAAATTTATCTCGTTTTGTCGGCATTGTTCACACGTGGTGTTATATTGTATTGTATAATTTCATGTAGATGTCGGTTGTACTATTGTAACTAATCGGTGGCGGGTTGATAGTAACATGCGGTCTGTAGAATTTTTTCCAACTATTTCTTATTAGTACTACTTTTATAAGTATTTATTACGAACACTTCTTGCTTCTATTAAACAATTACAAATTAATCAGTAAATTTCTTTCTATTAGATTCATTTGAAAACATCAAATTTTTACTATTTAAGAAGCTTTAATATTTTTTTGCGAGAAATAAAATCCTCATTACTAGGACTAACTGGTGTTACCTCTCCAACCGCAGCAAGCGATATTATACTTTACAGCTATTACAATAAAATCGACATCCTATTATCGGAAAGATTTAAGTTATTGTGAAGTGTTTTCTGTATAATTCTAACCTTTGTTTATTTTGATTTAGAAAAACCCGTTACCCGAAAAGAGATTCTTTTTTAGGCATAACGCTTATAATCCTATTGTGATTTGTGCGTTTCTCATATGATATTATATTTTAAATCTTAATATTGAAACAATAAGGTTTAAATTTCAGAGACGGTTTAGACCTGGATGCTTGCGGCGGTCGTATGGTGTTGAGAGTTCTGCTGCAGCTGTGTTCCCAGGGTGCTTCGGCCAGTCTCGTTTCAGGAACCCTAACCCAACCCTATTCCGTCATTTCAGTCAGAGACAAGAAGTTTTGGAGGCTTTTAAGCAGGTCCGCTTTATAAATTAACTAGCTCCGCTCCGCGGTATTACCCGCAGATTTCTTGGATGTAAAGTAGCCTATGTGTTATTCCTGGACGTCAGTTTTCTGTATACAAAATTTTATCAAAATCGGTTCAGCTGTTTTAGCGTGAAGAAGTAACAAACATACACACACACACTCACAAACTTTCGCAATTATAATATTAGTAGGATTAGTATTATATCAACATACCTTAGCATATTAAATATTTTACAAGATAACTCATAAATGCAAGTAATGAAGTCAACAAAAAGAGATCCTAGTTTCCCATCATATCTGTGAGATTTTAATGTAATCTTTGTAGAGTATAATATATTTATCGTTATATTCCGTTCAGGTCCAACTGTTAGTGTCTGACGCGGACGTGGAGTCCTACAAACAGATCAAGGCCGACCTGGACATACTGAGACAGAGCGTTGAGAAGTCGGAGCTGTGGGTGTTCAATAAGGGACGCGCCGGGATTATAGATGATCACAGCGGTGAGAATTTAATATAGTTATCAAATTAATAAATTCAAAATTTCAACTTTTTCGAACTGTCCTGCATATACCGGCAAAAATTATTCCATATACATATATGATCTGCAGTTCTAAGATATTTTATAAATTTTCTATACCTAAAACATAACATAAAAAACAAACATTCATTCATACATCATGAAATAGTGGTATCTACATAATTAGGACTGTATAACTTGTAGATAATTATTAGTATCACCTGTAGATGATGAAAGAATATTGTTCAAAAAATATATAAATATTATTAAACATATATAAATCAATACTTTTCTAGATATAAAAGGCGCCGTTGGTCCTGGCGGGGCGGTGTTGGAGCGAAACGCGTCCTTAGACAACGTGCGAGCACCGAGAGGAGATCGACAGGACTACGATAAGATTAAAGAGGTACAAAATAAATATTGCATTTATATCAATCTTCTACCCGGCAATTTCCCAGCTTTTAGCCAGGGTCTGCCTTACATGTTGTGAATAGTTTTGGCTAATTGTTTTTACGACCGGCCGCCTGCCTGACATCAACTCTATTTTGGGAATGCATAAATCAGTGATGTCTAAATACTCTTAGAAAGTATATGTGACTCGGAAAAATCACATTGGTACTTGCCAGGATCGAACCCGCGCCCTCGTGCACGAGAGGCGGGCCTTTTAATCACTAGGCCACTTAAGTCAGTAGTTGACTTAAGTTGCATTTATATCAATGTTTCATCTAAATTAGCGCTTCAATCTCTCAGTCACTACAAATGATAAGTTGATGTAAAAATTTATTAGTGAACTTTAAGAAATACTCAGTAGCACAGTCGACATAGTGACTTGGATACCGTATCGAACAAGTTATAAGTTCAAATTTGATGGATTCCAGTAATTTTATTATAACATAATATCGTTAATTCATAATTGGTAATACAGAACTTCCAAGTTGTTTTTGTTGATAATACATAAGATATTAAATAATTTTTTTTTAATTTTTATTTAATTATCACCTAAATTCAACAGGTAGACAGTAAGATTTATTTTTTTGTCTTGCGTGAATGTTTTGTACATCTGTAATTGTCACTCATATCAGGTCCTAGATTTTTTTTCTATTTTATCTTTGTTTATGTGTGCTGAATATGTGTGATGTTGATGTACCTTTTAAATAAATAAATTTAAACATTGTATAAAACAGATCCTGGAACGTATGATCAAGTATTGTACCCAGGGCAACACGGCGAGGGAGGGGGGCGACTCGAGACCGCGGAGACACGAACAGAGGCTGCTGAGGAATATAGGAGTACATAATGTAGTGCTGGACCTGCTGCAGGTGGGTGGAGGGGCAGTTAAAACAATATATCGATACGAGCAGGATTTAAACCCTATATATGTATATGTATGTATTTATAATAATAATAATTTATTTCAGATCTTAATATATATATATCACAAATGTAAAACAGTATTCTCAAGGGTGGCAGGTTTCATTACTAGTCACGTCAATAATTAATAGGTCTTTCTATTTGGACTTCAATACAAGTCTTAGCTCCTTGCTGTAATAATAAAACCAATAGTACTAAATACTAAAATGCTGAAGTGCAGGAAAAGTAAATGTTACTGCTTTTTAAAGTTTTTTCTTTATCTTCTCACTTAAAAGCCATTGTTGCTTTTACAAAACTGTTTCCGGAAATATGCTATACCTACACTCATGATATAGGTGTAAATCATTTAAGATCTACGTTTATTTTCTACAAAGCAAAAGACGAAACTTCTCAGCATTCCATGGATTCACCGTGCGGGTGCCGGGTCCATCGCGTTGCAGGGGGAGGAGCTTCAACAGTGCCTGGGACTTGCGACCCAAGTGTAGGTTTAAGGGGCCCCTTAACTAACGCGCGTTATACGCTCACCTCCACTGTCCAAGCTCCTCTCCCTACCTAACCAAATTTGAAAAGAACCTACTAGGGCTGCCTTTGATGTACGTTCCAAGAATGCATTAATGTGAGTTCTGGACAAGCCCAAGTCCTTTAGTAGGTTATAGAAAGATTTCGCTGTTATACCTCTCGCTCCCACCTCTACCGCGTACAAATCTACTACGAACCTATTTCGAGTGAGTTCGTTTGTGAGCTCGTAATATTTGTTGACCTTGATGGTATGGTCTTTGGGGATGTTGGTTTCCCAAGGGACCGTAAGCTCTATCATCACTACGCGCTTTAAAATTCGCGAAAGGAAAGGAGGAAAGAATAATTTTCTGCTGTATGTTATAAATATATTCTGTAATCAATTATTTCCAGGTGCCACACGATGAGGACGACGCTGCTATGGACGAGCTGCTGGGCCTGGCGCACGAGTTCCTCCAGCACTTCTGTCACGGGAACACACAGAACCAGGCAATACTACACAAACACCTGGATCTGTTCCTCAACGCTGGAGTAAGAACAGGCTATTGAATATAAACAATTGTACTGGTATTTTGTTTAATATCGTATTTTATTATAATTATTATTACAATTAGTTGGTATTTTTTACATATATGTCTAAGTTTTCACAGTGTCTCATAAACCAATATTAGTTTTTCCGTACACTGGAATTCATCGTCGTTAACTCACAGTTACTTTGACATCTCAAGACATTTATATTTTACTAGAAGACCCAGCGAACCTCGTGTCGCTCTATAATAATCCAGAAATATCTGTTACGTTTTTTAATTTATATTTTTGGAGTTTATCTTTAAGCCATAAATCTCCGTGTTTTGAAGGGCGACAGAATGATTGACATATTACATAGTTAGTTGTAAAATCTAATGTCAAAAAACCGTTTGTATCTTCTTCTTCTATATATATAAAAATGGATTGCTGTTCCTTAGTCTCGCTAAAACTTGAGAACGGCTGAACAGATTTCTCTTATTTTAGTCTTGAAATGTTCGTGGAGGTTCAGGGAAGGTTTAAAAGGTGAGAAAAATTGATTCATTTTCGGGAAAACCCTAAAAACAGCCCTTTTCTATTTCCCATACAAATGTTTTCTTTGACATTAGATTTGACAACTAACTAATATGTCAATCATTCTGTTCGATTGAAACAGGAAAAACCTGATTATTTATGGCCTCTAGGAGGGAATAGAGTTCGCCCGGTCAGCTATACATATATTACTAATGATGAAATTAACGCGAACGAAGTCCCGGGCAAAAACTAGTGGGAAATAAAAAAGCACAGTTTTTAGGGTTTCCCCGGAAATTAATAAAAAGTGCACAATCTAACAAATAAGTAACATATGCAAGGTAAATGTAACCTGATTATTATTATTATATATATACCATAGCGCTAAATTATTGTTTTACAATTATAGTATAGCCAGCGATCAAAGCATCAAAACGATAGTTTTATTCAGACAACTTTTTACATCAGATCCGCGAAGCCCAGACGGTGTGCTCGATATTGGAAGAGAACGCAGTTCTGTGCGCTCACGAAGGGAACGAGAAGGTCGCCGCGCACTTCGTACACTGCATTGAATCCCGCGGACGGAGGCCCGCCTGCCTCAAGTTTCTGAGAACTATAGTACGAGCGGGACCTCACCATATACGGAGGAGCCAGGACCTGGTCATGCAAGAAGTAAGTTCCTCTCCCTTCACCCATCATAGCATGCATGGTTTTAAGAGACGATACCTCTTAAAATTCCATGATTTCCCGTGGTAGCGAGTCTATCGTTGTAGTGAGAGGAGCTTCAATAGCTCTTAGGACTTGTGACCCAGGTGTAGGTTTAAGAGGTCCCTATCTAAGGCGCATTAAACGCTCACCTCCATTTTTAAAGCTCCTCTATCAAATATTACCTAACATAAAATTCTATTTTCAGTAATATAGTTATGTTATATCACATGCTTATGTCGTCAATGTATTATGTAAACACGATTTTTTCTCTGTTGTTCAATAATAAATCTATCTTCGTTAATAAATATCTATTCTATCATTTGAGTTCATGAATGGAAACTCGGAAACGCTCAGTATTTAGTTAAACGACGCATACTTGTACTAAGGTACATATAATATATATATTTAATCGTACTTCATGTTTCATTATAGATGCTGAATGCCGCCGAGGACGTGCTGGTGTTCTACAATGATAAAGTACTCTTCAACTACTTCATCAAAATGATGAGGGAGTACAAACAGACGGGAGAGATGCCTGAAGCTCTCACGTAATATATATATGCCATTATATGATCATTTCAAAATTTATATTCTTGCTCTGGCATTTAATAAGGATTTAAAATAATTATGCATTAATTACGAAAAGTGTGAAAACAAAATTAACCAACCCAATTTTCATTACTTTAATGGTCGAATTTGTATACATTATTAAGGTACAACAGCGTAAGATATATATGCAAGAAAGGTTTATCGATAGCTTCTTTGACAATCTAATATAAATATGCACTTAATATTACATATAATTAATAATATTTATGTATATATTTCTTGCAGGTACCACATAGACCTCATAAAGCTGTTAACATGCTGTACCCTCGGGAAGAACGTGTACACGGAGATCAAGTGTCACAGTCTGCTGCTACTAGACGACATAGTGGCCATGATCACACACCCTGACTGTATACCAGAGGTCAATCACACTTATACATATGTAACATACATCCATGTAGCTGAAATCGTGGTAGTAATTAATACTATCGCAACTTAGTCACAAAAATATTAATCAAGACCGAATATTGGATAGTTATTTATTGAAATATCAAATTGAATTAATTTTATTATTTAACTCCATTGGCTTGCACAAACTAAGCTTAATATTATAAAATGAATGAGAATGCTAAGAAGTTATTGTAAACAATATGTATATGATATCAATAGGGCCCGGATTAATATTTAAATACATATTTTTAATTTACGCGATTTTTGGTCTAGAATGTGTTTTTTACATGGATTGTCATATTTAGACTGAACAACCAACTTTTATTTTCCATATTTTACCATATTTCAAAGTTAAGTCCATATTTTACAAGAAAATGTCACAATCATCCATATATTCACAAAATACATAAAATTTACGTTCCCGCCACTAATGTTTTGGATAAAAGTAAAGGATTTTAGACGCTAAAAAATTAACAAAATTCTGTGCGAAAGTTCCGAGTTTAATTATGAAAGTATTTAATTTTATACTGCAAATTTTTTCCATATTTTTGATTTTTTTCGTCCATATTTTATGTACATATTTTAGATTTTTTAATACATACTTATCCGGGCCCTAGTTATGATACATATGTAATTGTATTATTCTTAAATTATTTCTGTATTTTTATGACAATTATAATTTATTCTTTTGCTATTTCTAAATAAAAAATATTAAATAAACATATCTTTCTTTATTTTTTTTTACAGATTATAATATGGGTTAAGTAAATGAAACAACCAATTAAATATGAGACATAGCGTTTTTATTCAATAATCAATAATATTTTTGTTTATCGATAGAATATTTAGCATTAATAATATACAGGGTGACTGGTGAATTACTATCGATACTTGAGGAGTGATATTTGACGATCATATATGACAAAATAAAAATTAATATAACATAAATATCAATAAACTTCTAAGTAAAGTTAACCAAAAGTTATGTAATTACGCATCGTGTGAACACCCTACAGATTAGGTATACACACACACACACAAACGCGTGCAGCGGCGTGTTGTTGTATCAGCACGCCGCCGCACGCGTCCACACTTGGAACGTGTCTACACTTTATTTATTTATACGAAAATTTGGTCAAAAATTAAGTACCTATTTTTTTTACATAATTCGAATTAGAATCATGTACCGAGTATTCTCCTTAAATATTGATAGTAATTCACCAGTCACCCTGTATACAAGGAAACAATAGCAACTAAATAGATCTTAAAACTTAATACAGTGATGATTCATTTAAAATTATGTAATATTATAATCAAGCACACATATATCTTAATCAATTTTAACTATTTAATTTATCCTAGCGTTCTGCTTGGCTCTAACGCCAGCGAATGTTCAAGCTTGTTATTCTAACAATTCTAGGTCTTACGTGCTTCAGTCTCAAACCTTTTTTTATTACATTCCTCATGATACCATTCTTTATACATACATTTATATATATCTGAAAAACGATGTGAGCAAGCGTTGCCGTACATAGTATTTCGACGATCAAATCAACTTAATTTTATCTAAACATAAAACGTATATAAAATTATAATGTGTTAGTTTTTAATGAAGTTTCATTTAAAAATATTTATATTTTAAATGGTATTAATTTAGATTGATTTTATACTGTCCGTCAGTGATACTGAACGTGAAAACCAATATATAATAATACATTTTGTACCTATCTATCTAATTTTATCAGAAGTTGTGCAAATATCGAAACTAATTTTTATTGACCCATAAAAAGACGAGCCAACATATTTCTTCATAGAGAGAATGTTAGTTTCATTAACCGATCATTATGCTTCTAATATAACAATATCAAAACTGTTAGTATCAGATACTTGTACTTAATTTAAATCTTAATATTATTTGATATTTCTACAGTGTTAACATCATGTAAGCGGTTATTTTCAAGACTATAAAGCTAAGCTATCTATAGAGGTTAACGGGTCAAGTAATATGGAGCGATGTCGAATATACGACGGTACAATTATAAGAAAATACATAGAAATTTTTCACCGGATAGATTACATGTTAGATCCGGGAACGAGAATTGTTAGTTTGGTCAAGAGTAGTATATGTAGGTATAGCTGACCAGGCGAACTCTATTCCGTCTTAGAGGCCATAAATAATCAGGTTTTGCCTGTTTCAATCAAACAGAATGATTGACATATTAGTTAGTTGTCAAATCTAATGTCAAAAAAAACGTTTGTATGGAAATAGAAAAGGGCTGTTTTTACGATTTTCCCGGCAATTATTCCAATTTTTTTCACCTTTTAAACCTTCCTTGGACTTCCAGGAGTATTTCAAAACTAAAATTAGCCAAATCGGTTCAGCCGTTCTCGAGTTTTAGCGAGACTAAGGAACAGCAATCCATTTTTATATATATAGAAGAAGAAGATAGGAGATTAAGACTGCTCACCGAAAGAAACCAATGTCTACTATAAAATGTAAACAAGCTAGGCAGTAACAATTTACTCAGAATTCAATCCAACATAAATAAAACAAAAGTACTCACTTATTTTGAAGAAATCGTTATTTACTATAATTCTTATGTATGCGGCCACATTGACGGTGCGCAGTCTTAATAGGTATTTGTCATCGAAACTCATATACAACATATTGTTATTTTTTTTTCATATAGATTTAGCATAACATTAGCAAATTAGGAAAAGTCATAAAATATTAAAAGAAACAAGAACATAGTTTGTGAAATATTTAACAATGAAATTACTTTGCTGCCAATTTGACTGCCTCGGTTTTTCTAGTGTTTATTGACCACTCAACAATAGTTACATATAGCCTACCCGTATACAATAGTTGGTATGCAGTGAAAATAATTAAAATAGCGTATGTAGTGAATCCGAAAATATTAGTTTCATTTACATGAACACTTGCGAGTCGTATGGAGGAGCTCGGTTCGGCGACGGGATGTGGCCAGCGAAGGATATAATAAAACAAACGAACATCAATGTAAACATATATTTATTTACTTAAAACCATTTCTTATACTAAAATTACAAACAATATTAACTCTAAAACTCACCGTCTCAATGAATTTCAAAACAGTCAAGACCTCATGTCCGAGCTTTATATGTCGCCAAGAAAAAGAAGCCAGGACATGAGTTTTATACAATAATAAGAAGCACACGAGCGAGGGGACATCGGTGGAGAAGTGTCTACTTGAGGGATCATCACATACACGACTCACGGCTTCCACAGCTTGAGGAGGCCGTCCTCGCTGTAGGTGGCCAGCAGGTTCTGGTGAGGGTGGTGCGTCATACCGATGACCGCCTTCTCGTGGATCTGGACAGAGAGCAACAGAGTGACGAGCGACAACAACAACATGTAGGAGGAGGAGCCCGTGAGAGTCACACTTACGTTGATGGTCCTTTCGAGCTTGCCGCTGGCGGCGCAGAAGGCGTACAGAACGAGGTCTTCGGCGGCGCAGTACACGAGGCGGCCGCGTGCCCCGAGCGCCGCGCACACCAGCGCCCCGCCCTCCTCCTCGCGCCGGCCGCTGGTGAAGGAGCGCACGATCTGTCCCTGCATGTTCATGATGACCACGGTGTTGGTCCTGTTGCACACCACGAAGTGATCCGGGTTCTTGGGCATCAGCAGCAGCGAGTTGACGGGCGGCTCGCCGGACCCCAGCGGCTTCAGGGTCGCCGTGCACTCGCCGGACCGCACCGACCACACCTGCGAACACTCCGGTCAGTACGCGCGGTCCTCACCCTCCCCCCTCACCCCGCGCCAGCACGGGACGCGCCTCACCTTGACGGTGCCGTCGGAGGAGGCGCTCAGTACGCTGTGTCCGTCCGGAGTGAACACGGCCTCGTTCACAAAGGACGTGTGACCGCGGAATTCCTTTAAGATCTTCCCCGACTTCAAGCCGTGAATCCTGGAAGCCGTGAACGTTCATAATTATTATATGGAAACACCGAAATAACTTAAACATGTCCTCGCGAGCGTGTGCCAGCTACCTGATGGTCCGGTCGAAGGAGGCGGACAGTATCTGCGTGTTGTCCCTGGCGAACTGCAGACACGTGACTCCCTTGGCGTGCGCCCGCTCCAGCTTCCTCTGCACCTGTCCGCTGGCCACGCGCCACACCTTCACCCGCCCGTCGTTGGCGCCAGCCGCCAGCGTGTCCGAGTCCCTGGCGAAGGCGAGGCTGAGCACGGCCTCCTCCATGCTCATGTACTCCTCGAGCGCCTGGTAGCGCAGGTCCTTGCGGATCTTGCCCGTCGTGAAGTTCCACACCTCCACCAGCCCGTCCACGGACCCCGTCACCAAGTACTGGCCGTCCGGGGAGAACCTGCCGGTTACAATATACTTAGTATTCAAATATCACATGTTGTTTATAATACTGAGTCGGTGATGTGTTGGTGAGTGCTTCTTACTTTGCACACTCAACATGTGATTTTTGACCGAATTTTATAATCTTTGACACTTGTGTGGGATATTGATCATCTTCTTCGTCTCTTATAGCAGCTTTTCCTCTGAACAAATCAATAGTGGTTCCTGAAAACATTAACATAAGTTATTTTACTAAACAAGAGTTATACCTTTTCATTACTTCTGAATAAATACTAGGATTTAATTTAAAAAAGTAAAATCGATATTAATTCTTGTTATATTTACAATACTTTCCTTTTATGTCAAATTCCATATTGACAAAATCTTTTCCAAGTTAGTAAGAAAGTAAAAGGACTATACATATATGTATATCAGATGACAAAGGCACTGTGAACCAAGGAACAGCCCCACCAACAGAACAGAGAGCACAAACTATTCTCAGTGCATGCAATCAAGCATTGCATAGTCTTTTACCTTCTTGTGTAGGTATCATAAATGATTTAGGCACTTTTACATTTATCAAATTTATCACTTACAGTCTAATTAATTTATATTCTACATTCCTGCCTCAATCAATATTTTGTCAGCTACACTGTTTGAACGCATTTCTAAATCTTTCATCAAATAATTCATTAGTATAATTATATTGTTTTATGTGTCATGATGAAGTTAATGTCTTTCAACTCCTTTAAATGATGCCAGATTATATATTAACAAACTCAGTAGGACAAGTGATAAACAACATCTCATTCACGAGAATCAAAACAACATATGAAAAATAAACACAAAACACCTGGCGGCAGGAGCCCCTGATGCTGCTGCCACTTGAGTGCTTGACCCAGCAGCGCCAGGAGACGCGAGGACGGCACCACGGACACCTCGCCCGCCAGCGCCGCGGCCAGCGCCGAGCGTCGCCACTCCTTGCCCCCTCCCGCCCCCGCCGCGCCACCCGGACCACCTGCCCCATATGCTTCCCGAGGATCGAAATACGATCGAGCCAACATATTTTCTATTGAAAAAAGTATCAGTTTTGAAGCAAAACCAAAGCTAAAATTTTACAAAAATAATAACATTTTCATTGAATTCTTACCTAGATGCATGTATCTATCCGTCTCCTGTTGCTTCATGAGCAAGCAGGGCTGTGTTTGACGCAGCAATGTGCGAGCAGCTCCAAGCTCACGTAACTCAATGAGCTCCAGCACCACTTGTTCATATAAATCCATGAGTTTCTTATCTGGTAGCTTTAATGATGCCGTTGCTTTTAACACAGTGTCCCAGTGACCATTATTTATGTCGGCACAAAATCCATCAACACTATCAACTGTGTTCAATGATACACCCGTCTCCTCCTGTGTGTACACAAAAGTTTTTAAAAATCACGATGAATTAATTTATTAAAAAATTATTGAAAATTTAAAGTACCTGTAATGTTTGCAAAGTTTTTGTGAGGTTAGACTCCTTCAAGTATTGTTGTATCAGACGAATAACACTACAAAAAAAACAATATATTAACATCTACAACATTCCTGCATCATAATAACCTGTGCACAATTGAAGCAGCATCACTTACTCTGCAGATTCAATTTCTATAGACATATTTGTAAAGATATAGTCACTTTTTGAATATTTGAGGCAAATGAGATTAAGTCTCAATGTAAGTAAGGGTAATATGATATATATTAACTATATTAGGATTTATTATTAACTGTTATATGATAACTATTATATAATAAATTGTATAATTTATTTATTTCACGATAGCTTTTAACTTTTAACTCATTAATGCTTGTTTGCTAAACATTTCTCGGACATGACATTGACAAATGACACATAAAGTGTCAATCATACAAATTAAAAGAGCGCTCTTTTAATTTCAGTAGTTTTTTATTCAAATTAAACAAACATTTTAAAAGCATGTCGAATCACTCTCAGTGGACACATAAGTACGACTATATTTTTAAGGTAAAGTAATAAGCATACAACAAATATTGAAGCTTTTCCTAACTAAATCTTATTAATCAATAGAGTGGAGTTTATGAAAATAACTATTATTGTAAGAAATTTTAAATTAGATATCTAGTTACTTTTTAATGAATATTATGGATAAACAATATAATTTCTAGATAACAAGGAATTTGGGATGGCAACATCAACCCTATGATACCCATTGTAGAAAGAATTGTGAATGATTTTTATGGAACCTACAATATATAACAGCATCAGACAATCTCACTATATGAATAGAATTTTTTTCTATGTTACAAACTAATTTTCTAACACTTTTAGTCACTTCTTCTAGTTGTAAAACAAAAAAAAAAATACAAAATTGTTAGATGCAATTCGATAACAAATAAAGAATTAATTTTGTATGGACCGTCGAACTTTTTCGTACCGTGTATATTTATAAGATGTTTACGAACACATGATTTACACACACATGCTTTAAAAACTATATATGTGACAGCGTCTCGTCAGGTCCGTAGCAGATTAAGACGATTTTCTCTTAATCTGACAACTTATTTCCTTTTTCGTTGGTGGTATGGAAGTCGGAACGAGGAATTTCAGGTTTTTGTTCGTCGGAATCCCTATGTAGTCCAACATTTTTGGGTACTTCATATGTTCTCTTAAAATCTTTGTAAATTTGTTCGTTGGTCAAGAGAAGCTTGTCGCGTTCTTCCTCAAAATGATTTTGAAATACTCAACAGGGTTTTTTTTATGAAAATCTTCTTCATGTTTTGTCAGATCAAAGTTATTGTGCTATCGGTTTTCTTTGAATTAATTTAAGAACATATCCTAAAGGCTAAAGCCGTTTTTTTTCTCTTGAAACATTTTTTTTTGTTAATATGACTTGTAGGTGGATAGTGTCCGTTAAAGTAGTCGTGAACAGTATTTTGGAAAGTTTCTAGTTACGAGTTTTATCATGCTTCCAGGCCGGATGCTCTAACAGGATCATTCAATTGTTATCTTGATCTTTCCAAGTCGATTGTTTTATGTTAGGAATGCTAAGACCGTGTCCGGATGTTAATGGACTCCTGATGGTTTTAAGTTAATGGTTTACCATGGGATGCATGAGGCTCAACTCTATCCGAAGTGAAAGTTGAAGAACTACCAACCTACGAATATCGTGCTTATATACCATTGTGTGTTTTAAGATGTTTAATATACCAGGTTCGTTTCTTGTCTTTTTTCCCGCACATAGGGCATTTCAAGTCCGTAGGATTGCTCAGCCGTTGCCCTCGGGTGTCTTTCCAGCGTCAATTTGACTTTCCGGGCAGTAATTTTAAATGAGACGAAACCTCTTAATATTCCATGTATTCACCGTGCCGGTGCCGGGTCCATCGCGATACAAAGAGAGAAGCTTTAACAGTGCCTGGAACTTGCGACCCAGGTGTACATTGGTTTACCAACCCTATCTATCGCGAATTAAACACTCACCTCCACTGTCCAAGCTCATCTCTCTACTCTAACCTTAGTAAAATTCAACGAAGAAGTGTGGGGACTCATCTATATCTTTATATATACATATATATAAATTATAATTTTTCTGTGTGTATGACACTGAACTTCTCTCAAACGACTGGACCGATTTTGATGAAATTTTTTGTGTGTTCAAGGGGATATTTGAATGGTTTAGATTCACAATTTTGTCCGCTGGACAATGTTTTTTTAATTAATTTTTAATATATTACTAGTTGTTGATACAAAAAAAAAATTTGAGATTAGATTTGACAACTAACTAATATGTCAATCATTCTGTCGCACTTCAAAACACGGAGATTTATGGCTTTAATAGGTAAACTCCCAAAATATAAATAAAAAAACGTAACAGATATTTCTTGATTATAGGGCGATACGAAGTCCGCCGGGTCTTCTAGTCTAGTATATCTAGTATATATCTAGTCTAGTATATACATATATAAAAATGAATTGCTGTTCTTTAGTCTCACTAAAACTCGAGAACGTCTGAACTGATTTGTCTACTATCTTAGTCTTGAAATGTTCGTGGAGGTGCAGGGAAGGTTTAAAACCTAAAAAAATTGGTTCAATTCCGGGAAAACCCTAAAATCAGCTCTTTACTATTTCCTATATAAACTTTTTTTTTACATCAAATTTGACAACTAAATAATATGTCCATCATTCTGTCGCACTTCAGAGTACGGAGAGATAGATTGGAACAAGGAGACGGACATAGGATATTTGTGTTCGATTGAAACAGGAAAAATGTAATAAATAGCGATACTTGGTTATTTATGGCCTTTAAGACGGAATAGAGTTCGCCCGGTCAGCTATACATATATTACTAACTAGAAACTGAGGATAACAATGTACCTATTGAAATAATTAAACTCATATATTTTTTTACTGACTTTTGCCGCGACTTCGTCCGCGTGGAATAGTGACTTCCGGCAGATTTCTGGTTCTTCCCACATAGTTCCCATTCTTGAGGGGTTTTCGGAATGGTTGAGTTCCCGTAGAATTTTCAGGATAAAACCTATGATTTTTTAAATTCACAATGAAGTACTCTTAACCAACAACATATTTATTTGTTTATTTGAATAAAGATTAATATTATTATGTTGATACAACATAAACAAATTATTTCGACCAAATTAGTTACCATAAAAACGGTTTCTGTGAGTTAATCTTGAAAGATAGACATATACTGTCGCGGACTGTTTTATAGATCATTAAAAGAGTTATTAGTCTTTAATACATATTTTTTGTGTATCTTGAACCGTTTTCGCGGCGCACGCAACGGAAAGCTTCAAAGATGAAATAATTTCTCCCGTTTTTACACATTTACCACTATATCTTTGCTCCTATTAGTCGTAGCGTGATGTTATATAGCCCACAGCCCTCCTCGATAACTGAACTGAACACAAAAAGAATTATTCAATTCGAACCAGTAGTTTCGGAGATTAGCGCTTTGAAACAAACGCTTCAGCTTTATAATATTAGTATAGATGACAAAATTAACGCGGACGAAGTCGCGGGCAAACACTAGTTTTTAATAAAAAAATAATATATGAGATTTAAATGGACTTTAAACTTAGTCGTGGCCTGATAGAATAGACTATAATAATTAATAAAAAAATTAACAAAATACTGCAATTATTTCCTTACATTATATATTTATAAAGTATAAATTTTCCTTTTTAAAAATATAAATATTTATTTACAGGTGACAACGATATGAATACAACACAGATCAGAAGTCGTCGGGACGATCGGTGCAGTCGGCGGCGGGAGGCGAGTGTTGGGGCGGCAGGGGGGGCGGCAGCAGGCGTGCGTCCGCCAGGTAGGGGTGCAGCAGCGCGGCGCGCGCCGACACGCGCTCGCTGGGTTCGTAGCGCAACATGCTCTCGAACAGGCCGGCGGCGTGCGGCGCGGCTCGGGCGGCCGGCGGCAGAAGCAGGCGGGCCTCGCGCCGCGGCCAGCGGGGGAACGCGGCGCGGTAGTCAGGCAGCAGCCGCGCGCCGGGCCACACGTCCTCACCCGGCGTGCCGAGGGCGCGGAACACTCGGAACAGCTGGTCGATCTCGCTGTCACCCGGGAACAACGTCCTGCCGCTGGCCTGGGGACACACGCCTCGTCACTACTGGAACTGGCACCTCCGACTATACAAAGAACATGACCGCTAGCCACGTACCATCTCGGCGTAGATGCAGGCCAGACTCCACACGTCCACGGCGGTGGAGTAGAACTTGGCTCCGAGCAGGATCTCGGGCGCCCGGTACCAGAGCGTGACCACCTCGTGCGTGTAGGCGCGCACGGGGATACCGAAGGCTCGCGCCAGACCGAAGTCGGCCAGCTTGATGTGACCCTCCACGTCCACCAGCAGGTTCTGTGGCTTGAGGTCACGGTGTAAGACGCGGTGCGCGTGACAGTAGGCCACGCCCTCTAACAGCTGACGCAAGTAACTCTGGAAAATTATTATATTTCCTTAGATATAGCTGAAGTTGTGCATCAAGACAGACTCATAAATGTTTGTAGAACTTTTTATTTATTAGGAAAAATGTGTACAAATATAACTTTTGTTAATTTACTTTCTAAGAACAAATTGCTAAACTAAGGTTTTATTTAAACTTGATCACGAGACACAGAGATCATTAATTGGACGGTACTCTTCTTCTATATAAGAAAATATCATAAAAAATCATATTTAAAAAATAACTTTTTTTTATTTAACGAAACTGAAACAAACAAGAAGGCGACTTATGTTTTAAAACTTTTATTTTTGTAACTGATAATACATATTTGTAATCATATATAAAAGTTATAACATTAATTTTTCTTCCAGCGAGTTAAATACTCATATTGTATTAGGAAAATAAAATATTTGTTTTTGGAGTAATTTATTTAGATTGCAATATTTTATACTACTCCTCTACTTTTATATGGATGATATAAAAGTAGAGGAGTAGTATATAGTATAGTAGTAGTATGATGTATGTGTTGACTGTTTTAAAGTTTATATTTCTCTACCCTACTACCAGCTTAAATAACACAAAATTTTCTGAATATATCTCAACTAAATTTAATTATAAAAAGCAGATATAATGTTGTTTAATCACAAAAATATATATATGAATAACCACAGTAAAAAATCAAGTGGAAAACATGTTGATTAAAAGAACATCTAGGAAATATTATTTTGTGTATGGTGTCTCCATTGTCATAGTTATTTAGTTAATGTGTTTGTTAATATATAGCACACCTTCACAAGGTCCAGCTGCAGAGGTCCTTTGGTTATATCCATGAGTCGTTTGAGGTCCATGTGTAGGAACTCAAAGACCAGGAACAGCTTGGTGTCAGCCAGCAACACATCCAGCAAGCGGACCACGGCCGGGTGTTTCAACTCCCGCAACACTGATATCTCCCTGAGAGCTGTTGATGGAACCCCCTCAGGTTCACTAACAACAAATTATTTTATTACAAATCACAATACCTAATAACACAGATCATTCAACAAAAGGGTCCACCAGGATTCGATTTATATTTAAATCCTATATTTAATCAACCGAGAACCCAAAGTCTGCGTCTTCACAAAAAGTTTGGAAGTTGCAGACCATGTTATCTACATGGTCTGCAACTTCCAAACTTTTTTAAAGAAACAGAATGAATTAAAATTTTGAGTAAAAGGTTTTTTTTTAATTTATTATAATTAACTACAATAAACGTGGAATCTACATTCATTTTAATGTTAAATAATGTTAATAATGTCACTTTTCGCGCCAAATATAGCTTACTTTTCAAGTTTTATTTTCTTCAGAGCAATTTCTTTACCGGTTACTTTGTCTCTTGCCTTATAAACTACGCCGTATGTTCCTTCGCCAATTTTTTCAACTCTCGAAAAGTTTTCCATTTGGTTCTTATTTATTAATATTTCATTGAAGAGTTGACATATTATATGTAACGGTATTAACAATCTATTTGTGCATTATTTCAATGAAGTTGAAGTCTGACATTCATACGACGGCCTGACGGGTTACAGTCTCAAATTAAATTCTTATTTCTGTAGATATTAAATATTATCTGTAATAATATTTCCACACACAATAAATGTGTCAAAACATTTTCACAAATACAAAGGGATATTCTCTTATATAGTTCTTATATATCTCCCAAAAAAAATTTGTATGGTTATATAATATTACTTATTAGTGATATGTTTTAATCAATATTTCGAGATATTACGTTTTAATTAGTGTCAGACCTATAGAACAAATATCATCACTAATAAACTCAACACTTACATACGTATATTTCAAGACTACACACTTAACATCCATAATAATGTAAGTTTGCAAAATAATTTTAAGATCCATGCAATTTTTTTAATAACAAAACAATCTTCTTTGTTAACAATTAATAGTCAATTAATATGCTAAATATATATCATTCGAATGTAATTCAAATACAATATAATTATGAGTGAAGAATATGTGACTACTATATTTATGTGAAAGAATATTTTTTTATATTTATAAAAAGATTTAGAAAATATATAATATTACTATACATTTAAATATATTTCAAAACAATGCGTGTTATTTGACTCGTTTGCTTCTTTATATGTTGTTTTAATGTTTTTTCATAGTTTGCCTACCCTGAGGAACAAAGAACAGTGCAATACTTATTTATCAATTATACACTACATCAAAATATTTAGCCAAATAGAAAAATATAACTTTATTTAAGAATGCAAAAGTTTTGTTCCAAGCATCAATTAGGGGTGAAAATTTATCATTATTCTTAAGGACTGTAGAAGTCAACTGTTCAAATTATATTTTCAACGGTTAATAGTGTTATCGAAAACAAACAGAAGAAATTTGGATTTTAAGAAAAATTTAAATATGTCACTCATATCCACCATTTGAGACCATCGTTGTATTAGTGAAAACTCTTAGGTTATACATTTGGTTGTTAAAGCAATATCTGTTTAGTGTAATAATTCGGCAATAACACTTTTGTTCTACACTCTGAAACCAAATAAAAAAACAAATCAAATTAAAAATCAAAACAGAGTTTACAATATTGTAATAGAATTGCTTTTTGAATTAAATATGATTTAGTCTCGCAACGAATTTATGTATTCATTAAGCGATTACAGAATATTTGTTCTATTAAGGTTAAATAAACCTATGAAAATATTTTTCATTACACCCGGTGTAATATCTATTACCAAATATTTAAATACGTCGTTTAAAACTTTGGCACTTGACAGTTGAGTGACGACAGTGACATTAATCAGAATCTAATAGAACCTACCTTGTACCTACTAGCTAGTGGCTACTATCTTTAAGGAGTACATTTTGAAATGAAATTATTTACATATGAATAATAATAATATACTAATGTAAATAATTATATGAGATTCTTTTATGAGTTAAATCTGTTATGGCACTCGGTTTAAGATACTTCATTTATTCCTTGAAACATCCCAGATTTACTACATTGCGTAATATAATGACTACTTCCACTAAGCTCGAAAAGGCTTTGGAAAACTTACAAAGCAACCCCTATTATGAAAAGTACGCTGACAGGATTGCTGCACTACAAAAAACCTCCCCAGAAGAGTTTCTCAAGAGGGTAGAGAGTCAACATAAAAATAAAGAACACGAAAAGAAAAATAAATTTGCTGGAGCAGTGGACACGCGGTACATGATATTATAATAGACATGAAAATTTAGTTTAATACTTTATTGAAAGAAAATCGAATGTTAAATATATATTTTATTTTAGGCAATTTTCTTCTGTACTCAACCCTAAAGGAGATCGTAGTGAAGGCGCCTGTGTTGAGGATAAAAAATTAAATGATATCTTGAAGTTAGAGTTGGTACAAGACAAGACAGCTGTAGAAGTCCAAAATATCTGGGAGGAGTATCATAAAGATAAAGAAGTGATATCAGCCACCATCCCCAAGGAGTCCTATGTATCCATTGCACAAAACATGAAACAGTTCCCAACATTCTTGTTCCCCCTCCCACGAGCACAAGGCTATGAGTTTATAATGTGCCAAAGTTTTGGGAATGCTGTTCATTTCACCCCACTATTAGCTTTTCAGGTAAAATATTTATTTCTTCATGTTCTTCACCTTCACTCAAGTCACACATTCACTTTTTAGTAATTTTATCCTTCAATTTCCTTCTTAATATATTATTTTCAACTAAACTGATCTTTACTCATTTTCCAATATTTGGTCACAGAAAATTCAGGGAGTAAAAAAAAAAACATTTACTTTTATATTCTTAAACAATAATTTATAGCTATGTATACTTAAAAAGATAAGTATGGGTTTGTGTGTGAATCAGAATGTGGAAGTATTATAATGAGCACATTATACAATATAGGTACATTCATTAGTTTGTAAAAATTATCCTCACTAGACTTTTCTTTTCTATAAGTAATTTGTTCAATTCTGTTTGTATGTTTAGTCTAGTTAATATAATATTATCATCACATAATAATTCAAGGTACATAAAGAAAATGCCCCAGAGTGCTTGACTATGGTTCATTATTTAGAACTCAAGGAAAAGGGAATTGTATTGATGAGAGGGGATTATGATAAGGTAAAACATTACATTACAACAAAATTATTTATTTATACACATACTTAATAATAATGATTAATTTCAGAATGTCCTGGATGGGAAGGAAGCCCAGTGTCTGGCGAACCAGTTCCAGATGTATTACAGCGGCAAAGATCCCAACAAAGTTACACTCCTACAACTGTTCAACACAAGTCCAGACACATTCAAGCACATGGACTTGATTGAAGAATTGGAGAATATACAATTAGTTTAAATTTATTGGATACATTAAAAATTAGATAAAACAAAAATTATTATTTTATTTGTGAAAGTGTTCACTGATTCAGTTTATGTGGATAGTATAAGTACTCGGGTGAATCTTGACTGTAGCAGGCTGAGCTTGACGCCAAAGAGGAAGTTGGAGATGTGTGGAACATTGGTAGGGGGAGGAGCTGCTCTAATGACACTTCATGACAACTTTCACTGACACTATTGTCACTATCAATAACAAATAAATTTGCATTTTCCTTATTTTTAACATTAAATTTGTTTTCATAGGGGCTAGTTCGGAAAATATCCCTATATTTAAATATATTTTCTGTTCTTAAAAACTCAGATCCAGTTTCACACATATATTTTTCTATGTTGTTCATAAATTCATCATAGAGACTTCTGTTCCTTTGCAATAAATATGTTACTGATGATGAGCTCGCAGAATCTGACAGAACTCCATTCAATAAATTTGTAACTTTCTCACTATCAGAACTACTAAAAAGAATAATGCTGTCTTGCATTTTATGTTGTTCAATACTTGAGGAATTCTTAAAAGGGCTATTTATTTTAGTATCTATATATACAGATTCTTTATGAGAAGTTCTATTTGAAACCTTTTTTTTCTGGGCTCTGGGAGGCAATATGACTTCAGCTCCATTTTTTTCCTGTCGCAGTTTTGAAAGTAATGATCTTGTCATTGTTTCAGATCTAATAGCTTTTTTCATTAAAGTTAAACGATTGCTTGTCATATAGTTTGTAATTGTCGGTTTTACCCCCTCGTTAGAAATAACTGCATCATCGCTTTGTATTTTAAAAATTCTCTTTCTAATTTCATCAAGCCTTTTACGTGTCCTTCTTTTTTTTCGTTTTCCAACATTTACACCAAATTTATCCATTTATATACAATGAGAAATCGAAATAATAACACAGTATTTTGTTATGTTGTACGGCTACTATTATTTAAATAACCGCGGGTTTTGCTCAGGACTAAACGAAATGGCACAAACTATTTTGTTTTCACAAACATTATTTTAAACTCTTTTAAAAGTATGACAAATTATAAAAATTTAAATGCGAACTTTCCCAAAAGCTAAAAAAGTAGAAAATCAGATACCTATTTATTCTTCCGTACAGAAAATGATTAAGAAATAGATAGGTATGTAGAAATGCCAATGTACGCTTCTCACTTTTCACATCATGCTAACAGCTAATCTATTCAGAAATAACTTATTTAATATGATAAGTAGTAAGACATAGTTAAACTTTTTAATAAATTATATATTTTTGTCTTAAAATATTTTAATTCTTGTTCTAATATAACTGGTTATATTCATTTTTTCTGTAAGTGAGACCTAACTATATTTATTGTTAGAATATCAAACTAATATCGGATATAAAATCTTATAATATTATGTTATCACTAATAACATTGCCGTAATGTTTCATTGTTTGCATTTCTGCTCGCTCTTTACATTTCAGTGTTAACATTTAACAGCTGTCAATTTACGAGTGTACATACTACTAGTATAAAATCAGTGCCTATATACTTAATGTACTGGATTATATTCTATTTTTTATCATTAATTTATATTGAAGATGTATCTTATTATATTTAAGAAGTAGCTTGGAATATTTTAAGGATATGTAAGTTTTTTGCAACTAATAGATACCAGGCGATGCTGTAAATACTTGAAGCGAATTACTCGTAGAATCAAGTAGGATTTTAGCTAATTAAACCAGTACTCTACATTTCTTATTATTCTAAAAGTTTAATTTATTATCTTACGTCCGTAAATTTAATACTTTTGAGTCACTTATATGGCAGCATAAAAATATATGATGTTCTAAGTTTTTTTAATATTGTATTCATATTTTTTTCATTTATATAAATATGAATTCATAATTAATTTTCCATTTCTAGTGAAAAATTTATATTTCTGAACCTAATAAAATATTTTGAGAAAAATTTGTTTAATAGGAGGATGCATGTTAAAATAGTGATGTAGATTGTTGTTATAATCACTGTATTTTCCTTGCAATAGAGTTTATGTCTATTACAATTTTCACTCATTATTCCTTTTTTCAGCAAAATTATTCCTTTTCAGCAATTTTTCCCAACTTTTACACATAATTTATAATAATTTTACATTCAAGGTATATGGCAGTAGTTGTTTCGTAGTGAACGCTATGGAGCCTATTTTTTGTTGAAATTAAACCCAATTATCTTGATACTGCTTTAATTAAAAGAAATGTGTACAAAGGTTCGAGTGCAAGGTTGGAAGTGACACAGCAAATTTGAATAAATAAAATATGTAATAATAATATGTAGTCGGTAGATTTAAAACTGGTGATGAATTGTATATAGAAATATGAAGCGCCTGAATATAAACTATAGCAGAAACGTTAATGCTCTTAGATGGCTGTAGGCGCCAACAGTAGTTAAGCAATGTAGGTGAGCTATTGTAGGGCAATATAATTCTAATGATATTGCATTTACTGTGTTCCTCAACAATTTATTACCTTTTATCTGAAATAAGGAATTAGAACAAAGTAAATATAATTTGTAGAATTTTAATGTAAAAAAACGATATGGTGCTAGTTAATACCAATATTGTGAACAGTAAGCGGCATGCCCAGACCGAGGGTGGGCAGTCTCGGTGTGAGACGGTGAGAAGCGGCGCGGGGCCATGGCGGAGCCCGAGCCTGCGCCCGCCGGCCTCGCCGACGCTGTGCTACTGGCGCCACTGACCGAGGATTCTTTCCTGCACAACTTACATGTTCGATACAAAAGAGATATCATATATGTGAGTCACCAGCTCTCTTAACATACTGTTCTGTTATCTTATGGAAGCTTAGACATTATATTTTAAATATGTATAAGCAATTTTTAGTTTAAATGCAAAACTTTACTTAAAGAAATAACATGTAAAAGCTTTGAATTTTTTTTTGTGAATCAGCTCACAAGTGGGAAGCTTACCACAAACGATATTCCTAACCTTCCAGACATACGTGGGCAACGCCCTGGTGTCGGTGAACCCTTGCCGTCCACTGCCGCTGTACTCCGCCGAGCTCGTTCGGACCTACCTGGCGCGGCCTCCCTACCTGCTGCCACCGCATCTGTTAGTGACATAGATAGGTTTGGTATTAAATGACATACATCACAGCACATCCATCTGTTGCAGATACGCGATAACGGCTACGGCCTACCGCTGGGTGCGAGACAGGAACGAAGATCAGTGCATCGTTATAACAGGTAGGAGTCAGGAGATCGGGGTTAGAGGAGCGCGGACAGTAACGAACACGGACAGTAACGAGCGGCGCTTACAGGAGAGAGCGGCTCGGGCAAGACGGAGGCGGCGCGCGTGTGTCTGCAGTGTGCGGTGGTGGCGGGCGGCGGGGGAGGGGGCGGGGCGCTGGCCGCCGCGGGGACGCTGCTCGAGGCTTTCGGGAACGCGGCCACCGCTCGCAACCACAACGCCAGCCGCTTCGTACGTTTCCTCTTTGACTAGGTATGTGTCAATTCATCACAGCCAGCCATAAAATATGATCGAAAATGTTCCAGGGCAAATTGTTAGACATAGAATTCGACTTCAAGGGCGAGCCGGTCGGAGGACACATAACACACTGTGAGTATACATCGTGGTGGGGGGGGGGGGAAGTGTTTGTTGTCATGTCTCATGTATTATCATTGTCTGTTCACGCAGACCTCCTGGAGAAGGTGAGTACCTCCCAATAATAATAGTTCTGCTAGAGCTCCAACGATTGAGTAACGAGTGCAACATGTTCACTGAGTGTTCCTGCTTCGTGTCATGTTCCAGGAGCGCGTGTGTTGCGCGGCGGAGGGCGAGCGGAACTTCCACGTGCTGTACCAGCTGCTGGCCGGCGCCGACGCTCACCTGCTCAGTGAGTGACGCGCGCACATACAGACACACACGAGACTACGGTCCCGGACCTCGGCCTACTTACGCTGTATTTGGTTGTCAGAGCGTTTGAAGCTGCAGCGGTCGTGGGAGCAGTACCGCGTGCTGAGGGGCGGCGCGTGCTGTGTCGAGGCGGGAGGGTGCGGTGCGCCGGGGGCCACTGGCGCCGCGGCGGCCGGGGGAGGCGTCGGCGGCGCTTGCTCCGGGGCGGGGGGGGCGGGCGCGTCCCCTCGGCGGGCCGCGCTGCCTCCGCCGGGGCCGCGGGCGCCTCACGCAGACAGGGACCACTTTGCATTCACCAAGGTAATCGATAGGCGTCACAGTCGAGCGTTCGTGATTGATAAGTTGATAACAAACAATGTGATGACGATGTCGTCCGGTGGTCGCTCCGAGAAACGCGTGCTGTGTCAACACGGGACGCGGGAGGCCTTAACCGAATATACACTTGGACCAGAGACTGTCCATCAACAGATGAGTTTTTGAAAATGTTGCCGAAAAACCGTCCCTTAAGTACTCTGAAACAGGGATGTTGCAGATGCCGATATTTTCACATCCGCGGATACGGATGCGGATGCGGAGTTTAGCAGGCTCACATCCGCGGATGCAGATGCGGATGCGGATGTATAAGATATTATGTAAATAAAGTCTATCCATGAAGAGTTAAAACAATGACAACGTAATTATTAACATTTTTATTGTAATCAAACATAATTAAGTACTTATTTTTATGTTAAAAATATAAGTCATGTATAATGTAACTGAACACCTTCTGTTTTTTATATCAGTAGTTGAATTTAAAAATAGGAGCATTATACTTGATGAAGAGTAGTATTGCCGCCTTTTCTGGTTCTAGTCTGTTACGCAGAGGTTCGTAAATTAATCCCGCGCTACTAAATAGTTGTTCGCTAGGAACACTGCCCGGTGGAGCAGATAAAAATCTTCGTACTATCGGCGATAATACCTTGAATTCCCCTCGATGTACACTCCACCAGTTTAAAGGATTTTCACTCACATTTATTCTTTTTTTAGTACGGTAAGCAAGTAACTCTTTTTTTAATACAGATTCAACGCTACTATTTTCTGGCTCATTTTGACTTTCGTCTTCACTCGACGAATAGGGTCAATTTCATTATCATTCATGTAAAGGGTCAGAGCATCCTTTATCTTTGAAAAACGCTCGAACATGTAGAATGTACTGTTCCATCGTGTTACACAATCTTGAAACACTTTCAGGTGCGGTTGATTCAGTCTGTCCTGAGTTGATTGCAGTTGTTTCTGGGCAATGGTAGAGTGATTGAAATGGGTCGAAATTCTCTTACATTTTTGTTTTAGTATTTTTATGTTTTCTTGAGAACCTAAACAACTACGGATAGTCAGTTGTTATCAAAACAAATAACCTGTATACAAAGTTATTAGTATACAAATGAGTTCTACAGTAGATTCCTTTATATATATTATTCTATATATAAAACTCGCCTCTATCTGGACACATTCTCGTATTTTGTGCTTTAATTCCACCTCAGAACTGTCTAGGTGTACAACGTTCTGCATGATGGGCATCTTATAGCCAGCGCCAGCACCGCACAGCCGACATGCCCGGTATATGTCGTATATTGTCTTCTCCTCCAGCGAAGAGTTCAGATATCCATCCATTTTAACATATCTTTATAATATCACGTTATCGCTACTTGTATAATATTCGCATCCGCATGAACATTCGCATTGATTAATGCGGATGCGGAAGCAGATGCAGATGTCCAAAACAATGCGGATGTTCCGCATTTGCGGATGCAGATGCGAATGTTCGCAACATCCCTGCTCTGAAAGAAACAATACTACATAAGGGTGTGTAGAGGTCCCGACCCTGACGGTAGAAGACGCTTCGTTCTTTCGTCATTTATAAAGTAACAGAATAGTGTGTAACGTTCAGTGTGTGTGTGTAGGCGGCGATGGGTGCTCTGGGGTTCAGCGCGGGTCAGTGCGGCGCGGTGCTGCGAGTGTTGGCCTTCCTCCTCAAGCTGGGGAACGTACAGTTCGAGCCTCAACACAACATCGACGGCTCCATCGGCACCCGCCTGCAGCACGAGTACGGTGCGTACCTCGACCGGCCGCAGCTTCTACTGTGGTTCATTACTGGCTTTGAAAAGAAACATCGTTGTAGCTTTAAGTCACATTTAATAATATTAGAAGATTTAACATAACATAATGAAAGCTCGGGCCAATGGGTGGTCCACCATATTTGAATGTATACATGAGATGTGTTATAAAGGACACTTTACACTAGACTTAATTCTATAATATAGCATATACTTACACTATATTTACACTTCACCTCCGGGGGTGAAAGAAAAAAATGGGCTTACACATATATGTTTTTGTATACTACTTAACAAAAAGTTTTGTTCTATTCTCATGTACTATGTCTTTTTTATTTTCTTTCATTATTTTAACATTAAATCCCATATCTTCTAATAAAGTAAATGGTCCATTGAACAGTTCATCTAATTTTCCACTTGTTTCTGATTTTACTAAAATTAAATCATCTTTATTGTAAATAACAGGATTAACATACTTATCATATTTAGTTTTTCTATTATATTTGCTATGTAACAAATTCTTTCGGGCATCTTTATAAGCAACTTGCAACCTATATTTAAGTTCACTAATATAACTTTCTGGATTATACATAGGTTCTACTGTATTACATAATCAATTAGGGATATAACATTGTCTACCAAATACAAGTTCAAACGGTTGGTATTTTGTTTCAGTATGGACAGTAGTATTAAAACTAAAAGTCCAGTATGGTAACCAATAAGACCGAGATTGCTTGTTTTTGTCGCAATAAATTCGTAAAAATGCGCCATAATTTTTATGAGTGTTCTCAAACGAACCTATTGACTGATGATGGTATGCTGTTGATGTAATAATATCTAGGTTTAATAATTTACATACCTGTTTCATGGTGGCAGAAGTAATCTCAGTTCCTCGGTCAGTTGCTATTATTTTAGGGATGCCGAATCTTAAAATAAAATTATCAACTAACGCGCTAGCGACACTAATGGAATCCTTATTCTTAAGTGGATAAGCATCTATAAACTTACTTAACTCACACTGAATGGTTAATATATACACATTTTCATCATAATCTTTAGGAAGAGGGCCTACTATATCCATATATATCTTTTCGAATGCATGTGACGCAGTTGTTGTTATCACCATAGGCTCTCTTATGTATTTACAATGTTTAGATTTTTGGCATTTAGAACATTTTCTAATTAAATCTCTTACATCAGTTTCGAGATTTGGCCAATAAAATCGTCTCTTGATAGTATTGATCATTCTACGTACACCAGCATGGCCACTTGTGGGTAGTAGATAAAAATCATTAATATGAATGATTTTTCTTCATCATTCTCAATCCTAGTTACATTCTTTAATATATGAATGCATGGTCCGGACCAATTTGCAGCCGACTTTATCTCATCTCTTAAATCTTTATCTCATTACTTTTATCTCTTATTATACATATCTCTTCGATACTAAGCTGTTTACAAAAATCACTCAACATGGTCACAAATTTGACTCGCGAGAATTGCGCCTTAAAGCTGAGGTTAACGTATAACATTAGTCTACTCGGACAATAAGAAAAACAATTATACTCTTTACTAAGCCTACTTCCCTTTCGTAATTTATCTAACTCAGATGCCTCTATCAACTTCGTTTCAACCGAATCACATGTCTTTCTTAATAACTAACTAACTAGTTAACACTGCCATAACTTGCTCATTCATGCCTTTTAAATAATTTGATGTAGTATTAATTCTTGACAAAGGATCAGCTCCTACGTTTTCTTTACCTTTAATACTCTTTCGCGCAAACCACTACATCACCTTTCAAACCTGATTCTACAGCTACATAGTGAATCGACTCACTTCGCGCCGGGATTAATAAATAATCCGAAGTATAATCCGGTGTTTCATAAATTGGCATTAGGCATTGTTTTCCATTTGAGTATTAGAATTCAACAATATATCGCAACCAAAATTAGATAAAAAATCTAATCTAATAATGCCATCTATTTTTAAAGATAAATTTCTAAAAATATAAAATTTATGATGAAATGATTCATCATGTTTAGTTTTAAGTGTTAAATATTAAATTTAAGTGTTAAATATATTACGAGTGTTACCGCGATTAAGACTCCTAGAAAATTTTCCTCGATTTGAATATCGAAAACGCTGTACATTTGTAGTATACTTACCGCGTGGAGAATATTTATGATTATAATTATCGCGTTGTTGGCTGGATCCTCTCTGGTTGTGATACCTTTTATTAGAATACTAGCTTTTGCCGCGGCTTCGTCCGCGTGGAACAGTTACTTCCGACAGATTTTTGGTTCTTCCCACATAGTTCCCGTTCTTGCGGGGTTTTCGGAATGGTCGAGTTCCCGTAGAATTTTCAGGATGAAACCTATGTTTTTTTTATTAATAATGAAGTACTCTTAACCAACAACATATTTATTTGTTTATTTGAAAAAAGATTAATATTATAGTGTTGATACAACTTAAATAAATTATTACGACTAAATTAGGTACCATAAAAACGGTTTTTGTGAGTTAATCTTAAAAGATAGACATATACTGTCGCGGACTGTTTTGTAGATCATTAAAAGAGCTATTATTCTTTAATACATATTTTTTGTGTATCTTGAACCGTTTTCACGGCGCACGCAACGGAAAGCTTCAAAGATGAAATAATTTCTCCCGTTTTTTACACATTTACCACTATATCTTTGCTCCTATTAGTCGTAGCCTGATGTTATACAGCCCACAGCCTTCCTCGATAACTGGACTATCCAACACAAAAAGAATTATTCAATTCGAACCAGTAGTTTCGGAGATTAGCACTTTCAAACAAACAAACAAACAAACTCTTCAGCTTTATAATATTAGTATAGATATAATTATTATTTTTGTACCTGCCTTGAAATCCTCTTTTACCTCGATTTGAGGTATTCCTCTTTGCATGACATCAGCATTTGTTGAGGTAGACCGTAGAGGGCAAGGAAATCTCCTCGTCCTTCGCCGCTTGGATCGCATCTTTAAGAGAGTTGTAGTTCCTAGCTGCTATTATGGTACTAAGTTTATTATTTTTTGGACCATCCGAAAATTGTTTAATTGCTTACTTTTCGTTCAATGGTTTTAAAATACTAGAATGTGAAGAGTCTCCGTCTGTTTGAGATATTGTCAAATCTGTGAATAGCTTTTCTATTTCAGTTCCATATTCATCTACCGACCTCCAACCCTGAGTAGTCTGTTGAAGACGTGCTTGAATAGCCTTAAATGATTTTTTCGTTAAAAGATGAACTTTCATATCACTGACAATATCTTTAACAGAAGTATAATTTATCGACATGCGCAATTTAGCATTTTCGGATAATCTACTCTTTAAAATAAATTTAATTCATAACGGGATATCTCCGCATATCCGCATACACTTCGATATCATCAATTAATCTTTTTGTGGTCTCTTCCACACCGTCCATGACTGGCAACAAACTACAAGCCGTTTTTAAATCGAAATCCATTTTTGTGGAATTATTTTCTGACTTAATACACATTTTTTTAATTTCTAAATATAGTATATTAATATTTTCATATATCTCAATAGCTTTATTCACTACATCCGACTTTTCACTACACTTAATATTTTTCAGAATTAAATTACTTCTTAACACAAGTTTTTCGCACTCGTTTAATTTATTTTCTATAATATTCCCATTAACCCTTTTTTTACCTGTCTTTATTAAGTATTTTTTTATTTTAATTAAGGAATTATATGTTGTACATAACTGATCTGTCATACTAAATTCTAATAATTGTAAAAGAAAATATTTATTACAAAATATCCCAACCAATTATTTTATAATAATTATACACTTAAGAATGTCGCCACGCAACATGATCTGTGCTGAATGTTACATCTTCTCTTTTCGGTCGGCGAGTATCATTTTCGTGAGTGTCTGAACACTGCTTTAATGAACTTAATTGATATGATAACTAGGAATTATATTATTATACTACATTAGCATATTAAAATGGATATATTATTATACTACATTCATATATTAAAATTATAACTAAGATTTGTTTGTTTAAAAAAAATGTTCATTTTATATTAATATACCACGTCGATGACACGCGTAGACTCTTTAATTGTACAATGAATGTTACGCACCTTATTTATTGTTCACCTTCATTGGTAGGTTTTTGACTGCGTCCGCGTCCGCGCCGGTACACACTCGCAGCTCGATGTAACGCAAACGAATTTACTTGTTCTCGGATCCATCTTTTATTTCATCGCTTGTAAATCTTGTAAACTACGATGATGGTGGCCGGAAATACATATAACGTAGACTACTATCCCCTTGAGACTATTTGTTGTTCCGATGCCCGTTTTGAGTTGTTCGATAGAAGCTCGGTTTCCACTGAAGCCCGCAGCATTTCATGCAATAATTATATCTTCTTTCGATTGCGATGATGGACATACTTGAATTATTGTAATTTTAAAATAATATTGTTATATTATAATGAAAACTGAGAAGAAAACGGAAACTACTAGTAGGGTCGTTATCTAATGTGGTTATTACTGGGTTTGAAAAGAAACGTCTATGTAGCTTTAAGTCACATTATAATAATATTAGAAGATTTAACATAACATAATGAAAGCTCGGGCCAATGGGTGGTCCACCATATTTGGATGTATACATGAGAATTGAGATGTTTTATAAAGGACACTTTACACTAGACTTAATTCTATAATATAGCATACACACTATATTAATTACACTTGAAGGCCCCCTCACCTCACTCGATGCCTGTCCTCTCGTCCGCAGAGCTCCGCGAGGCGTGTGCGCTGGTGGGAGTGGACGCGGACCAGTTGGAGCTGGCCCTGGGCGCCGCGCCGCCGTCCGCGCCCCGCGACCACCCGCACGGTACTGTGACCCTCGAGCCGCGGCCTCACCAGCCCGCGTCCTCACCAGCGGCCCGCTGATGTTGTTCCCGTCGGTCCGCAGACGACGCGTGCTCGGCGGAGGAGGAGTGCGGCTCGGAGGCGGGCTCGGAGACGGAGGGGGCCGGCGCGGAGTGGGCCCGCGCGCTGCGGGACCGGCTGCTGTGCGCGCTGTACTCGCGCCTGTTCAACTGGCTGGTGAGCGCCGTGAACGAGGCGCTGAAGCCGGCGTCCGTGGGCGCGCGCCGCTCGCTGGCCATCCTGGACGTGTACGGGCTGGAGGCGCTCGCCCACAACGGACTCGAGCGGCTGCTCATCAACTACGCGGCGGAGCGCGTGCAGGCGGCCGTCACGGCGGCCACGCTGCGCCGCGAGCAGGACGAGTACGCGCGCGAGGGCCTGGCCTGGGCGCCGCTGCTGTACGCCGACCACGAGCTGTACGCGGACCTGCTGGACGCGGTGAGCCGAAGCGACAACTGGGCGTTGTCTGTTAGAGCGAACATGATCACACGCAGGTTTGCTCGTTGTACTACACCTGTTAAAATAACTCTTTTTAGAGCCTTCTGTACATCCTTCTACACGAGCAGCCTGTGGATTGATTATTCGCAAAAACAGTACAACGCCTTACGTGTGCAGTACAACAACGCTTTTAGGTTGCTGATGGGGCTGCCTCGATTCTGCAGCGCGTCTGGGATGTTCGCCGAGGCGAATGTGGACTGCTTTTACGCGGCCATGCGTTAACGATGTGCATCCCTGGTGCGTAGGGTTCGAGCCAGTTTTAACAGCATCCTTGTAGCGTTTTCTGACAGGTTTGATTGTCAGTACTTGAACCATTGCAGTATTGTCCATGTGCTGACAAACAAAGCATGTCAGAAAGGTACTGTAAAACTATAATTTTAAGTTATGTAGTTTTTACTAACAATAGGTTAAGGAGTGCACTATACTAACAATTTTGTAAATATGATCAGACTGGTCGAAATAAAAGATTATTATTATTAAATCAGTTTGTACAGCAATAGTTAGCGACAGGAATTCTGAAGTAAGTTTAACCTGTATCTCAAAATACCCGCTCCTCCTCCTGGATATACATATATCGAAACATACAATTATAAACTAACAAATATTAAACTTATTTTTAAGATTAAAGATGGAAATGGAAAACATTTTATATGTGTGTGTGTGTGTGCGTGCGTGCGTGAGTGCGTGTGAGTGTGTGAGTGTGTGAGCGTGTGAGTGTGTGAGCGTGTGAGTGTGTGAGTGTGCGAGTTTGTGAGTGTGTGAGTGTGTAAGTGTGTGAGTGTGAGTGTATTATATAATTTTATTTTTATACCTATTTACTTATTATTATTATTACTTTTATTAATTAATATGAATATTAATATTTCTTACGTTTGTACAGTTAACAATTCTTCAGTAGCATGATAGTCTAAAGTATAAAGCCAATTAGTTAATGTTTGTTTACACTGATGATATTGAAGGTCATAAATGTTAATAATCCTATTTATTTTATTATAAAGGAAGGAATTCTGTTTGTTGTATTGTCTGTTAGCAAATTGTGTGTTGCAATGTTGTAAATTAATTACTGCATGACTTCGTCTTCTATTCTTGTCTGGTTCATTATATGTTATTGACTTATGAACTCTTAACACAGTTTGTAGAACGTAAAGTGGTCTGATTGTTATTATTTTGGTTGTTGAATATAGATTTTATGTATGTTGCTCATCTATACGTTTCAAAGAACATTACTTTTAATAATGATCTGTGGGCTCTTTCTAAGTGAATATGTTGGGTTTTGCAGGTACCTCCCCACACCGGGATACAATACGTAAAAATACGCTCACGCTTACAATACGCTTGGTCGCAGGGTCCGGAGAGTGTGCTGGGAATCTTACGTGACTGCACGGCCCGAGGGGCCGGGGACGGCGTGTTCCTACAGCGTCTGCAGCGCCGCCGCAACCCGCGACTGGTGGTGCTGCCTCCCGATCGTTTTCAGTGAGGTTTTATTTCGTCCTTCACAAACTCGCTCGCTCGTGGCCACATGTTACGTTCTGCCTGCAGGGTGGTTCACTTCGGTGGCGCGGTCATGTACAGCGCGCGTGGGATCGTGGCCAAGAACCGTGACGCGGTCTGTCGCCGGTGTGCCGCAGCCCTGTCCGCCGCGCGCGAGCCTCTGTTAGCCGCGCTGTTTGCTCCGGGCGCCTCCGCCGCACCGCCCGCCGGGTACGACGCTGCCGAGACCGCTTCTCATCCCGTCGTGAAAGAGTGTGGCAAACTCAAACTCAGATAACTTTATTCAATATAGAAGCATTACACTTCCGTATTGATGGTCACTCGAGACACTACCACCGGTTCGGAAAAGAAAATACCCAGACCTGAGAAGAACCGGCGAAAGAAACTCAGCGGGTTTATTTTTTTTAATATTTGTCTCATATATTATGTAAACAATTTAATATGAGACGAAATAGCTAGGAGGCGATCCTTTCATTCCAAAGGTGTACTATCGATCATAAACTCATTAATTGGGTTTTTGAATTTATTTATTTTGTGTGATAAATGGAAAGATCATATATAAGTTTTATAACAAAACTATTTTTATTTTATTTTTTTTTGCAATATTTAAAAAGTTATTTCAAAATAAAAATTAAATTTTAAATTCAGTACCGAAGACAAGCCGACAGCTCGCGAATAAACCCGAGCGCGTGTGACGTCACAATGTTAGTTTTTGCTCATTGTAGCATACGGAGATATAATAATTAGTACAGTGTTTTGAGTTTTTATCTAGTAAATTCTGTTGGCATTGTTAAATAATCAAAAATGTCAAAACTCAAAAGTTATCGCTCTTGTTTTGTACCATTATGTACAAATACTACAAAAACAACTCCTGAAAAAATGTTTTTAAATGTTCCACAAGACGAAAAACGTCGAAAGAAATGGTTTCAAGCAGTGCACCGAGATTATTCAAAAACAAAAACAATTTTTTTTTGTTGTGAAGATCATTTCGTTGTAAGTATTCATAATAATATTGTTATTAATTATTATTTATCTAAGTATATAAATCGAATAAGTATAGTTCAGTAATTAATTTTTTTACCTGGGCTCCAAATCATAACCTTTAGAATCGTAGCTGTTGAGTCTTTCTTTAATGCATATATAAACAAATTATTACTTTGACCATAATGTACTCGATCTGTTTGAATCTTAAAGTAGTCGCAAATAAACAACGTATCAGTGAACACGTACCGTGGTTTTCATTAAAAAACATAATCGTCCTGCAATACAATAACAACTTTAATACCATAACAGTAGCATTAAAAATTTTTTAATTGATGATTCAAAGCGATTAAATAGTAAATCTATATGTATGTTTGTCTAATAATTGGAATTCAATTAATAGATATTTTCATAATTTTATAATATTCTAGGTTCTGTATCAGACTACATTTAAATTTTTAAAGTATATGTTATTTTGGTTTTGTATAATGTTGTAATAACATTTTATTAATAATGATTTAATGAAATAATTATTAATTATATTTAATAGAGAATAAATACTTATTTTCATTTAGAATAGTATTTTTTAACAGACTTAAATTGATGTCTTAGCACCTCGACTCGACTTCAGCAAAATTAAACCGCACTTTTTAAAAAATTAGTTATCAGAAAAATATATCAACATCAGGAATATTATCCGATTTTGCTTTTATAAATCCTTTATCACACATAGTTAGTGGAAATAAACTTTTCAAATCGTTTTTCACTAATAAATTTGAGATATTTTTATCAAGTCAAAGATAATAGCCATAAATAAGGCGGCCAACTTTCCGAAAACTGAATGCGGGACTTAACCTTTCGTCAATGGCGGGGGGGGGGGGGGGGGGGGTTAGGGATTGGGAATGTCATAAAAATCTTCGCAACTGCCCATATTAAATTCAAGTACTCTCTTACGCGTCATGAGTTCAGAAGAAAGAAAGAAAACGAGATTAGCGCGGGCGCGATACGCTTGTCGTAGGTAATCTGTGTTCCTGCACTGTTGGCCGTGGTATGGCTGTTGTGTAGAAGTCTGGTAGAAAAATAGGGATGCGGGACATGCGGGACGCATACAACGTTTTGCGGGACTATTTTACTAATAATTTCAAAGCGGGATTTCGTCTAGCATTGCGGGACGGTCCCGCAGAATGCGGGACGGTTGGCCACCTTAGCCATAAACACTGTACTATTATGAAATTGCTTTAACATTATGACGTCACAAGTATGGCAACCAATCGTGGCGCGTTTACAGTCACGTGATTTGTTTTTGAATTTTATCAATTTTTAATTGTTTATAATTAATTTAAAAAAACTTTTTTCAAGATTTTTGCATTAAAAATCAATATAATTAATAATAAAGTTTTAAAATACATAAAAAAAATCAATACTTTTTTTTTTCAAAAACCCAATTGTATAGTAAGTTACTATTAGTAACCTTTTGCACATGAGCGTTCCTTAATATTTTTAAGCAACAGAGGCATTTTGAACGCTTTCTGGGATCCTGTTGTAAAACCATATACATTGCCCCACAAAGGAGTCACTGACTCTATGTAGTCGAGTAACAGGAGTAACAAGTTAGTGTTTGTTCCTTGTACCTGCTACAACATATCCGTAATCACACGTCCATGTTCCAGCGCGGGTTCTCCTCGGCGGCCGTGTGCGTTGTCATGTCGTCAGCGTGCGCTGGTGGGCGCGTTGGTCCGCCGTCTGCCCCCCGCCCCCCGCCTCGTGCGCTGTCTGCGCGCCGACGCCGCGCTCCGCCCGCACCGTTTCGACGCCGCTCTGCTGCGCCATCAGATCCGCACTCAGGGGTGAGTCCCGGCCTCGCTCGCCTCCCGCCCGTCGTTATCGACCTCGACCGGCCTTCACCGAGTCGTCCGTCACAGGATCATGGACATGGCGATGTTGCGTCGCGCGGGCTGGTGCGAGTCCATGTGCGCGCGGGGTCTGCTGGCCCGCTACGGCGTCCTCCGCGGCCGCGACTCCCCCGCCCCCGGGCCGGGCGCGGGGTCGGCGCCCTCGTCTCCGGGCGGCGCGGGGTCGTCGTCGCGGGAGGACGCGGTGCGCGCCGCCCGCGCCCTGCTTCGCTCCCTGCCGATACCCAGCGCGGAGTTCGCGTACGGCCGGACGAAAGTCTTCATCCGCAGTCCGAGAACGGTAACCTTCTTCTCCCCGGGCGGGTGGTGTGTCGTGTCGGTGTGAGTGAGAGCCCCGTGTGTGTGTAGGTGTGGGAGCTGGAGTCGCTGCGTGCGGCGCGCGTGTCGTCGCTGGTGTGTGTGGCGCAGCGTGCGTGGCGTCGATACCGCGCGAGGACTCGCTCGCGGGCCGCAGCCGTCATAGCGAGGGCCTGGACGCGCCACCGGAACCGAGAGGTAACCCAGGACACGGACACACACACACACACACACAACCACACACACACACACACACACACACACACACACACACACACACACACACACACACACACACACACACTCACACACACACTCACACACTCACTCACACACTCACACACACACACACACTCACACACACACACACAAACATCACATACAACACACACACACACACACACACACACACACACACACACACACACACACACACACACACACACACACACACACACACACACACACACACTCACACATAACCACTTCGATGTCCCCTCGATGGTGAACGATACATACACACGAACGATACACACATTCTCTCTCTTCTCCACTGTATACTTTTCAACCCCAATGCTCCTTTTTATCTAAAACAGTCCTTCCAATTCCTTAGTGATTCCCATTTCCTCAGTCTTCGCTCCGAACAAAACCTTACTCTTAAAACTCCTTCCCATACTTCTTCCTTTTTTACTAAATCCTTCTCTGTCCAAGCAGTACGCTTGTGGAACTCCTTGCCCATAAATATAAGACGTGCACAATCCGTTGCTGCTTTTAAGAGGCTTCTAAAACACTATCATTGTAAATCGTTACACTTTTATTTATGAAATATAATAATACTTACTTTATATAAGTGAGGGGACTTATGTTATTGAAACGAGTGTGTTTGGTAGAAGATGATAATTGCTGACTAATCAGCGCAACGATCTTAATATTTATACAATATCTGATTTACATACTACTTATTACACTACATAAGTATGTATTTTTATGTATTTGAATTTATTTATGAAATATATGTATTATTTTGTTTGTACACGTATTTAAACGTTATATATAACATGTATTAATCGTATGTATGTATGTTATGTAGATATGTTATGTTTGTGTATATATGATTTACCTAAAAGCTGTACCCCTCCGAACCCCTTTCTTAGTATTCAATGTCCTCTATCCAAAGGTTGTCTGGAGGAGACCGCCTTTTGTACCGTGTTCTTTTGCAACTGAAAGCCAGTACCTTCCTACCAGTCTCTACCGTATTGTATTAATCGGATTATAACGCGTTGTAACCGGAAATATTATTTTTATTTCTCTGCACTGACTTTTTAGAGTTAAGTCCCTGTTCAAGTGTCCAGCTCTTAACGATTCCTCGCCACAGTGTCTCCAGCCTGTTTTATAAAAAGAGTTTCAATGTTATCGACAGTGAAGTGTTCGTGTTGCTGTCAATAAACATTTTTTTGTGAATGCTTACATGCGTGTGTCGCGTCGACAGGTGTATGGCCTGAAGCCGGTAGTGGAACCGGAAACTCAACGATCTTCTGTTTAAAATTGGACTGAAACTGTCAAAAATAATCCATTCAGGCATTTATTTATTCAGGCGTCCTACATACATCGCTGACTGTAGCACTTGAGGAACGAGAGAGTCCATACAAACATGTGTGTTGTATGAGACTCGTGTGACGTGGGTTGTGGTCAGCGGCAGTGGCGGCTGGTGGGTTATCGAACTGGTGGTGCACTTTACTAAAATATTAAATTAGAAAATATAACAAAAAACCAATTGACATAAACTATGTTTATTTATTAATTATACATTAAATCAATGCGACGACATTTTTCTGAAGCGAAATATTCAATCAAATTTTTATTAAAATCGGATATTGTTTGTATAATTATTTTTTTCAATACTAAGCACAGAAAGTGCATTTTGCAAGTGCATGGTATATCGGAAAAAAGTTTTGATTCTTTTCAATTCCACTTCGTCATACATCGGGTGCTCTCGGTAATCCTCGGTCGCTCGTGCGGCGCCCGAGAACCGACTCATTACTCGGTACATTTCTATGAACTATCTTTTGTTTCACGCGTCAGGCGTATTAATGCGTATCTCATACAAGATGTATTAGCAGTCCTCGTGCACTCGCTGAAGCGCACGAGATATTAATGTATTAAAGCGCTCAAACTTTTTGACTATAATTAGAAATTTAATTTTTATACGTTTTTGTATGTTTAGAAAATAAATATTAAAATGGGAATTTAAAAATAAAGATGAAGTAATATTTTGTAATTTACAAATCCCTTTGAATTGGTGGTTCAGCGCACGAGTGCACGTAAGGTACAGCCGCCACTGGACTCAGCGGGGATGTACGGACCCAAATAAGCTGGTTCATATTATTTTTTACTTATGAGTTTGTCATTTAAGCGTTAAATAATTAGTTCTTTATCCCTTTAAATAAAATTAAAGGCATTATTCGAAGGATAACGTTGAAACTCTTTAATAAATTATGATCGATGGTGACCTACGTCCACACTCCCCCCGCGCCCCGGCATGTTCCCGATATTTGTTTGAAACCGGAATTGGAACAATATAACCTTATTGTAAAGAATCCCTCTGTGATCGTTTCCTCTTCATCAACATATCCAATGTTGTTACAGAAACGTCGCGTGCTGGAGGAGCGGCGCGTGTCTGTGTCGGTGAGTGTGCCGTCAGTGTGCGTGTGTGTGTGTGTGTGTTGTGTGTGTGTTGTGTGTGTGTGTGTGCATGTGTGTGTGTGTGTTGTATGAGATGTGTGTGTGTGTGTGTGTTTGCTCGCGGCCGCTCGTCACGTTGTCCGTGTGTTGTTCCAGCGCGGCGCAGAGGGCGGCGGCGCGGCGCGGGCCGGCCTGGTGGTATGGCGCTGGTGGTGCTCGCAGGCGCGGCGCGTGTACTTGAGCTCGCTGTGGTCGCGGCTGCCGGCGCGCCACCGCTCGCCCGCATGCGCCGCCTGGCCGCCGTGCCCGCAGCCCCGTCTGCTGGCGCGCGCGGACGGGCTCCTGCGGCGCCTGCACCACCGCTGGCGCTGCCACCTCTACCGCCGCGCCTTCGACCAGACGGCCAGGAACCGCATGCGGGAGAAGGTGACCGCGAGCGTGCTGTTCAAGGACCGCAAGCTGAACTACGCCCGCAGCGTGGCGCACCCGTTCGTGGGAGATTACGTTCGGCTGCGCGCGTCGGCGGCGTGGCGGCGCGGGCCGGGCGCGGGCGCGGCGGACCGCTACGTAGTGTTCGCGGACGTGGTGGGCAAGGTGGCACGCTCCAGCGGCCGCGTGTCCCGCTGCCTGGCCGTGGTGTCCACGGGCGCGCTGCTGCTGCTGGAGGCGCGCTCGCTGCGTCTCAAGCGCCGCGTGCCCGCTCACTGCGTCTACCGCCTGTCGTTGTCTCCCTTCGCCGACGACCTCCTGGCCGTGCATGTTCGTGCTGTACGTATGGAACTCTGCACATCTTTATATATACAGGGTCACTGGTGAATTACTATCAATATTTAAGGAGAATACTCGGTACATGATTCTCATTCGAATTATGTAAAAAAAATAGGTACTTAATTTTTGACCAAATTTCCGTACAAATAAATAAAGCGTGGACACGTTCCAAGTGTTCCAATCGTGGACGCGTATGGCGGCGTGCTGATACAACACTACGCCGCCACACGTGTGTGTGTGCGTGTGTGTATACCTAATCTTTAGGGTGTTCACACGATGCATAATTAATTACATAACTTTTGGTTAACTTTACTTAGAAGTTTATTAATATTTATGTTATATTAATTTTTATTTTGTCATATACATATAATCGTCAAATATCACGTCCTCAAGTATCGATAGTAATTCACCAGTCACCCTGTATAATTGTTCTGTGAGTGTGTATGTCACTGGACTTATCTCAAACGGCTGAACCGATTTTGATGAAATTTTTTGTGTGTGTTCAAGGGGATCTGGGAATGGTTAAGATTCACAATGTTGTCCGCTGGACAATGTGTTTTTAATTAATTTTTAATTTATTAGTAGTTGTTGATACAAACGTTTTTTTTGACATTAGATTTGACAACTAAGGAGCCGTTCAAGTATTACGTAAGCACTATGGAGGGGCGGGGGGGTCTTTGCTTTGCTTATTTTAAATGACATGGGGGTAGCGGAGTCTAGGTATCGAATACGTCATCGGTAGTTATTAATTTTTAATCGTCACATCGAGTAGATACATAAAAAATACAATTATAATTTTTTCTCTGAACTTATATTTAAAAAAATATAGTAATTGAAAATGTTTACGTAAGCATGGGGGGAGGGGGTAAGAGCTTTGGTAACTTTTATTGACAAGGGAGATGAGGGGGTAAATAATTGTAATAAATCTGCTTACGTAATACTTGAACGGCCCCTAACTAATATGTCAATCATTCTGTCGCACTTCAAAACACGGAGGTTTATGGCTTTAATATGTATGTAAACTCCAAAAATATAAATATAAAAACGTAACAGATATTTCTTGATTATAGGGCGATACAAAGTTCGCCGGGTGTTCTAGTATATATATAAAGCTTTCTATGTTAAAGTCACTAAAATTATCGGCTTCATAGGACCCATCTATCGAACATCATTCCATTCATCACCGTCCGTTGTGGTTGCTCCTCAGTGCGGAGGGCTGGAGAGCTCGGTGGAGGAGTTGTCTCAGTGTTCGGTGCGCGAGGCGGCGGACGCTCCCGGCTGTCTGTTCGGCGGCGAGGGTTCGTGGCGCCGGCGCGGGGACGTGCTGCTTCGCACCTGCCACGTGCTTGAGCTCGCCACCAAGCTGTTCCTCGTGGTGCAGAACGCGGTCGGCTCGCCGCCACACGTCAACATCGCCACAGAGTGAGTCCTGACACCCCCTCCCCGGGCCGCCCCGCCCCCCGCCTGCCCACCTCTGACCGTTCTCATCTTGCAGGTTCGAGGCCAACTTCGGCCAGCAAATGGTGACGGTGGCGTTCCACGCGCTGAGCGGCGGCGAGTCGGGCGCTCGCGTGTTGCGGCGCGGCAGTCGTATGGACGTGCTGCTGTAGGCGCCGGGCCGCGCCTCCTCCAGTCCGCATGTGATGTAGTCTCCGCTCGTCCCTCGCCGATATGTTTTCGTTTCGTTCGTGTCGTGTCGAGGCGCCCGGTGGTGCCGAGTCCCGTGTCTCCACAGATACCTTCTCGCCACGCCCCGGCCGCCCTCGACTTCCTTCTTCTACTTAGTCTTCTCGTCGCCTTACCTTGCACATTTTAGGCGACCTCTCGATAAATTGAAATAGATTTCTTCTGATCGTAGATATATCTAATAAATTCTTTTGAATGTTCCCCGAAACCTTCTAAATCCTGTCCAATGTTTCTTATGAAAGTGAACAGACCAAAAATGAAATAGGTGCTAGTGTCGAGTCTCGAGGACGCGTCCCGGGCAGCTCCCGGCTCCGGAGGCATCGAGCGAGGAACATGAGCCGCGCCGCGTGTGTACGTGTGTCCCGTACAGAGTGTAAGGGGACAGTTCACGTCCATGTTCCTCCGGGTGTTCGGACGGACACACAGACGACCGGCACTCAAAGTAACTGATGTCAATGTATTTATCTAATAGAATATATATTAAACATTGAAGGCCTAAAGGATTCCCCCGCGTCCCGGGTCCTCCTCCTCCCTGCTCCGTGAGCTCGACCCGCCTGCGAGTCTTCAGTCCGTACTTCGTGTCATCGCCGGTGCCAAACACATCAATCTCATGAATCGCCAACTTCCCCTCGTTCCAGTCCGCGTCATACGTCACACTACACTAGTCGGGGCCCGCTGGTCTCCCTCACTACTACGTCCGATGCTTTCCGTTTGCTCAAAACGTTCAGACCCCGATAGTAAAGAATCCGTTGCGCGCTCGGAGCGAGTTCGAGCTTATGTGTTCATGTAGCTAGCATTAATTAATACGATGATAACGCTCAAAGACACAAAAAGATGCATTTAGACCGAGTGAAGATTGTGAATATGTATCTGATGAAGTCCGGCGCGGCGTCGTTGAGTGTGTCGTGCAAGAGAGAGAGAGAGAGAGAGAGAGTGAAGTAGATAGTGCGAGACGTCATGTGCGAGCGAGATGGGGCACCGCATGACGTCACGCGTGAGCGAGACGGTGCTACGTGTGAAGTGATGCGCGAGCGAGACAGCGCGCCATGTGACGTCACGCACTGACTCTGGATCTCTGTTAAGGCGATTTATGTAATATGCATGTTACGTTTTCAACGATTACTTATTATAAAATGTTTTATCGTTTCTAATAAAAAATATAAAGTTTTTACAACTACCGACTTTTAGTTCATCCTCTCGCCTTCTACACGATAATTATTTTTTTTAAAAACAACATTGCACTCGGGTATCTAGGTATGTTCATTTTTAAAAATAGTTTGTGGTGAAAACTTCTTCGATTTAATTTTTGTTAAATGAAATGAATTGAAAAGTTTAACAGAAAATAAATATTGGTCACAGTCACATGGTAAACTTAGCCATAAGTATACAAATCATAATTTATCTTCATTTAGCCACTCTTGGTCCACGGCTGGACATAGGCCTCTAGTAATTCGCTTCACAATACCCGTTCCTCCGCCAAATCATAATTACTTGATTTAAAATACGACAATATTTTGTATTTCTTGTGTCGTACTAAAACGATTGTAATTCTGTTACTTATAAGAGGTAAAAATATAATTTAATAAACATTTTAAGTATCCGAAGAAATGTATTAAATTAAAAAATATAATTTTTGGTTTCTTTTGTGTTATTTATAGTTTAAATGTAATATACACTAATCGTTTATTTCATTTTTATTCGGCCATTCCCATAATTTAATATTTTATTGAATCCTAAAAACTCCACAAACAGAAAGATTACGAATGTGTTGAAGCAAAATGTTCAACCAGTTTGGTGTTCTACTGGCCACTACATACTGCCGGTGGTTCATGTTCCTTTGATCCGGAAACCATGTGTGGCCAACCTATGTACCGACGCAATGGTGCAAATAATAATTATGTTTCTAATAACTAACATGTTAGTTGTAACTTGGACACTACGTCAATCTGAGAGGTGATAATCTAGCACAAAGACTCTCATTCCACATATAGCTGGTTGTGACTATAGTCCAGTCAAATTAGACATTCGAGGTTACATAAATTCGCAACAAGCTGAATTTTGGTACAATTGTTCAAAACACGATTATAAACAATAGCTCAAAGTTCCCCATCATTCCTGTGTGTGGAAAAAATTTTATTCAAGGTCAAATGTCTAAAAAAAATGAGTTTTTCGCGATTTTCAGCAAAACGGTAAGTTTTATCAGAAAAATACCTCAGACTAAAATTGTAGATCATTAAAATATCTATAAAAAAAAATTTTTTTTCTCACGAGACACCGTTTCGGAGATATAACGATTCAAAAAGTTATAAAAGTAGTTATCGTCATAATATTCATGAATACGACACGTATGTATATACATCTAGAGTTGTTATATCTTTATATATATAATTCTTCTGTGAGTGTGTATGTCACTGAACTTCTCTCAAACGACTGGACTTGAAATTTTTTGTGTGTGTTCAAGGGGATCTGGGAATGGTTTAGATTCACAATTTTGTCCGCTGGAAAAATAAAAGTTTACAAAAATAAAAGGTTACACAAATAAATCAATATTTATATATATATAAATATTCTTCTTCTACCTGGCAATTTCCCAGCTATAGCCAGGATCTGCCTTACATGTTGTGAATAGTTTTGGCTATTTGTTTTTACGACTGGACTCTTGCCTGACATTAATCCTCTTTGGGAATCAGCATTAATCAGTGATGTCTAAATACTCTTAGAAAGTACATATAACTCGGGAAAAAAGATTTTATTTTAATATTTATACATCTGACTTACATACTACTTATTACACTACACCCCGGGGGTGAATTGAAAAAAAAAATGTTTTCTTACGAATAATTGAATTAATTAATTGACCATTTGTATAAGTTACATTACTTGTATATTTATCATAATTACACTTACGATTTTGTTTGCCTAAAATTAAATTTTCACGAGCATCCTGCTGCTCTATCTGAAACTTAAACTTAAGATCTGAAGCATAATTATCTGGGTTATATAATGGTTCAACATATTGACTTACTCTACCCTTGTAGAGTTTGTATTACACTAGGTCTACCAAAAACTAGCTCGAATGGTGTGTATTTCGTTTCTGACCATCACACTGAATGCGTAAGAAAGCACCTAATTATCTCCATGGGCGCCTTGACCTACCTACAACGTTTAATTTTTTGACGATTTGGATACGATTTGGATTTGAACGACTTGTTTGTCGATTTGTTAGCAAATGTTTTAACATCTTTATCCAAGCCTGGCCAGTAAAATTTTATTTATACATAGTGTTGATATACTTTTAGTTTTAAGAATATGATGTTATGTTTTGTTTCTTTAATTTTATTGTGTATTGTAAACTGTTATTTTTTATTTTCTTTATGTTTAAACAAAATGAGCGCGTCTCACCGTCAAGCATAATAGCTTGGTGAGAACAAAAAAAAATTGTAAACCATTTTAATACTAAGAAATAAATAAATAAATAAAAATAAAATAAAGAACTGAATGCACACTGAGCCTGTGTTTTGAGACATAGTCCGGAGTCCTATTAACGTAATTGATCACTAAAAGTCACTATAGGAAAAAATAAATAAATAAATAATACCTAATATACTTACTAAGTAATAATATAGTCAGTGGTGGCCTAGTGGTTAAGGGACTCGCCTCTCGTTGCCGAGGGCGCGGGTTCAAACCTGGCAAGTACCAATGTGATTTTTCGGAGTCATATGTACTTTCTGAGAGTATTTAGACATCACTGACATACGGTGAAGGAAAACATCGCGAGGAAACCTGGACTTTATAGTTTCACAATTATATAAGTTTGAAATCACCAACCCGTCTTGAGCAAGCGTGGTGATTAATGCTCAAAACCTTCTCCATGTGAGAAAGAGGCCTGTGCTCAGCAGTGGGCGTCTGATAGGCTGATGATGATACTAAGTAATAAATGTAAATAAAATATAGTCCGCTTTAATTTTTTTATGTATGCAAACTATTAATTTTATCTAAGTAAACGATTTAGAAAGTTTTTCAGTTAGCCCCATGATAACAACAATTTGACAGAATAGAATCGGGGTCGTGTAGCAGAAAGAAACAAAAATGCAAAATATTTATATCAAAATAGCGAAAAAAGTTTACACCAAAAAAATGTTCTGATTAGTTGCATTGGATATATGTTGAACAGATCACAGCAACAGCATGCATGCTACAATGGACAAACCGTCTTGTTAAAACGAATAACGCCGTTCTTCATGTCGCCGGCAACAGCGAGAAGCTTCCCCGCCTCTTCACGTGCCTTACGAGGGGCCGTCAGAAGCCGCCGCTGACAATCCCTTCTTCATCCACGACGTCCACAGTTCGTACTTCCTACGTCACTTTTAGCAACTTTTAGCGAGCTGGGAACGTACCTATTCGAGGGGTCTTTCATGTCTAATTTCTTAATGGGTGGTCCGAGCAACGGCCTCGGCCAACTTGCCTCGGTGACTCTGTCAAAGCCGCAGGGCTTACAACATTACAAAAAAGAAGAACGTTTTGTTTCAACGAACAAAGTGTATCAACAGTGGCGGCTGGTGGGTAATCGAACTGGTGGTGCATTTTACAAAAATATTTAAATTAGAAAATGCAACAAAACATAACGAGATGTCAATCATGGCTCAATTCGTTATACATCGGGTGCTCTCGGTAATCTTCTGCCGCTCGTGCGGCGCTCGAGAACCGACTCATTACTCAGTACATTTCTATGAAGTATCTTTTGTTTCACGCGTCAGGCGTATTAATGCGTATCTCATACAAGATGTATTGGCAGTCCTCGTGCACTCGCCGAAGCGCACGATATGAGTTAAGTAAAGCGCTCAAACTTTTTGACTATAATATTAGGAAATTTCATTTTTTATACGTTTTCATATGTATAAAAAATAAATATTAAAATGGTAATTTAAAAATAAAGATGAAGTATTATTTTGTAATTTTTAAATCTTTTGAATTGGTGGTTCAGCGCACGAGTGCACTTAAGGTACAGCCGCCAGTACTTTCTTGTGTGCTACATGACGTAAGCGAGGAGTTGGCACTTAAGCAATAAGTAAGGTTGATATAAGTCATAACGAATAAAATCTAAGACTTTCTCGAGTATTCATGAGAATGAAACTAATATTTTCGGACTAATAAACAAAGCGTATTTTATTATTTTCAAAAAACTACATAGTCCCGACGTTTTGGTTACTTTTCAGAAACCGTGATCACGGGCAGACGAGATATGAATGTCTGTCAGTGGGTTTTGTTATTTACTATCTGGCAAGTGTTTGATAGATTCCAGCTATCTTTTCTATTGAAATTACGGTGTTTTTTAATAATTAAAATTATTTCAATAGCCTGGCGGATTAACCTCGGTATGTCTTCACGAGCGAGGATTTGTAATTTTTGAGGTCTGTGATATGTTCCATCACCTTGTACCGATACTCTTCTTTGTCTGTCCAATGTATGACAAGCCACAGTCACAATCGAGTTTGTATACACCCTCTTGAAGCAAAGGAATGCGGTACTCGTGGTAGCTCTCATGAAGTTAATGCAAACGTCTATTGGTGTTGTAACATTCATCAATCAGTCATCCTCATGTCAGGGAAAATAAAACTCATATTGTTTCCACATCAAATTTATAACAATCTACTTACATAAATAAAATAAAAATAAAACATTAAAAAAGTGTAATATCCCACTCTCGGTACATTGGGAGTGGTTGCTGTCATATTCAGTGGACCCCAAGACATACGGCCAAAAATAGATTATAATGCAAATAATTTGAAAATATTTCTCATAGGAAATACCTACACTATTAGGCGACGTCATGATAGATGGTTCAGTGTATATTGTAGTGTAGGCCATTTGTAATTAATACGATTCTCATAAAGCTTAAACGTTATTGTTTCATAAACAGAGCGATTTGAGTAAATTCGTGTTTAAAACTAGTATCAAGATATTAAATTCTATTAGTTTTATACAGACAGAGCCACGAAGAGGATGCAAACACTAAACACTTCTGTTCAAAATTCAAAACAAGATCAATACGAAGATAACGGTCATTAAAAAAGAATTTCCTTAGAAATGATATCAAACAAAACGATCAGTCGCTCACGTCGCTCGCAGCTACATGACGTATATAGTATTAATCCAATTTATTTATTACCACCAAGTCTCATATTAAACATTTAGTAAAATGTATTACTATTAATTCTTCTATAAATCAAAGAACGTTTGGACCTTGCTAGTATGATATGTAAGTAACAGAAGAATGAGTTTCAAGTCTTTGCAGTCTTCTTCTTGATTCGTGAGGAGCTCGTGTCGGCGAGGACCGTTCTGTTACACACTACAAGGGAACGATAACATTCAGTCTTCTCGTTACGCTCAGCTCAGTTCACACACACACACACACCACACACACACACACACACACACACACACACACCACACCACACCCGATACCTTCAACTTCAGTGTGTCTGTAAGTGTCGTGCTGTTTTTACAATGTTAAACATGCTTCACCTAACACATCTATATAATATGTATATGCATATATTAGTACACATCGTGTTATAGTGGGCAATTAACGTATATGAGTTGAGTATAGCTCGAGTTGGCATCGTCTCACTACACGCGGTGAAATAAATCTTCACACTTAGTTGAGTGAGAGGCGGGAGCCGGCTCGTGTGTAGTGAGAGGATGAGAGCTTCCAATGAGTGAACACAACACACGCGGTCAGACACACAACAACACGGAGGACTTGACACACGCTTACTACATATAAACTAAATGTAGAGGGATGCTTTAAGCGTTTGAAGATGATTTAGAAAAAGTACAAAATTATTGATCACACCACGGAGTCTGGATGTATCCGATACATTATACATAGTTGTGAACTGCCAGCTGCCAGCTCTATAAACTATGCTATTATAAATATCTATTATAAATGGATTTAGTAAACGTGAGGCCGTCTTTAAGCGGGCGACTGATACACGAGGAGAGACGGGCGGCAGGACTTCATACAACACGCTGTACGTTTAATATTATAACGTCTCTTACAGAGTCACTCACTCAGTTCATAACAAACCAAGGATACATAGAAACTTCACATTTATTAAATATACAACACGGAACTACTGCTGCGGAGCGGTGACGTCACGCGCCCGGGAGCCTTCACTTGATGGAGCACGCGAAGTGTGCGCGGAGACGCTGCAGCGACGACCTGGACGACGTCTGCTCCGGGACGCCCTGCGCGACCTGCACCACACGCGGCCTACATACAGGGGACCGGCGGGGGGAGGGGGGGGGGGGGCGAGTGTCACCAACCTGGAGGGGGGGGTTGTCGTTCCGGAGGTCCGCGTCGTCTCCGGCCGCGTCGTCTGCACCTGCGGGAGACACGCCGGGGCTCATGAGGTTGAACACACCTCGGGACGGCGCGTGTTCAAACTCAAACGCGTGTGTGTGTGTGCATGGGAGTGTGCGTGTACCGTGTCTCGCTGTAGGGTTCCCGTTGTCGTCTCGCTCCGAGTGTGAGCCGCCGCTGTCCCAGTGCCAGGAGGAGCCTGCGGACAGTCAACTCGGTGACGCGAGCTTGTTGTATGACAACAATCAAACGTTACCATTATAAAGGCTGCCATCAGAAAGGAAATGATTTTTAAACGGTTTTATTTAGCTCACCCCGTTTGTTCTATTTATTATTTATTCTTGGGTCAAATTTAGTAATTCAAATTTCACCCTCTTCCTGTCAACCGATTTATCTGAAATTTTGTATAAACTTTGGATTTTGGTGACAATACAATTATGTTTATTCATTATCATTATAAATTCAAGATGGCCGCCGCTACAGAATGGCTGATAATTTATGTTTTAATAATCCCATCGATATGGGTATCAAATGAAAGGGCTCAACAAGCAGCGAGCGAAGCAAGCGAAACTGTTTGAAGAAGGTCAAGCCTACGTGGCTCTTAGTAGAGTAACATCTTTGCAGGGACTACGTATAGAGGAGTCGGACTGAAATAAACTAACGGGCGAGAAAACTTGCAATAATGAAGCACTAAATGAATTCAACAGAATGCTAAATAAAAACTAGAAAATAAAAAAAGGTAAAAAAACTTTTTAAGTTAAACGGTTTGACGTGAAACATACATTGCAATGTTTAAGATAATTTATAAAACAAACATTTTGATCAACGATTGTAGACAATTGACGTGCCCCACGCTTTTATTTTAGTCTAGTCTATGCATATGTTTATAATTCCCACGAATGTATCTACTTTATTATTTTTTGGTTTTTAGTACATTTATCTTAAACATTGCAATGTATGTTTAATGTAAAACCGTTTACTGAGGGACCAGGATGAGTGTGTGTGTGTGTGTGTGTGTGTGTGTGTGTGTGTGTGTGTGTGTGTGTGTGTGCGGGGCGAGTGTTGTGATAGTCACTGTCCGAGGGGTCGCTGGTGTCGGTGCGGCGCGGCGAGGCGGGCTCCGACGAGTCCAGCTCCAGCGACGAGCACGCGCCCTCGGACGCCGACACCTCCGCCGAGCACTCCGTCTCCACGCTCTGCAACACACACGTCATCATCCTCATCGTACGTTCCTCGCCCGAGTCTCGTCGTGGCCGCACCTGTTTCAGCTGCTCGTCCGACAGCCGGCCGTGCTCGGGGCTGTTCTCTTCACTGGAGCTGGTCTCGTCTGTAATAACAATGTGTATGTCAGCGGTGGTCGTCGCGGGTCAGTCAATGTCAGTTCTTCCAGTCAGCGTGTACCCTTGAGCGCGGCGGCGGGCGGAGGGGGCGACTGTACCCGCAGCTTGTGCCTCAGCAGCGGGTAGAAGCCCCGCGCCGTGGCGTTGTGGGGTTCGTACTGCAGGATGAGCCGACAGTAGTCCAGCGCCTCCGCGTACTGCCGCCGCATGATCGCCGAGAGGAACTGCCCACATGCACATCCACCTATTAAATCCACACTCTCTCACCTTCCCGACTCTCATGCACCGCAGCTGTCTCGCGGACAGCGCATCGGATGCGACTGTAAACGGGCTCGAGTGTCGAGGGTCACTCTACTATGTATAAGTAAACATAATAAGAAAATAATAAGCCTTTTTATTAATTATTTCTACAATGGTACAGTTACATTATACTCGTAATATGTGTTTTAGATTGTGTTAGTATACACGTATATTTATTTATTAGATTTATAATTAGTGTTAGTATGTTAGTGTTATGAAATATGGACCCCTGTTTGGGTAAAGGCCTCCTCCATCCTCTTCCACGACTCCCTGTCCTTGCCTAACTTGATCCATTCGTTTCCTGCTATGTGTATTATCTCATCAGACCACCGTTTTATTGGTCTACCAACATTCCTTTTCCCCTCTGGTCCTTTCCATCGTGTAGCTTCGATAGTCCATCGCTTGTCTGTATAACGTGAGATATGTTCGGCCCACCTCCACTTTAATTGTAATGCGTGCTTCAAAGCATCGGTAAGTTTAGTTTTTTGAGGGATGTGTTCGCTCTTAATTTTATGTATTTTTCTGATTTTCAGTATACTTCTTTTGGCTGCATTTGATATTACGTTTTATTTTGCTTGTAAATATCCAAGTTCGGCAACCATACAACAAACAGGGTAACAAACATGTATCATATACTGTCTTCTTCATGTGTAACCTGTAATTTCCTTTTAGGATTTCCTTTAATGCCCAGAATTTTTTCCAGCTTGTGTTAACTCTTCTTGTGACTTCTTCTTCGTTGTTGAACGTTTTAAATGACATTTGTTTTCCTAAGTAGATGTAGTGATTAACATATTTAGACCAGTGCAAATAGCTTTTAAAACATAATTAAATTATAGTAGAATGAAACTCATTAGAAAAGGAGGGGAATATTATAAAAATTAAAGGAAAAATAATTAACGGGCGATCTGAGGTCGGGAAGGGTATGGGGGTATTTAAGGGTAAAAAATAGGTTTTCTCGATTTCCGGCAAAACTAAAAGTCCTATGGAAAAATGTTATATGGCAAAGTTGTAGGTATTAAAAAGACCTAAAACTTTTGTAAAAACATTTTTTTCACATAACCTCAAAATTTATGTGAAAAATTGGAAAAAACAATCATGTCCTTTTTAATGAAATGACACTCGACATCGCTTTGAAAATGCTCTTTCTAATTTATTTTGAATAGTTGTGTACTCTGGAAGTTCTCCAGATAGTCCCTCTTTTAGGTCATTTACAGAAAATTTACTTTAAGCTGCTAAAACTATTAAAAATAAATTAGAAAGAGCATTTTCAAAACGATATCGAGTGTCATTTCAATTTCATTAAAAGGACATGATTGTTTTAACCAAAAATGGTACTGCTAGTAAGAAAATTATATTTTTTCCTTCACCATCAAATAAAACAGATTTTAACGAACAGAAAACTATCAAATTTTTGAAAAACGCTGATATTTTGATGGGTGATTTTTCGATTGAAAATGAGGCTAATTTTTGGATATTTATTCAAAATAAGCTTAAAAAATAAATATTTCTAATCAAATAAATTACAGTGCATTTGTAACATTAAAAGGAAAGTTTTCACCAAATTTTTGTGGCAAAATATTGTTTTTTGTAAGAGATAAAAATAAAAAACCAATAATTTGGTTTTTCGAATTTTTCACATAAATTTTGAGGTTATGTGAAAAAAATGTTTTTACAAAAGTTTTAGGTCTATTTATTACCTACAACTTTGCCATATAACATATTTCCATAGGACTTTTAGTTTTGCCGGAAATCGAGAAAACCCATTTTTTACCCTTAAATACCCATCCCCATACCCTTTCCCACCCTAAGATCGCCCGTAAATTATTTTTCCTTTAATTTTTATAATATTCGACTCCTTTTCTAATGAGTTTCATTCTACTATAATTTATTTTCACTTTTCATTCATTTTAAAGGCTTCTGTCCTGGTCTAATTCTATATTGTTATTTTTTATTGTAATTTTATGTGTTCGCGATAATTGGTTAATATCTTGGTTTTGTTCGTATTCATTTCTAAGCCGATTTTAGAACTTTCGCAGTCTAGCGATCGCATCATATCCCCTAGGTCTTTAGCTCTTTCGGCCAATATAACGATATCATCAGCGAACCTCAAATGGTTTACATGATGTCCTTTTATATATATACCCTTGTTATTACAATCTAGTTTTTGAAAAATATTCTCAAGTACTGCTATGAAAAGCTTTGGAGATAGAGGATCGCCCTGCCTTACTCCTCGTTCTATGTTTATTTCGTCTCCTCTTGTTTCTAATTTTACTCTGCTCGTAGGTATTTTGTGTTTCAAGATGTTTATATATTTGTAGTGAACATTTGATTGTTGTAGTGCGTGCCAAATTGAAGAATTGTGTCGACGGCTTTGCTGTAGTCAATGAAGGCCACATACAGGGGTCTTGTTGAATTCTCTATATTTTTCTATGATTTGTTCTAGTGTTTGTATGTGGTCCATTGTGCTGAAGCCTGATCTGAAACCTGCTCGTTCTTTAGGTTGTTGTTTATCAGTATCGGCTGGTATTCTTTTTAGAACAGTCACTCTACTGTAAGTAATCATAATTCGTCAAACCTCTGAGAGGAACTCGCTGGGCGCCGAGGAGGGGTCGTTCCCGTCCGAGCACTCCGGGCTGGTGGAGTGTCGGGGCGCGGACATGGCGCAGCGAGCGTCGCCCGCCGCCGGCAGCGTCACCACCAGGCGGCGGCCGGCCGACGGGGCGGCGGGGGGGAGCGGGCCCGACCGCGGGCGGCGGGGGGGAGGGGGGCCGCGCTGACGACCGGGCGCGCAGCACACGCAGCGCCACCCGGGACGCGCTCTCCAGGACACGTCCGGCCGGCGGAGACCAGGCGGCCCGCGGGCGAGGGGAGGGCGGCGGGGGAGGCCGGGCCCGGGGCGGCGCCGGACGGTACAGCCGCGAGTTGGGCACCGGACGACAGAACTTGCGCTTCCTTCTCCTGGGGCGACTCGCTTCACTGCGACCGCTCCGTCTCTTCGGTTCGTCCTTCGCCTTGGGGCCGGGGTAACTGCCGGAGAAACGGCGGTTTGTTGTTTGGGTAACACGCGCGGTCATGTCTGAAAATCTCTCAAGAGAAATGTTTGAATACGAACAGACGAGGGTTGGGTGTGTACAGGCGGGGAGCGCGCGGCAACGACACGGGCGCGCGACGGACACGACGCGGCGCGCCGAGGTCTATCACGTCTCCGGCTTCTGATCCACTCTCTTGTTGACTGTCAAAGAATATATTATGTTCAGGTCAATGTCTCTAGTGTATTTATTGACATTTTTTAGAACCACAAAATCTTAAAATTGTTGACACATTTCTCTGTTATAAAAAGATATTTCTTTTAATTTAATAAAATTAGACTAATATAAGAAAATATTTTTTACCAGACGATTGGCGCAATATACATTTCTTGACTACAGCTCATGTATTGAGACTGTGGACAGCACCCGACTCTGCTTGTCTTCGTCCGTCAGTTCATTCAACTCTGTCAGTCAATTAATTCCAGTTCGTTTGTTTTAGTCTTCCTCCACATTCTCTCTACTTATTTCATTCAGACCGAAGGAACGTGTAGTCTATTTCAATACCAATACTAATATTGTAATTACAAATGCACCTCATAAGTCATAAGTCAATTCATAAGTCATTGTCATGTATCTAAAATAGCGTCCCTTGATTTCCTCACGATCAAGTTTCTAAGCTTACTTTAACAACTAAGACCTTAGCAATAATTCGTTAAAAACCTAACAATAATTAATCTATCATTGTAAGTATGTATGATTATCTTACGCCGAGTCGCTGTTGGGGATGTGTAGCGAGCGTATGGCGAAGGATTTACCAACAGACAACTCTCGTTTGGACACTACCGAGGGTCTCTCACGCTGGCTGGCTGGCCTGGGACAACACACGGATATTAGATATACGCCCGGAGAACACAGGCTTAGCTTAACTATAACAATCATTGAATAATACATTCTATAGCGTATATATATATGTATATATCTACAAGTTGTTTTGAAATTCAACGTAACCACAGTAACCATTGTCTCAAAACAGAGACTTGCACAATATTAAGAGGACACCAGGATGGTAAGTATGAGGAAGGATTGTCATGTTCGAATGAATGGGCCATAAAATAGTAAAATAAAAAAAAAAAACATTTTTGTTTTTCTTTCTAATATATTCCCTTACAAGATAGATTAATTTTTTAGTTATTTCAATTAATTTATTTATATTCTCATAAAAAATGTTAAATGTTTTTATTTAAAATCCATCCAAACTGCATCAGCCTGGACTTCATTGTCGATGTTAAATATTTTGCTCCTTTTTTCATTTTTTACCTTTTTTCATTTCTAGATGTAAGCACTAGGCAGTATAATCACTATGGGCCATAACTTTACTGTACGGTGTGTAATTCAAAACATTGAATGCCACCTCCTCCGCGGACATCCAGCCAGCGACTCTTGCCATGATTCCGCGTCTTTTCACTTTCTTAGCTTCTTTTAATCGCTCCAATATTTCGTAAGTTTCGTGAACACACTTTGCGTTGATGTTCTTTCTGCGTCGTGAGTGTCCTCGCCACTCATCTTACATTGACCTTAGTCAGACCAAAACAACCATGAGCGATCTTTGTATCTGTGATCCTCCACCTGAGAGAATTTTCTTTTTCAAGTGAGCATCGAGAGTTATCGAGTGTAATTATGTCAACTTTTAGTGAAGTTCTGGTCATGCTTGTGGCCGGGCTGGGGTCGTCTTCAAGTGATGCCCTCTCTTGTTTGAGTATGTTGTGCCTTGTGGCTTTTCCTGGACCAGAGTAGGCAAAAACTTACGACGTCTCATTCAGTATGGTCGGAACAGTTTTTTTTGTGCAGTAAACAATGTTATAAGGCATCGAAGTTACTTTTTACTTCCCATTAAGTAGCTCGGTTGACGATAGCTCAAACAATAATCGAGTTATAACAATAAGTTCTCTTATAGTTACTTGACTCACTGACCGACGTACAATCATGAAACCGTTGCCTGTTCTCATTTAACATTTCTGTATTATTTTATTTGTATAATATGCTTCAAATAAGGAACAAAATATAATGATAATAATCATATTTATTTATTTTTATTTCGATGTTTGTCGGTTTCGCTGTATGTAAATTTAAATGTTTTTCTTCTCTATGTCAGTCAATTCATACTCCGGACTGTTTCACACATTATTGTCTAAGTAGTAAGTACGTCACCTGCGACGTATGTGTTATTATTGGTACATGTGTTGTCTTGTTATTTAAATCTCTAAAATATAAAGTATATATTAAAACACTGTTTAAATCTGTTATGTTGGTTGATATTTTTGATTCTAGTGTTGTAGTTTTCAATATTATTTCTACTCTACATTAATAATTTATCTTCACACGGGACTATAAAATACAAAGCGGGTATTCTTTAGTTGTTTTTCTTTATATAATAACCGATCATTTTAACCGACCTCGCATCATCTCCTTGTAAACTGAACCGAACACCATCAGTAAACACAACACAACACAACACAAGCACACTGTCGATCGATGTCCGGAGCAACAGTTAGTGGTGTACTGGTGCCGACCTCAACGTGCTACTTCTGACGAACCTTACAAACTTGTGCCGACGGATCACTTTACTGATAACAACGCGTTAATTCTATACACCCCAGTTTACTTACTTTTTGTACGATATTTTGTTAATTCTACAACGTGAACACTATCTAGGTAGTGAGCAGCAAACCTCGCCCGCCGGTGTCGTTTTTCTAGGCTCTAGCGGACGAAAACTTACCACTCAAAGCTACGCGCATGCTCGTCCTATTATTAATTCATTGGCTGTTTGAATTAAATTACTATAAAAATATTTATTACGAAACCGAAAGGATCTTATAGGGTTATAAACAAAACTAATATCTATCTACCTTTATTATATGTATAATAATTATATGTAGTAGCTTGTAGCTATGTCTCATAATGTGAACAAAATAAGTTTAAAATAAATTGCTTTGATTTATAAACTTATAAATCACTTACAACTTTGATACAGCTCTCATTCCAACCACCATCGTGGATAATTCAACACCTGAATTTAGAAAAAAAACATTGATTAATGTATTTTTGTATTTTTAACGTAATACTAGTGTTACCGTGGAAACAGTAACGCAATTCATATTTGGAACAAAGGTATATTAAACTAAAAAATCAAGGCATTTTGAATAAATGAAAATTCTTATAGTGGTCGGAAGAAATGTTCTGGAGTAGTAATCAAATACAAAAATGTATTTTATCGCACCGTAATAATGCCTGATAAATCATATTTACTTTTATCTGGTTAGAGATATTACTGAAATTTAAAAAAAACTGTTATTAAATTTTGCTTCATTATGTGGAATTAATTTATAAAAAATAAATATAAAGTTTTTAAGGATAAAAATATTAGTAATCAGATCATTTAGGAACTACTAAAAACACTGCCGAGGGCAATTCTTACTGTAATATTATAATATATTTAAAAAATTCAATTTTTTCACGAGTTATCCCAATTAGATTGAAATTAATTACAAGTATACGTTAAAATATTATATTTTTTAATAATATAAATTTAAAAATAAAACAAGTGATGTAGCAACACTTGATACATCATGCAACACTTGAACAATAATGTCAAAGATACTAAAGTCACAAACAAACTATCTAAATAAGTCATTTGGCGTTTGCAGAAATGGCCGAATTGATAGTCGTCCCGTTGAAAAAATCATCTGATGTAGATATAGTGAAGCCTTTAAAAAACTTAATTCAATCCACATACAACACCGCAGAAACCAACGAAGATTTTAGTGACGCTATTAACGAGCTGAGTCGACTCAGGAGTTACGCTATATGGAAAGTGTTTGAAAAGTCGTCATTAGATGTTATTTACAGGTATTGTATGAGTCACGCTAACTTAGAGAATTACTATTTAATCAACGTTATTTTGTTTTTTAAATAATCAATTAATATACCAAGATAATTTGTTGTTTGTGCCATTTTAACGACTTTATATTGTATTACTATCAGCTACTATGATCAACTTGTGTGTCTGGAGAGGAAGATCCCGCCGCAGGAGGTGCAGATCCCCTTCAAATGGAAAGATGCTTTTGACAAAGGATCAATTTTTGGTGGCAGGATGAGTCTTAGTAAGTTTTATTGTACTCAATATTAAATACATGGTGAAACTGAATGTTTTGATTTAGAATTGCATCATATATAATATTGTTTTTATAGCCATCAGTTCGTTGGCTTATGAACGAGTGTGTATAATGTTCAACATGGCAGCTATGCAAAGTGCTTTGGCAGCACAACAGACTCTGGACACAGAGGAGTCATTGAAACTCGCAGCTAAGTTGTTGCAGGTAGGTTACTATCAGTATAGTTAGTAAGAGTATTGTAATGATTCACACAGGTTGTGTATACCTGTCAGTCGGGTGTATTGTTATTTATATTTCAAATAACTTTTGCTTTTAATTGTCCCAGCAATCTGCGGGTATCTTTGCCTACTTGAAAGCAAATATAATGCTGGTAGTACATCAGGAGCCCACGCCCGACCTCAGTCCTGATACACTGTCTACTCTGTCACAAGTGATGCTGGCCCAGGCTCAGGAGGTCATCGCATACAAGTGTATGAAAGGTAATCAATAATAAATGTAACGGAACGCATGACTCATGAACTCTTGAAGTTGACTCGGACATAAACTTGAGTGAACCCAACCACTTGTGTTTAACTGGTTTATAATAAGTAATAATTAGGGCCCGGATTAATATGTAAATACATATTTTTAATTTACGCGATTTTCGGTTTAGAATGTGTTTTTTACATGGACTGTCATATTTAGACTGTGAAAAACCAACTTTTATTTTCCATATTTTACCAATATTACAAGATTATTTTACAAGAAAATGTCACCATCACCCATATATTCACAAAAATACATAAAATTTACGTTCGCGCCACTAACTTTGGATAAAAATAAAGGAAATTAAATATGCTAAAAAATTTACAAAATTCTGTGAGAAAGTTTCGAGGGCTGTAAACTTGACTTACAAAATTACTGAATTAAGCATGTTTAAGTATACACCCATTACGTCACATGACTTGAGATGAGACCAATCAGCAGATATAAGGGTATATTTCGACCAAATCGTCAGAGATTTTAATTTTGATAATTTAAAGAAGCATGTCATCGTGTATTGCATTGCAACCAATTTGATAGGGCTAGTGTAATGGAACTTGAGTAAAACTTATTTTTTGTTGAAATAAATATTTCGCTACTTTTTTCATCGGTTTTTAAATGTAACTTAACGATGTACGTCACGAGTGACCCTTTTCTTATAGTAAAACAATGTTTAATTATGAAGGTATTTAATTTTATACTCCATATTTGATCCATATTTTTGATTTTTACATCCATATTTTATGTGCATATTTTCTATTTTTTAATACATATTTATCCGGGCCCTAGTAATAATGTTTAGATGCGAATGCCTTGAAGGTCTTAAATGTAAATACAAGATGATTTATTAATGTAAATGAAGTAGACAAAGGAACAGACATAACAGAATGTTTATTAAGTCCGTTGTATCATTACACTGTTGTGTTGTTGTCACTGCCTGAGTCTCACATGAACACATCCTCATCCTGTTTGTATTCTGATGAAACACAATTTATAAACAAATACATAGTTCAGAGAATAATAAAGTAGTTTCAAAAGAAAGTCACAAAGCACACATATAAAGAGATATCACCAATAGGTGATGTAATGTAGACATTTTTCTATTTCTGAATGATAATGTTGCATGATCTATAGTTGTTTTTATTATGTTTCCACATGCTTACAGACGAAATGAAGGAGAGTATGGTGGCGAAGGTGTGCGCGCAGTGTGAGGAGCTGTACACGGACGTGGTGCGCGCCCTGCAGAGAGACTCGAGGCAGTGGTACGACCGGGACTGGCTCCTCACGGTCAGTCATCACATCACATCACACACACACACACACACACACACCCCTCACCCTGCCTCGCTGTAGTAATATTACGTCTCGACATATCTTTACAGGCTCAGAGTAAACAATCGATCTTCCGCGGTCTCGCGAACTACTATCAGGCGCAGGTTTGTCGCGCGAACAAATCCTTCGGGGAGGAGATCGCCCGGCTGAAGGTCAGTTAGAGGTCGGCGGGACTCATGCGACACGTTGATACACGACACTCACTCACCTCGCTCACAGCTGGCGGTGGAGCTGCTGAAGGCGGGGCGGGACGGGAGCCCCGCGGCCGAGGCGGGCGTCAAGGCGGCGCGGCAGCTGGCGGCCGCCGAGAGGGACAACGACTTCATCTACCACGAGCGAGTGCCCGAGCCGCGCGCCCTGGAGCCGGTGTCGCGCGCGCCCGTGGCCTCCGCCCTGCCGCCTCAGGAGCGCTGGGCTCCCGGGCGACAGGTAATGAAATACACGTTGAAATTGTAATGGTGGTAGAACAACTAAATTTTTATTACAGATAATCCACATTCACACAAGTCATCATAGATGTTGACGGATTATAAATATATATTATTTTGATAATATTAGTATATATTAATTTTGATTTGAAATATATATTATTTTTGATAATATTAATTCTAAAATCTCCACTTATCAAAATAATCTAAACATTCCACACAAAACTTATTAAACAAACAAAAAACAAAACTTTTATTTATTACATAGTCTGTTATTAAACAATGCCTTGCATACCTAGTTTCTTTATAAAATAGTTATGTTTTACTCTATTTAATCAATTTGTTCGAAGGTCTGCTGGCATATCATTTATTGGAATGTAAACTTCTCTAACAAAATGATGCCGCACATCTATGTGCTTGGTTCTTTTGTGAAACAATGGATTCTCAGTCAACGTCTGAGCACCCTGGTTATCATTATATAATGTGATGACATAATCAAAACCATTTACAATTTCAGAAAACAAGTTTCTTAAATAAATCGCCTCTTTACAGGCTTCAGCTATCGCCATATATTCTGCCTCTGTACTTCACGAGGCTACAGTTCATTGTTTTTTACATTCATATGAGATAACAGTTCCAGAGAATTTAAAGAAGTAACCTGTATAGGATTTCCTATCTAGAGTGTTTGACGCCCAACCTGCATCAACAAAACCTTCCAATCTACAATTATCTTTGCTAAACATAAGCCCATATGATTTAGTTTTACATAAATACCTTAGGATACGTTTTGCATGCTTCCAATGTGTATAGGAATAACAATTATTGAATTGGCTCAAATAGTTCATACTGTAGGAAATGTCTGGACGAGTTAAAACACTGCCTGATGTACATCAGGCTGCCTGTTAGTTGTTATATGGATATTGTTTACAAATTTCTACACTTTTTTAATTTTAGGTTACATTCAATGGGAGTATCAACAACTTTATAATGATTGAGAACCCACTTTCGTTTCCATATCCATCAGCTTGGTTCTAATGGCGTCCGTTGTAATTTGGATACCAGAATGCTCGATGGCCATGATCACGGGCATGAATTTTTCTGTCAATCCAGCTAGTAAAAGACAGCCGATCCACTCGTCTCTGATTTTAAAAGCTGTCCCGCTCAAATTTTGACCTGTCTCGACGATCTGCGTCACGTACGCCTGCATGGAAGCACAGTTTTCCAACCGTATTGAAATAAGATTTCGCAAAAGAGATATTCTTCGCGAAAATCCGGGATCATCAAATAATGACTTAAGCTTACTCCAAAGTTCTGACGATGTTTTGACTTCCTTGATATGCACGTACAAGGCGCTGTCTATAGTCATGATAAGCTTTGCCTTTGTTTTCGCATCTTCTGTAGCTTCTATCGTCTTCCCAGATATTGGCCTGATACAATGCACCATATCCTCCAGGACTAGAAAATTCTCTGCAGCGAAAACCCATTCTGAGTAATTTTCTCTGCCTTTCAGTTTGGGCACGTTGACTAGGTAATTCGATGCCATCCCCGTTAGTTAACTCACTGGATAACACGATCGATACAATTATAACTTCAATAAGTCCGAAACTTACTTCTCGACACAAAACTACTTTTCAACAAAAGTATAGAGGTGCGCTGGGCCCATATAACCTAATGGAATACACGTTGTAATTGTAATGGCGGTTGAACGACTAAATTTTAATTACAGATAATCCACATTCACATGAGTCATCATAGATGTTGACAGATTATAAATATATATTATTTTGACATTAATTCTAACAATAGGACCTGTTCGAGAAGCTAGTGCCTCTGGCCGTCCACCAGGCGCTGCAGGCCACGGACGCGCGCCGTGCTGACCAGGTCGGGGCGGAGATCAACGCTCTCCGCGAGGACACGCAGCTGCTGAACAGCATCCTGGCGTCGCTGGACCTGCCCGCCTGCATCGAGGCGGCGGGCGGCGGCGGCGGCCTTCCCGACTCCATACGAGCCAAGGCGGCCGCCGTCAGGGACGCGGGCGGCCTGCCGGCGCTCGAGCGACTCATGGCCGAGCTGCCGGAGCTGTTACAACGGAACCGGGAGATACTCACCGAGGTCCGGCCTCCTCCACTCTCAGCTACTCTTGTATTAATTCATGATCTAATCGCAATCATCGTGACAGGCGGAGCGCATGCTGAGAGAGGAGGCGGAAGCGGACGCGGCCCTGAGGACGCAGTTCGGGCCGCGGTGGACGCGGACGGAGTCGGACAAGCTGACGGAGGCGTTCCGCGCCAACGCCGCCAAGTACACACAGATTATCGACAACGCCGTCCGCGCGGACAGTATCGTGCAACAGAAATTCCATCAGCACAAAGAGGTTCATTTCGAAGGCTCAAATTTTCATATATAGTCCAGTCAAAATAGACAAAAATAAGTCATAACTTAGCCAAAATTCGCATAGAGCTGAAAATTGCTAGAGACGTTAAATACATCATTATAAATGAAATATCAAAAATCCCCTTCGATCCTACTTCTGCAAAAAAAAAAATTTTCAAGGTCAAAAGTATAAAATGAAGGTTTTCCATTTTTCTCAAAAACAGTAAGTATTATCTTGAAAATAAGTCAGTTAAAAGTTGTAGATCATACAAATCTCTATCATACAATCATACAAATCTCAATGGTCTAGTCATTTTTTCTCTTACGACTCACCATTCATGAGATATCGCGGTTTTAACCATTAAAAAATTCATATTTTACATAATGATTAATGACACACATTTCCGCACCACCTATGAGGTAATGTAATTGGCGCATTTTCTTTAACGTAGTTTCCCCAGTAGGTAGTACTCCACGATTTATTGTAGTAAAGAAAGTTTGATCAGACCGTATCCTATTAATTGAAAGAATATGTAGTAATATTGCTAATGATTAAAGTGGAATAGGTTGTTTTTTTTCTACATGTCATCATTATATAAGATAATTGTCTATTTCTACTTCAACGTGTTTTTTTATTTTATCAGTGCTTATTACTTTGCGTCTCTAGACAATCACAGAAAGTTTATAAAACATACCAGTATAAAATCTCAATTCTTTGAGTGTCAAAGTTACCCCTTTTAGGGGTAACACACAGAGCCATGCACAAAAAAACTAGTAATAAGTATTATTTTTATCAATCTGGGTAACATTGGTGTATATATTTATTAACTAATGGATGCATGTGACGCTATGAAACTACCATTTTGCAGTTTTGTCTTATATTTTAAAAAAATATGAAGAATCAGCCTACAACATTTGGCAATGTTACACACATTTTTGAACACCATCAAAAACGGTTTAAAGACTCCTTTAATTAAACATTTTTTATTCAAATTAAAAAGAAAACAAGCAAAAATAATTAAAATAAACAAACGTTTTGTAAAACCTTGAGCATAACTTGTCTATTCTCCCCACTACATATAGAGCAAATCGTCATTAATTGTGTAGAGCCCAGGCTGTTTTATACTGATTTTACTGTTATCTACTGTAGATACAACATCATCATATCTATGTTTAATAATTTCTCTTTTATCTGCTCATTTCCAACCACCTTGTGTTGCTCTACTCATGACAACAAGTGTAATACGGGAATGTGAAACTTGTCACTTTTCCTGGAAACAGTGTGCCTTCTGTTTTAAATATAACTGTTGTTCCAGGTGAGAACTTAACATATTTTGATGTGAATGTTGCAAAACTCTATCTTTAACAACATATTCTTCAATCACCTCTTCTTCCACCATTTCAGTTTCTATGTAAGGGTAACTTTGACACTGTCTACCCAGTTACTGTTCAAAATACGTGTCTTACTATTTATGCATGAAATTTCAAAATTAGACGTAATTATATGCAAATTTTTCATGAAAATGTGGTAGTACAATAACAAATGGCTCTGTATGACATCTCACTTACCTTATCAGCAACCTAAATCACAAAATATTCAAAAAGTTATTCACCCTAAAGTAAACTGAAATTCGCGCGCTAAATTCAGAAAAAAAAGTTTTGACGTTTTTTACTTTTTTTTTATTTATTTATTAACACCAACAAGACATACATTAATAAAAGCGAAAAATACAATATTGAATAAGTAATCATAGAATCAAAATGTTGTCTTAATTATAGGTGTTACACACAATTCAAAGAAATATAGACACGTAACATGCAGATAAAATTATATTACTAATAATAATCATCAACATTAACGTTAAAATAATAATTAATACATAGTTTATTATAAAAAATAAATTTAAAATATTTATAATTTAGTACTTTAGAATCATTAATAAATAAAATATAGAATTGCAATATCAATAAAACGAAATACAACAAATCAATGAGTTAACACAACGACCATCATAATAGATTAATTTACATTATAATTGTATAACGAATAGAAACTTAATTTAACTTAATAAACTTAATAATTTAACTTAATAAAAACTTTCACAACTTACTTTTTTTTAAGGTGCGTTTAGGAAGCTTGTTTAAAATCACAATTTTAAAATAAACATATATGAATAGTGTTGGTTTCATGCGAAAAAATAATCGAAACTAGTTCATGGTCCCACTGTCAAAGTTAACCGATAAATCAAAGTTACCCAGATTGACTGTACTTGCTGTTTTCGAGAAAAATGGAAAAAACCTTAATTTTATACTTGAAATTTGACCAAAACTTTATTTTTGACCTTGAAAATTTTTTTTTGCAGAAGTAGGTCGAAGGGGATTTTTGATATTTCATTTTGATATTTATTTAACGTCTCTGGCAATTTTCAGCTCTATGCGAATTTTGGCTAAGTCAAATGTCTATTTAGACTGGACTAATAGTCGGTGAGCGAGCTGACCGGCTGGAATTAATTCGCAGAGTATCGAGATGCTGAGCCGCAGCGACCGGGAGATAGGAGCGGACGTACCTGACGCGCCGGACTCCGTGGACACGGACCGAGACGCGCTGAGCACGCTGAGGTCGCTCATGAAGACGGTGAGGAAACAGAGTGATGTGGGCGAGACCGGGCGGCGGAACTCTGTGGGGTGACAGAGATGAGTTATATCAGATGCTCCCCGGAACAGGTCGAGGAGCTGAAGGCGGAGCGCGACGCCATCGAGTCCGAGCTGAAGAGTGCTACCGTGGACCTCCGGGAACAGTTCATGTCGGCGCTGGCCGCGGACGGGGCCGTGGACGAGGCGCGCCTGTCGGCCGGCGCGCTGGGAGCCGCCCTCGCCCCGCTCCAGCGCCGCGCCGCCGCCGCACGCTCGCGGCAGGAGGAGCTCGCGGGCCGGCTCCGGGAGGCCCACGACGCGCTCATGGCGGCCCGCGGGGGAGCCTCGGGCAGGGAGCGGGCCCTCACGAGACTCAGCTCGGCCGCGGACGCCTACCAGGACCTCACCAACAACCTCAAGGAGGGCGTCAAGTTCTACAACGACCTCACTCAGGTGAAGCGCCCGCTCCGTGTCTCCTGTACGAGTCGGTCCATGTGAGTCTCCATGTGACACTGTAACGTTCTGTCCGCAGCTGCTGGTGGCCTTCCAGAACAAGGTGTCGGACTACTGCTTCGCTCGCAAGACGGAGAAGGACGAGCTGCTGAAGGACCTCACGCAGGAGGCGTCCCGCTCGTCCCCGCGCCCCGCGCCCGCCCCGCCGCAGCACCACGTGGAGGCCAACGAGGTGAGAGCCGGCCCGGAGCCCGCAGTCTGTACATTTCTCTCCGCCAGTATTCAACCCCCGTTCTCTTCCAGCCGGCCGTGGTGGCCAAGCGTGAGCCGCCACCCCGCCCTCCCCCGCCCGCCGCCGCGCCCGCCGTGTCCGCGCCGTCTCTGCCCTACCCGCAGCAGCCTCAAGGTGGGTCCACCATCTCTCTCTCTCTCTCTCTCTCCCGCCCGTCGTCATCTCTCTGACCCGTCCTTCTGTCGCCAGGTATGCCGCTGCCGTACGGCGCCGCTCCGTCCCCGTACCCCGTGTACGCGCCGATGCCCGCCATGTACAACCCGTACGCGACCCTGCCGTACCCGCACCACCGCGGCGCCGCTCCGTCCTACCAGCCCTACCAGTACCCCCCTCCCCCGGCCGCCTTCCCCCCGCCGCCGCCCGCCGGGTACCACCCCTACCAGCAGCAGTAGCGGCGCCGCTGAGCCGTTCATTTCTTCAGTACTCGCTTGTAATCATTTAGTACGGTTTGGTTTAGTTCATAGAGTCGGGTGCTCGGTTGACCCGCTGCTTGGTCGTCTTTGAATATTCATTAACTGAATGTCATAATATATACGAAACTTGATGGTGCAGACGATCATCGAGGGCGTGTGTGTCATAATATGTATAATAAATATACAAAGTATAAATAAATGTATGAAATATATATTTTATGATGTATCTAGATTATAAAATTGTAAAGAATGTCCAAATACTTTAAACAAATCGATTTGTTTCGAACGGTTCGATTGAATTTATCTGCATTTGTAAATGTTGAAGAAAAGAAAAGTTTAATGTTTGAAGGAATATTGTTGATGAAATTATAGTTTAAGTCTCTCACGGAACTAACATTATTATATGTAAGCTAACATCCTCATAATAATATGATGTAGGTGAGATAAAAACATGTTGTATTGAAGACGAGCGAGACGTCGGCACTTGGCGGTCTCAGGAAACAAGACAATAGCACATTAAAATATTATATTTGAATTACAGATGAAATATAATACGTAGTTGTGTTTGAGTTTTAATAATAAAAAAAAGCATATTAATAATCTCCAAAGTTTATTCGTTTTATCATTTTATGTTATCTTTAATATATTATTACATAAATATTTTTTTAAATCTATATCGTGGTTTTATTTATTGTTCAAAATACATGGCTGTTTTTTGCACTTGATTACTAGCAAGCTAATTTCCCGTGAGTAGTGAGCGGACTTATGTTATTGAAACGAGTGTGTTTGTTAGAAGATGATTTATTACTGAATTATTAACGCTACGATCTTAATATTTATACATCTGACTTACATACTACTTATTACACTACAGTAGCTTATTTTCATTGAGACGCCCAACTTTTTCCCTTGCGATATTTCTTGATTGTGGTAGCTAACTTAGCTAGCAGAGATAAAATATGTTTATTTTGATAATTTTCCAAAATTTATTACTAACCGAATTTATTTATGTTAAATCTTTTGATAATTATCTAAATAATTCGAAAAAATATTTGTCCTACAAAATGTATGTTTTGATCGATGAATCCCCCTCCTTTCAACATGTATCGATAACGAGGTCATCGCAAGTGGTTACTAACCAGCTGATTTTTTAAATTTACTTAGTTAATATTTAAATAACAGTAACATTGTCCTACAAGTTGCTTGGTACGTTATCCCGATCCTACGCTTAAAAGTGGTTGATGCCACAAGACCATTCTTCTCATTACTAACTGTAGGACGAAATGCCACACGATAGATTAGTGTGATCTCTGCCCAAATTAAGCTATGTCCTACAAAAAAACAGGTATGTATCACTTATCCGACAGGAATTATGATTTTTTCGTTTTTTTTACTTGTAATATAGGATATAAAGAAAAATTCTTTTTTTTAATAAAAATAACTTACTTTTTTAGTGAGATGAGTACAAATTAAAAAAAAAACAAAATTAATCTTCATCAGATTCATCTGATGAATCTTCGCTGCTTACATCGCTGTTACCTTTATTTATTTCATTGTCCTCATTTGTGATATCTGACTCTGTAATAACATGACAAAAGTTAGAAAATTATATAATAATACGTAATAAATCAATAATTAACAATAGTATTAATAGGGTACCTAGTAGGTCAGAAGATAATTCCTCAAAAGATGGACTTTGGGGACCATCAAACTAATAAAATTCATAATTGCCATCAATAATTGTTCATCCAAAATTTACTCACAATTTTTCTGTGGTGCACCGCATGTGTGCATTACACCATATATTGCAGATGAATGCAGTTCTTTTAATTTTTTGCAACAATTCTTGTTTTAGTGGTTGCAAACTAGAAGAATCATATCCTACGATTTTTGTTTTAAAATTTCTTCATTTTATTTTTTTGATTTATACAAATAACTCATAACGCCCTTTGTTGATATCATTATTTTGTTTTTAAAGGATACATTCTACATAAAAACTCTTCAATAATTTGAACTAACTTATTCGATGTTGATAGTGCCGTATTTCCCATTGGTAAGAGTTGAATAAAGGCCTCTTAAAAATTAATATATATTGTCGAATTTTTTAATTTTTAATATATTTTTTAAACTTTTTTCCCTTACAAAAGAATAATAATTCCCTGTAAAAATATGGCATATGGCGAGTGAACAAGACGATTGATCTCCAAGCTTGGCATTAATGTCGTTGATGTTTAAGTACATTTTTTTTACTCGTGCTTAAATTGATAATGACTTGAATTTCATCTTTTAAATACTTAAAATTTGGTAATTTATTAATTTATCTAACTAGTAAGTAATCATTCGTGATGACCTCCTTATCGATACATGTTGTCTCTTTGATCAAACCATACATTTTGTAGGACATTTTTTTTTTCGAATAATTTAAATAATTATCATAAGATTTAACATAAAAAAAATCCTATTAGTAATACATTTTGGAGGATTATAAAATCAAAATATTTAATCCCTGCTCTGTTATCTACCACAATCGAGAATTATCGCACAGGAAAAAGTTGGGCGTCTCATTGAAATGGAGCTACTCACGAAGATTCGGCTTGATAGTAATTATTTTTTTATCAATGATGAGTACTACTACTTTGAAGCGTAGGACGGGGATAACGTACCAAGCAACTTGTAGGACAATGTTCCTGGTAAATTATATAATTATTAACTAAGTAAATTAATAAAAAAATCAGCTGGTTAGTAATCACTTGCGATGACCTCGTTATCGAAACATGTTGAAAGGAGGGGGATTCATCGATCAAAACATACATTTTGTAGGACAATTTTTTTTTTCGAATAATTTAGATAATTATCATAAGATTTAACATAAATAAATCCAGTTAGTAATAAATTTTGTAAATTTTTCAAATTAACATATTTTATCTCTACTAGCTAAGTTAGCTACCACTATCAAGAAATATCGCAAAGGAAAAAGTTGGGCGACTCAATGAAACGAAGCTACTCACGGAAAATTAGCTCGTTAGTAATCAAGTGCAAAAAACAGCCATGTATCCTGGACTATTAGTTATAGTTCCAAATATATAATAACCACAAACTAGCGATCAGTAGGTTTTGTGAGAGAAGGCACTAGGGCTACAAAATCAAACATCAAGCCTTACTCCATCCTCCTATGCTATTTATATAATCTATCTATCATTTGTGTATATCGAGGTCCAGACATGTTTTTATATTCGCTAATATTAAAGCACGTTGTGATGATAGAGCTTACGGTTCATTGACAAACCAACATCCCCAAAGACCATGCCATCAAGGTCAACAAGTATTACTTGCTCACTAAGGATAGGTTCGTAATAATTTTAATTTAAGATGTATTTAAGATGTATACCAGCTAAATCTCTCTCTTTCTTAGGCTGTCCAAAACAAACTAACTAACATCAGTTCATAGGATCCAATTGATCGTGTGGTGTTAAGTAGAACGAAAAATTAAATAAATCTCTTGTGAGAGTTACTCCTGCAATGCGGAACTTAACATTTATATTGATGTGTCAAGAAGCGACAACAATAATTACTAAGTATAGAACTGAACCACGATCTCGGCTACGTCTTCGTCTTCACGTACCTATTTAAAGCCGCGGCTTCTATCTGAACCTTATTAATTATTATTTTAACAAGTGGTATATAAATATACAGTTTATATACCAAATATCCAAAAAGAGTTAGCTATTAAATACGCTTGGTTACTTAATGGCCAAAGATAACATATTGGATGAACAGAACAAGCCGTTGGTGTTCCTGTGGGATAAATACTACTTTTCCCGTTCCCATAGAATTGCTCTTTAAATATTAGCACATTTACAAAAAAGAAATTAGAAAAATATTTTGTCTTCAAGATATTGGTGAGTTTGGAAACTCAAACATATTCCTCCTAGTCATAAGGTAAATTCTCGCTCAAAATAAAGAACATAAGTAAAGGTCTCCTCCTCTCGACCACAAACTCACAACCATAATATTCCGACTGACATTTTTTGTTTGAAATGTATTATTGTGTCAGTAATAACAAAGTACTGCATCATATATTCACTGTATATTTTTAATGTGGATGTTAAAAAAATTATAAAAATAACATCCATTAAGTTCAATACATCTGTCACACAACAATTATTCAATGTTGTGGTTAAACAATAAAACATTGTAAATAAAAATTACTTTTATTTTTATGTTTCTGGATCCTAAACTCTGACAGGGATTCCTATAACTAATGTAAATAAAAGGCGGATGGTGTATTACATAGCACTATTTATTAAATTAAAATTTCTAATACATAACTGTTGAAGAGCCTTGCAGCAAGTTTTCAGTACTTGGGGGCGGGGGACTCCTCCTTGGAGTAGTCTCTGATCGGGGAGTAGAACTGGAATAAATAAAATAAAATAAAAAATACTTTAGAATGCATCAATACTATCAAACAACCTCCCATGACACAAATATATGCAGATATTAAATATTCTTTGAGATAAAACTGATATTTTTCAGATTACTACTGTTGCTGTAAAGTAACAGAAAGTAATAAAAAACGCGTAGGATTATCCGAAAAATATTAGTTTCATTTAAATGAATACTTGCAAAATCTCAAGTATTATGCTTGAAGATAGTTGAATATTGTTTAGGAACACATTCACAAGTTTCATACTTTTTGAAGAAAGTAGGTATATGGCAACCAAAAGATTCTTTCAATCAGTTCTAATACATGGATGTAATGTGTAGGTCACCCCCCGGAGACAATAAAAAAAAGAGAAGAAAATAATAATTATATAACACATCTGGAGGAGCATCCTAAAACTTTGAGTGAGACAAATGTCTTGTGTTGACACAATCACTTGGAAATTTTGTTGATCTCAAGCAAACATCAAAAATATCAGACTTTATGTTTTATAATAATTTATCTGAATACTCTTCAGGAAATGACTTCTAATATTACATAACAACTACATAAATTAATGATTATAACATTAAATGTTCCACAAACAACAAACACATGTGTATTAGGTATCACAAAAAAACAGTTTTTTTTTTGATACCTAATACACATTAAGACCCAGTTTCACCAATCATTGTTAAGTAAGTAACATCTTGTTAAGGCATTTGATGCTCTGTTAGATGTATCGAGCGTTCCACCACTCACAAATGTCCGTTTAAATGTCTTAACAAGCCACTAATATTAATTCCTGCTCTGGAGCTCCGTCTAATGGCTAACGATTTTGCCTTGAACTAATAATTTGCCTCTAGCTTTTCTATGACATTGCAAATTAAGTTTTCTTTTTATGTCTTATAATTTGAACACAATTTATGCCTATATTTATAACACAATAATATATAACACAATTTATTAACAACACGATTTTGACAAGTTATACCTAGTGAATTGAAAAGTAAGCTTTTTGTGTGCTAAATGTATGCAACCAACAATATATAAAATTTGGTTGCATTACCTAACAAGTGACGTATCGAGGGATATATACAATCAAAGTATAAAGTGGTGCATCTTGGCAAACGTGTCGTGTTAAACGCTATAGTTTGTAGTTATAACAAGAACGAATAATTTGGTAGTCGGTCATTTGACATGATGTTTAATAATGCATTGTTAATTTGTCATTGTTGGACATAAATATTTTAACAGACATTTATAATTTTGAAGGTTGGTTAGTAGATGCTGTGTTTAGATTAAACAAACATTGATTGGTGAAACTGGGTATAAGAATCAATATGAGAGTGAATAACAGAATGAGAGTGAATAACAGAATAATTGAAGGTCATATTGTGTGAGGTCCAGTAAGTGTAGGTAATGAAATGACTAACATGAAAGCTTCTGCTATTACTACAGATGGTTTGTGTTCCATCAATTAAACGGAAAATGTACACCTCATACTAAATAGTTAACTTTAATAGACATTGTAACTGACTATTTTTTATTGGTCTAGACCCTAAGCTTAGATTAGATTGTTTTAAGCCAAGTAGATTGTTTGACATATTTTTATATAAATAATAAATATACCTACATAAAGTCATATTACAATGTAATATTTTATTAAACCTTCCTGACTATCTCAATCCTATTAATTTCCGTAGTAAACTAATGTCATTTATTTCCCTCTACCTTGTATTGTTTGTTCCTGTACTCTTGCCAAGGCTCAGGGTTGGTTTTCTTGTTCCAGCTGACGTCGGGTGAGCGCAGCGCCAGCCGCGCCAGGTAGAACACCGAGCCTGCACAGCCGAGACCGACGCACACGTACAACGGAATCAGCTGTACATAACAGATACATGATAATCTATGGGATACATACCTTTATTATTGTTAGACAATTGAACGACACGGACTAATATGCTCTTAACAAAACGACGAAAGATAAATACAGGTATATTAAAGGTAAATCATTAATCTGATAACACGACAGACAATTATAAAAATTATAAACCAAGTTGTAGGTTAGTTATGTAAGCAATAAATTTTGCAAATGATAAGATTTTGTTTTATACTTACAGCTTTGTGCTTTTTCAAGCTTTGAATGCTTAAACCTTGCATTTTGTTATTTTAAACACGAAGTGAAACTTAAAACCCCTAAACTCGTCTTCTACGTGATATCTATTTCAATAAAATATTTGTCAAAACTCAAGCAGGATCGACATTGATTTGACGTTATGCGCAAAAAATGTTGCTGTATAAAAATAAGAACCACTGCCTGTACATAGTGCCATCTATATCTATGAAGTAACTTCAAAAGTTTTTAAATATACATTTTTATAATTATTTCAAATAAAAAATTGTATAAATTTACAATTGCATATGTTATGAGACACAAAACAAAAATTAATGTAATCTATATTGACTGTCATTCAATATAATTATTTGACAAGCTAATCCATTGATTAAAATTGTTATTAAAAATAACCTATTTTTAATGATTTGGTGCTATTTTAGTGCGAGATAGCTAAATATTTAATAAAATATACGAATAAAATACAAAATGAGCTTTCTATTGTGAGTAAATGTTATCTCAATATGTTTATATTTTAGAGCTATTTATAAATAAACATAATATCACAACATATTAGATTTTATTGTTTAGATATTTGTTAGAAGTTCTATTAAATTACTTTGTAAAGAGAAAAATTGTTCAGAAAACATTTTTTATGAAATTATTATTTTATTATCGAAATGAATGACTAGGACTATGACTAGTGAATCGTATTTTTCAAAACAATGGTAAATAATATCAGAGTTTATCAAACTATTCACATTAAATAGTACGTTTCAAGACATAGTTAATATTTCTGTTATTTCTAATTTCTCCCAAACACAGTAATATTAGACAGTTTGTGATAATTTTTAGTGGAAGCCGATCAAACAAAACCTTTAAGCCAAAGAAAAATATACCGGAGGGAACTCATCAGTATGACCTGATGCGTCACGCGGCGGCTACACTGGGTTCAGGGAACCTGCGGCTGGCCGTCATGCTGCCCGAGGGAGAGGATCTCAATGAATGGGTCGCTGTTAACAGTGAGTAGAACAAATAGCACTTGAGACTAGAAATACTCTCTAACAAGCTGTTTAAGACTTACAGGATTCTAAACAACATATTGACATCATCTTTTGACCTATTTAGTTAAGTCAAAGTACCTTGTAAACATTACTAGAGTTCATAAGACCATATAATGTGATATTCAAAACCCTTACTGGACATACAGGAAAGCATGCAAGTATGAGAAGGTTAAATAAAACTATTATTTAATGAACACTGCTTGCAGACCATGTTCAATATGATTTCCTTGTAGTGTGAGTCATATAGTTTTCGTTACATCCTTTATATATTTATAGTACAATGATCAGTTTCATACAATACATGTTCATGACTCATTACAGATATCTGTCTACTGATATGTACCTATATAGTTTATTTGATGAATAAGAATACATATATGAGTACATACTTAGTATGTATTCATATACAGTGTAAACTCTATATAACGACACTGAAGGGACCGTGCATTTTAGTGCGTTATAGAGAGTTGCCGTTAAATAGAAAGAAGAGAAATCAGAATTAGAAAAAGACAAAGTTTATTTCAGACTAGTGTTAGTACTTATGTACGTACAAAAGAATGTTATACTTTTGAGATTTTGTGAGCAACTTTTTATGTTAACGTATAGGCAATACAAGACTCCTACTTATGGTCAAAAACCGTCGACACGTTTAAGCAATTTGTAATTGTAAACAAAAGAACGAATTTCTTAGAAAGTTCGGTATGTATGATAGGGACACTCGAGTTTATTGCGGGCTAGGATAACAAAGCGACAAAGGAACGTACACAACTGCACAGTTTTTACTAATTTTAGCAACTTAAAAGGTACTTTTATTACTTAATTGTTGTCGTTATTGAGAGTGGATGTGCCGCTATGTAGAGTGTATCATTGTATGGTAGACAAGCTAAACCAACCAAAGTCTAATGATTTCGACGCTTTAGAGAGTTTGTCGTTAAATCGTGTGTCGCTATATAGAGTTTAAACTGTATGTGTGTCTTTGTATCAACAAATATGGATGTGGTTCATCTGATGGAGAGGAAATGATGATACATTCACCACTAGTATGGTTGTGGCAGAGCTTAGACTTGTTTACTTATTAAATAAAATGCAGTCACTCGATGTCAGTGTCAATAAATATTTTTTAACAGTGGAGTCTTAAACTGAACTGTAGCATGAACACCTTTCCAAGTGTTTTAGGACTAAGATAAGTGTTTTAAAAGTCATTCTTTATAGATGCTGTATACTTTATGGTTTCAATATGATTTCCAGCGGTAGATTTCTTCAACCAAATCAATATGTTGTACGGAACCATCACGGAGTTCTGCACGGAGGAGTCGTGCGCCGTGATGTCCGCGGGACCCAAGTACGAGTACCACTGGGCGGACGGACACACGGTCAAGAAGCCCATCAAGTGTTCCGCGCCCAAGTACATCGACTACCTCATGACGTGGGCGCAGGACCAGCTCGACGACGAGACGCTCTTCCCGTCCAAGATAGGTAAGGCGCTGCGGCACACCACGCTAGCCATAACCCGCCCCCTACTGACGTCTCTATAGTGAATGTATGGTTGCAGGAGTGCCCTTCCCCAAGAACTTCCTCTCGATGGCCAAGACGATCCTGAAGCGTCTGTTCCGCGTGTACGCGCACATCTACCACCAGCACTTCCCCGAGGTGGTGCAGCTCGGCGAGGAGGCGCACCTCAACACCTCCTTCAAACACTTCATCTTCTTCGTGCAGGAGTTCAACCTCATCGAGCGACGCGAGCTGGCGCCGCTGCAGGAGCTCATCGACAAGCTGACCGCCAAGGAGGCGCGATAGGTGGCGGGGGGAGGGGGGCCGGGGTGCGTCATCAGGGACGGCGGCTGCTCCGAGTGACTTGACGTGTTATTAATGTACTAATGTTTGTGATATGAGTTAGTGGAGAGCGTGAGGGCGCGGCGCGGCTGTGGCCGGGCGGGCCCGCACCTTATATTATAGAAGTGTTTAGATTTGATACGAATAAGATAATAAAACTAAGTAGATATATGGAGGGAAGCGCCGACCCCCGCGCCGACTGAGGGGCGGGCGGGGGTCACCAGCGTGAGTGTCATCGTTCTGTATTATTTGTATGTAACGCCTAAGTTATTTGAGATATATTTTGCGCATTTTTTTTACACTGGTTTATCGTTTCCGCCGAGTGACCGAGGACCGTATTATTTATAACATGTACCGACCGTGAGACTATTATACGAATTATAAAACACTCCGTTGTTTACATTACTCTTTATTACCTAATGTACTACATATATAGATGTAAGGGTTACCGTGGTTAGCACGATCTCAAAACTTTAAACACAAGTAGCTTTTAAATAGTCTTCAGACCGTGTCGCTACTTTTCAGATATTGTCTCAACAAAAAGTCATCAGATCAATCTTCGAGAGGGTTTTTTTTATCAAATAATGATTACTTCACATTCGTTTCATTTCATTATTTTATCCAGCTTGAGTAGCTCTCCAAAGATGACTGTATTATGAACACCTGTTTTCCCAGCGCGGAGTGAGCCGGAGGAGCGAGCGTGATGATCCCATACATAGTAACTTTATCTTTCTCCAAACCAAACAACACATCACACAAACAAATTCATTCCTCTATATTTTAAGCTCTAAAAATGTGATATTTCAATGGACCAAAAATATTTAATAGTATTTTGTTTGAGCAAGGGATATGTTTTTTTTTTGGGATGTATGAATGCGGTCCGTCCGCTTGTCCTCCTCGGGGTGTGTATCGTCTCTAGGGAGAGGAAAGGAGCGGTTCAGGGATAACGATCTCTTACTACTCGTCTGTAGCTGTAAAAAAATGGATACGATAAAAATATATTCTTCTACACAAGGTCATGATTATAAAAATACTATATTGGCTGGCTTACTGGCAACGAGTTATGTTTGCCAGAGCTCCGCTCGTGTGTACAAACAGTCATATGAACTTACTAATTTTACTCTTCAATACTTTGACGTGGATTGTTCGTTGCCAACACTTCTTTTCTTTAGTCGCGTGTTGTTTAAGACCTGCCTGTAACCTACTATAACCATAAACTGATAAAGGGTCGTTTTTTTTTGTTTTCAAATTAAACCGCTTTAATAACGTCTCTACGATCGTTAAAAATATTAATCACCATTAACAATTATTCACGTAGTTCTAGGATCGCTGTCCACGAGTTGTTTGTACGAGTACATGTATACTTCAATTTCGGCATATAACTAATTCTTGCTCTACTTGGTAAGTAGCATTTTTATAATGCAACACAAACAAAATGCTCTTAGAGAGCACCTATGACTCGGAAAATAATACATTGGTACTTGCCAAGTTCGAACTCTTTTACAAACTATTTTACAAACAGAACTATTTTACAAACAGGCATTTAATTTGTACATATTTCAATAATTTTTATTTGACTATTTTCTATATGTTGAATGGTAAGTTAAATTATACCAATGCAATGAGTTTTTAATTTAACTACGAGTACTAAACAATTTACCACATCTCTTATCTATTTGCTCACTTCAGAACCAATTCGTTCCTCATCCCTTCTAGTACTATAATGTGTAAAGTTTAATGTATACTAAACTGTTTACGTTCCGTATGTAGTGTGACGGAATGAGCTCGTCTTCAGGTACCTACGGTTGGTTTGTGATCAGATGATTGAACACATTTCGCTGAAATAAAATAAAGAAAGTATTCACTATACAGAGTTAGCGCATGCTTAGTGTGTGTTGTAATTTCATGTTGTCGTGTAGTCACTCATTGTATTATGTTTTAACGCAACGATGTAGGAAATTTAACAAACGAGAGACTTTATATTGATGTTTGCAATAGACAATTTTATAACACTAATTATGATTATAAAACAGACTTTTCTCAGTAATTTCAGACTTCAGAAACACCAGTGACGGTATATTAGTAATATTCTATTATTGGCTTTTATATATTTCGCCCATGTCGTGGGTTTTATTATGTACGTACGTATGTGTTTTTAGTGTGTTACTCGAAATTTTGTAGGAATATTCCATTCGCTGAGTAGAGCTTCGTTAAAAATGGGTCTGATGAAATACCACCCACAGCGCGTGTTGACTTTGGGGACATTAAATAGTTAAGTCATAGGACTTATGAGAAATTCCTGTTTTCAAAACATAGCTCCTATATGATTCAAATTTGGCAGAAATTTTCTATGTGTGATGTAGAAAATATCTAGGTATGAGTGATTTTTATAACTGGGATGAGTATCCCCAATAACGATTGCGGGAGTGGGTGCTAACAATGAAAATTTTTAATATTTAAGGTATAGTTCTTTGGTATATGAGTCTAAACTTAGTATGAATTTTCAGTAAGCGATGTAAAAATATTTTCTGAATGAATTTTACAATATACAAGGTCACAGAGCTAGCGGAGTGGTTGTTAACAATGAAAATTTTATATTAACCGGCCGGGTAACGAGTGGTACAGTTAGTACCTACCTTATATACACACATCAACATTGACTAGGGATATTTCATTTTTACCAGTTGCTATATTATGAAATTCTGTATATATTTTGTTAAAACAATTATACATATTATAAGTATGTACTTAATTGATTTTGGTTATCCTTTATACTTGCAATACATAAAAAGAAATGTATCAAAAGATTTTTAATTTACTTTCGTGATTTTATTTTTGGGTGTAATTTTTAATTTGTACACAATGGGTTTTGTGTGGTAAATTATGAAAATTAAAGTTATAAAATAACAATAAAAGGTATTTAATTAAAGTTAATAATAATCTGCAGTATTTCCTCCCCTAATATTGTAGTATTGAGGTGTGGTATCAGGTCCCAAGTTCTTTTCAAGTGCAGGAAAAGTTGTTCTTCTGTTATCAAATTTGTCGAAAAACATTTTGTAACATGTCCCATGCGTGTTCGATGTGATTCATGTCGGGGGACTGAGCGGGTCAGTTCATAACCCTGATTTCATGTTCCCCAAGCAGAGTTAACACCAGCTCAGCCGTATGGACACGGGCATTATCGTGTATGAGTTGGAACTCCTGATCCATTTACCCAGCAACCACGCTTTGTATAGCAACCCGCTACCAACATGCCTACAGGCTACAGCTGTAATATGCTCTTCCCTTGTCAAATGTCGACGTGACATACAGTAAATATAATACACGTTGAAATTAGGAAAATTAACGAAAAGAAGAAATTTTTCTGAACTTCACTGTTCTATTGTAACATGAATTGTTCTTTTCGACGGCCAAATTTGAATAATCGATATTCTTTTGTTTCAAAATGAGTTTTTGTTTTTTATTTTTTTGAATTTGGAAAGAAGTGGTGAAGAAGAAAATATTTTATATACAACCTTTTTGTTTCAGTAAATAGTTTTTAAGTTAAGAAGTCTTTCATGCCATATATTAATGTGTCTATTATATCCCAGTTATGATTTAATGTTAATATTATAAAAAATGTACACACTTTGTACATATTTAATTGACTGTATTTTAATTAGAAATGGCGTGGTAGAGGTTGTACTTGCATGCCTAAACATTTTTATCAAATCTAATGCCTCTTCCTAAGTCTAACCAATTCTTATGTGCATTAGGTATATAAATATTGCACATTTGGATGATAAGGTTTTTGACTGCAGACCCTTTTAGTAAGTAGATGACAAACACAAGCCAAGCGGTCATCGGATTATAACTCTTATTAGAGCTGACATGATCGAGGAAGTATCAGTACAGTATAGTACAAAGACATCGATGTGAAATAGAACACGTTCATGAAGCATCAACTTTCTAGAGTCCCCTTAAGCTAATCGAAAGTATATCCTATCTTTATCTTTGGGGCTAACATTGCGAACGTTGAATTCTGGAGTCATTTGTAGAATAAGGATAAATTATTTTTAATATAATTTTGTTTCTATTCCCGCTTTTTTATATTGATGAGAATGTGTTATACTGAAAGATGAAATAAATACCGTATATACAATAATATGAATATAGTAAAAAAGGTTGTTTCAATGTTACAGACACTACAATTTTATTAATAAATATATGCATTTTTTGCTATATTTTCCGTAACGGTGAGCTGTTCTGAAAAAAAAAACTGTAAAATAATTGTCATGTACAAATATTCAACGGCAGAGTATACTGTAAGACGCCCCACAGACGTATGTTTGTCTCCTGATACGTCTCGTGAACAAGTAAATTCACGAGACTCTTTATGTTTCAAACTCCGTGGTGGTGACAATTATGACACTCCTTGGAACAAAAAATAGTGAAGTCATAAATAGTGATGTTCTGCGATAAGTATAGATAACTTACTATAAAATAGAAGTGAAAAGTAAAGCAGAGGCCCGTTTACATTTCTCTCACTTAACTGAACATTTAAGCTGTGTTAAAAAATTTATGGAAGAACGTTGAATTAAAAATATATAGTTTTATTAATTCCAATTCAATGAAGCCTCCGTGACCTGACACGATCTAAATACAACTTTTGTTGTTAAAAAATGAAAGCAACTATTTTCTTATGAGTGCTTTCAAGAAATATAACAAAAGTGAATCCTAATCTTCCTCCCGGAGCTCGACGCTCTCGGTGTGTACGGATTTGTCAGAGAAAGAAACACGACTCCTATATAACTTCTCCTGTTTTTAAAATAATCCTTTATTTTAAATATGATACTTTATTGGGTAAAAAGCAAGCAACATTTCCCTCCCGGCTACTGTGGTCTGAAGGGCGAGGGAGACAGCAGCACGACCCGAGCTGGTCATACATGAACATCTTAGACCTTCAATGAAATTAAGCACGTGAGTACATTAAAAATGCATCAAATTATTTTCTTTTATCTTATTTCTATTTATAACGTACTCCTTCCACTAAATATTCCTGACGTTTGTTACTCGAGGGCACTAAGTATGAATGTTCAAAGTGTCTTCAAAGTACATATCTTTGTATATATAATTCTTCTGTGAGTGTGTATGTCACTGAAGTTCTGTCAAACGACTAGACCGATTTTGATGAAAGTTTTTGTGTATGTTCAAGGGGATCTGGGAATTGTTTAGATTCACAATTTTGTCAGCTGGATAATGTTTTTTAAGTATGTAATTTTTAATTTATTAGTAGTTGTTAATACAAACGTTTTTTTTTGACATTAGATTTGATCAATCATTCTGTCGATAAACTCCAAAAATATTAATAAAAAAAGTAACATATTTCTTGATTATAGGGCGATACGAAGCACACGAGCAGATTCATACGAGTAGATTCAATTATTACATTGGCGCCCCCTGGGTCGTTGTAATTATAATATACTATAATCCTTAGATTGATTTTTATAATACTGAACCACTAATGTTGTATCGGCAACATTTAAGTATCACCTTGTATTAGAAAACAGTAAAATATACTGCCTTCAGCCATTTTGTAGAACATTACTGGAAGGAAAGATGAACATTAAAAATCGAAACTGAAACTATACCTCGAACACTATTTTTACAGATTTTTCAGACATTAGACCTCATCGGTCATGGTATATTAAAGTCATTTATAAAGTTCCTTAAGGAGGTGGTTCATGATTCCGGGAATATAGGAGTAGTCCACTGTAAAGTTGCATTAAGGACCGCGTGTTCTCGGTCTGACCTCTCGGACATGTGTGTCTTTTTAGTCGTAGAGGGATTAGTACACGTTTGACTTAAAATTTTTACTTAATAAAAAGTAGTACAAAAGGTAGGATTTCCGTTCGTATCTGAGATTTAACAACGGAACTACAGTCTTAAAGTGTCATTACTTATTTCCTTTCCGCTACATTACATAATCAAACATGAAGCGGTCGTCCTCGGACGGTCTAAGGGTTCTTCAAAGTTGCTGTGAGAACAAAAGGATGAAATGAAACAAAATATATAATTATTATATTATATATTATGGTCGCTAGAGAAACATGACATCATCAGTGGGGCGGCTCCGGGCGAGGCCGGGAGTGTGTAGTGACATGTGACACGCGCTACGACACGGTCACAGGGTCTTCATCTAATTAATAAATCGACGATACAAATTGATTCTAGAAATAAACATCAAATGATCATAAAGAAAACCTCACGACGACCGGCCCAGTGCTGTGTACGACATTATACAGTACATACAGAAAATAAACTACCCTGCGGTAGCACTAGTGTTGTAGTGTGAGAGAGACCGTGGGTGAGAGGCCTCATGCGGAGGAGACCGGCGGGGGCGGCGGCGGAGGAGCGAACAGAGCGGCGGGCGGGGGGGCCGCCCAGGGAGGAGGGGGGGCGAACCCGCGCCACGGACCACCGGCCAGCATACCTGGACACGTGACCAACAGTTACAGGCGCTATACTGGCGCTTTGAGGAACGAGGGGGGAGAGGGGTCACACTCACCTGGCGGCGGCGGCAGGTGCGGCGAGGAACCCGGCGGGAGGGTGCCGTCAGTCTGGGGACAAGAGACACACATCAGAATACAAGGACTGAGAGACGAGGATCGTACAGAGGGGGGTGACGGACCTGGTGCGGCGGCGGCGGGGGGAAGGGGGGCGCGCTGCCGGGCGGGGGGGGCTGGGCCGCGCTCACGGACGCTCCGGTGGACACCGCGCCTGAAACATACACACGGACGGTTAGTACGGACACGTGTGGGGGAGAGGGGACCTGTCGGGACTGTACTCACCGAGCCAGGGAGCGTGCGGCGGAGGGTGCGGGGGGTGCGGCGGGTGAGACATCGCGTGGAACCCGCCCATGTTGCCTGTGAGGTGAAATAAATTATAATACACAGTAACAACAATAAACAATACATTGTTTTGAAATTAACTTTATGACTTTTTAACCAAAATTCTTTCCCATAGTCATGTAAATTCCGTATTTTTTTTACGGTAAAATATTGCTACATTCTCAAGGAAAGGCATTTTAAAAATATAGTATGAAGTCAATCTGTCTCTATCAATAGAGCGGGTGCCAGGATGACCGTCGTAGGATGTTTACTGAACAATATTAATGTTAAGAACTAAAAAAAAATAATTTTAGGTATGTGTGGTTTAAGAAAGGCATTATACGAGCTCGTAAAGAGAACGGAGAAAAACCTATATAATAAAATGAATAAACGAGTGACATACTCGAAATAACAAAAAATAATCCGTAAAATATATAATAGTTTCATTTAAACTAAAAAAAAAAATGGCTACTTTTAATATGGATATTAATGAGATAACAGACTGTACGAGCATTAATGATTTCTTAAGCTACACACCTACTAATAATATGAATATATTATGTATACATTTAAATATAAGATCTATTATAAAAACTTTTCGAAGCTTGAACAATGTATATTAACTGCTAATAGACCCTTAGATGTGATAATTATTACTGAAGCCAATATCTCTGACAGTTTAAGTTGCTTATACAGGGTGACTGGTGAATTATTATCAGTATTTAAGGAGAATACTCGGTACATGATTCGCATTCGAATTATGTAAAAAAATAGGTACTTATTTTTTGACCAAATTTCCGTATAAATAAATAAAGTGTGGACACGTTCCAAGTGTTTCAAGTGTGGACGCGTGCGGCGGCGTGCTGATACAACACCACGCCGCCGCACGCGTGTGTGTGTGTGTGTGTGTGTATACCTAATCTGTAGGGTATTCACACGATGCGTAATTAATTACATAACTTTTGGTTAAGTTTACTTAGAAGTTTATTAATATTTATGTTATATTAATTTTTATTTTGTCATATATGATCGTCAAATATCACGTCCTCAAGTATCGATAGTAATTCAACAGTCACCTGTATAATATTAACGGATATCAAATGTACACAGTTTTGCGTAATTCACGAAAAGGAGGAGGTATTTTATTATATGTCAGTAACAAACACAAATGTATAATTAAAAACACTAAAACGAATTATTTTGAGAGTATATTTTGCACCATAACTACTAAAAATAATTATTCAACTAATCTATGCGCTATCTATCGCCCTCCCAGCTCCAATTGAAACAATTGAAACAATTACATAACGCAGCGACTTTTACTTACTAGGAGACATAAATATAGATCTGAAAATAGATAATCCTATAAAACATAAATACAATAACATGTTACACAGCATGGGACTTGTATGTGGGATCACAACTCATACTAGGATGGAATTAAGCAATAAAAAATTAAGTAAATCTTGCATCGATCATATACAGGGTGACTGGTGAATTACTATCGATATTTGAGGACGTGATATTTGACGATCATATATGACAAAATAAAAATTAATATAACATAAATATTAAAAAACTTCTAAGTAAAGTTAACCAAAAGTTATGTAATTAATTACGCATCGTATGAACACCCTACATATTAGGTATACACACACACTCACACAGACGCGGCGGCGGCGTAATGTTGTATCAGCACGCCGCCGCACGCGTCCACACTTGGAACACTTGGAACGTGTCAACACTTTATTTATTTATACGGAAATTTGGTCAAAAATTAAGTACCTATTTTTTTTACATAATTCGAATGAGAATCATGTACCGAGTATGCTCCTTAAATATTGATAGTAATTCACCAGTCACCCTGTATACGCTAGATCCCAAACACAAGAACTATGCACTGCTGCGGTCGGTACCAAACTAGCCGGTCACCGCGGAGTAATACTCGCCTGCTTAGGAACCAATCTACAGGACGTTCCCGAGTATAAATTATGTATAAATAATAAAAATGTTGAATGACATAGATTGGGAAAAACCGTGTATGATGTCATGTCCTTTAAATATTTACGATTAACTTCACGTAAGGTTTACAGAATGTTTTGAAAAATCTAAATATAAAGTTAAAATTAAAACATCCCGTTGCAACAACGACTGGATCACGAATAAAATAATTAAAGCATGTAATCATAGAGACAAACTATTTTTAGATTGGATAAAAAACACAAATAATCATATTATAAAACAAAAATATAATAAAGCTAGAAATTATGCAAATACCCTAATTCAAAAAACTAAAAATAAAAAGATTCAAAATTACATTATAAATAATAAGAAAAATTCATGATACCTGTGGCTAATATTAAACAGAATAATAGGAAAAGTAGTAATGTCTGTTGACAACGTTCTGCGTAACACGTTTGGAAATAATAAATATAGCTGTAAAGATATAGCAAATAACTTTGCTCATACATTTAGTAATTACGTCAAAAATATCAATGTTCTAAAACAATTTTAAACACTAAAGTCTATCACCATTCTACAGACGTAAGGATGCGATTCAAACCTGCAGATCCAAAATCAATAGAAAAAATAATTAGCTCACTAAACAATAAAAAATCACCAGGGATAGATGGAATAAGAGTTATTGACGTTAAGATGATTTGTGAAAAAATTAAATCAGTTATTACTAAGATGATAAATACAAGTGTGAATACTGGAAAATATCCATAACATTAAAAGTAGGTAGCGTGAGACCCATCCACAAACAAGGAAGCAAAGCAGACATCGACAATTGTAGGCCAATTACTATATTGTCTACGATAGATAAAATAGCGGAAAAATACATATCTGATCAAGAACATCGTTTTTACAAAAGTAACTCTATAATTACAAAAAAACAATATGGCTTTCAACCAAACAAAAGCACTACACAACTCTTATCACAATTTACTGACAGTTTATATAACCACTTGGATAATAAAGAACATATTCAGTGGTCTTTAATGACTATAGTAAGGCTTTTGATACCCTCAGACATGGTAAATTATTACTTAGCTTACACGATACTGGAATTAGGGGTAAACTATATGCTTGGTGTGAGAATTATCTTTCAAACATGTAACAGTAACACAAGGTACTGGGACCGTTACCCTATTTTGCGTATGTGAATAGCCTTCCCAATGTAATAACAAAAAGTGAAATCTATCAATTCGCGGATGACACCTGCTTGGTAGCTTCTGGAAGAAATATAGAACAAGTACATGAACATCTTCAGACAGATCTCGACCAACTTCTAAAATGGTCACATGATGTAGGATTAACAATAAACACAAAGAAAACAAAATTATTATACATTAGTTCCAGTCAAAATAGAAATATGTACAATCTAAAACTAAAAGCACATAATCACAAATGTGTCCATGAATCATGTATAACTGACACAATACCATGTGATTGTGATGAAATAGAGGTTGTAGAAAAACATACTTATCTCGGACTATCATTGATAATAATTAATCGACTAAACTGGAAACATCATATTAATTATATTACTGACAGGTTAAGAGGAATACTATCGAAATTCTGTATAAAAAAAAATAAAGTACCTTACAAAACATTGTTAACACTTTATAAATGTCTGGCCGAATCTGCGATAGCATATGGATTATATAGCTACGGTAGGACATATAAATCGCACCTTGATCAGATATATACACTGCAATTTCGAAATTTTAAAAACATTGGTCCCGCAAAATATAAAAGATATATATGAAAATGATTACAGAAACCTATTTGACTTCTGTAAAATAATACCCATACATAAAAAGATCGAAATGACGCTATCAGTGGAAGAATTTATTAATAACAACTTTAATAAAGTACAGCTCAAAAATGCCGGAGATATTGCGTAGTAATTCCAATTGTAAACTTTTACTACCAACCTATACTAACCTATATGGTAAGAGAACACTAAAATACGTCATTCCGAATTTAATAAATAAACTGCCAATAGGCATAAAAAATGAGATTACACCTAAAAATATAAAATATAAATTAAAAAAATACTATTTAAACAATGAATTGAATATACATGGTTAAGTAAAACACACAATCACACTTATACACAACACACAAAATATTAATATATAATTACTTTAAATTTCAAAAAGGAAATAAAACTATGTACCTAAAAATATATAACTACATTAATAAATAAAGAATAAAGTCTACAACATACATCAGCCTGTATAACAGCGTATTTGTTTTTGCTACGAGACGCGACGGTTGTAATATTAAACTATAATCGCGCAATCTGCAAAGCGCAAGATATACCCTCGATAATATTTTTCTGTACAAAAAAAAATGTTATGTAGTTAGATTCTTTTTTTTTGTATTTTAGTTGTATCGAATATTTTGTTTTATTTTATCTTACTTGTTTGGTTTGTTTCTTTAGTTATTTTAGTGTTATGCATTAGTTATATAATTATATAATGTAAATTTGACGACACTGGTGTTCGGAAAAACGTGAATGAGTTTATGTTATATTTTAAAGTGAATAATGATCGTCAGCATGTCTCACCAGGAGCCGGCATGATAGCTCTCGGCGGCGGCGCGGGGGCGAAGGGTCCGTGCGTGCGGCGCGCGGCGGCCGGGCCGGAGCTCCCGCCGACCCCGGGCGGCGCTTCGCCCAGCTCCGCCATCAGCGACATGTACTCCTCGTCGATCTTAGCCTACAACAGCAACGCCTGTTAGTGCGTGTCATGTCTACTACGAGTACCTCCCGCGCGTGTCGCTCGTCGTCACCTTGTCGTGATGCAGGGCGGGCGGCGCGTGGCCCGGCCTCTTGGCGCGACAGTCCCGCGCGATGTGTCCCGCGCCGCCGCACGACGAGCACACGATACTGTTGGTCACGTTCGGCTTGTCCGGACACTGGAACACGAAGGACGGGTTCAGTGTAGGTGTGTGTGGGGCGGGTGTGTGTATGTGTGTGTGTGAGTGTGTGACTCACGAGTGTGTGTGTGTGTGTGTGAGTGTGTGACTCACGAGTGTGTGTGTGTGTGTGTGTGAGTTTGTGACTCACGAGTGTGTGTGTGTGTGTGTGAGTGTGTAACTCACGAGTGTGTGTGTGTGTGAGCGTGTGAGGGGGGCGGGTGACTCACGAGCCACGTCTTGTGGTCGGCGGCGCTGCAGTTGGCGCAGCGCGGCGAGTCGCTCTCCCTGAGCGTCCCGTTGAGCTGCGCCAGCTCCCTCAGCTGCATGCGGCGCAGGTCGTTCTGTCCCTCGGGCACCTCCACCCCCTGACGGATCACCTCCTTGATCTGTAACCGACAGCCGGCGGGTCACGAGCGTACATACTACATACACACATACATCCTAGTGTGACGGCCGGTCACCTTCTCGACGGCCTTCTTGACGCAGTCAGCGTTGGTGGCGGTGATGTACGCGTGTAGCGGCTCGTCCTCGCCCGGCAGCGGCTGGCCGTCCTTCCGTCCCACCTTGCCCTCCTTCACGGAGCCCTTCCCTCTTATTATAATCTTCGCGCCGGTCTCCTTCTCCATCGCTGTCGATAGAGGTGTTGGTTGTGTGAAACTTTGTCATATATTTAAGGAAGATTCTTGAGATTGGAAGATTATTATCGGTTAGTGTCGACGGAGGTGAAGTGTATATATTTAATAGCAACTGACCGAGGAACTGAGTTTACTTCTGCCACCATGAAACAGATATATTAATTAATTATTAAACATAGATATTATTACATCAACAGCATACTATCATCAGTCAATAGGTTCGTTAGAGAAAGCTCATAAAAATTTAGGCGCATTTTTACAAATTTATTGCGACAAAAACAAGCAATCTCGGTCTTATTGGTTACCATACTGGACTTTTAGTTTTAATACTACTGTCCATACTGAAACAAAATACCAACCGTTTGAACCTTTATTTGGTACACAATGTAATATCCCTAATTGATTATGTAATACAGTAGAAGCTATGTATAATCCAGAAAGTTATGTTAGTGAACTTAAATAAAGGTTGCAAGTTGCTTATAAAGATGCCCGAAATAATTTGTTACATAGCAAATATAATAGAAAAATTAAATATGATAAGTATGTTAATCCTGTTGTTTACAATAAAGATGATTTAATTTTAGTAAAATCAGAAACAAGTGGAAAATTAGATGAACTGTTCAATGGACCATTTAGTTTATTAGAAGATATGGGATTTAATGTTAGAATAATTAAAGATAATAAAATAGACATAGTACATGAGAATAGAACAAAACTTTTTGTTAAGTAGTATACAAAAAAATATATATGTGTAAGCCCATTTTTTTTCTTTCACCCCCGGAGGTGAAGTGTAATAAATATAGTGTGTATGCTATATTATAGAATTAAGTCTAGTGTAAAGTGTCCTTTATAAAACATCTCATGTATACATCCAAATATGGTGGACCGCCCATTGGCCCGAGCTTTCATTATGTTATGTTAAATCTTCTAATATTATTATAACGTGGCTTAAAGCTACATAGACGTTTCTTTTCAAACCCAGTAATAACCACATTAGAGAGGACAGCAAGAAAAAAAGATCAGTAACACAAACAATAATCGGAACATTTAACATGAACGGGAAGCAACAACAGTGAAGGTCGCTTGTACCTTTGAGCGTGTTGCCTCGCGGCCCGATGAGCAGACCCACGAAGTTGATGTCGGGGTGTTCCTCCTGAGGGATCATCACCTTGTCGTGCACGCGGACTATGGGCGGCCTGTTGAACGACACACGGCGTTAACGACAGTGAGGGGGGTGGGGGGGGGGGGGTGACGTCACCCACTTGTAGTCGGGCGGCGGCTTGAACTCGGGGTTGATCTGATGCATGCGCGTGACGAGCCGGTGTCTCTCCTCCTCCAGCTTCCTCCTGGTGCGGTACTCGCGCGTGTTCAGCCGCTTGCCGTCCGTGGAGTAGATCGGCTCGGGCGACGGAGACCTGACACACACACACGGATGAGAACCGAGATATACGAACACAGCGGCCGCGGTGTAACTACCAATTAGACTGTCACTACTAGTGTCGAAATATCTGAAATCGTTTTTAAATTTTAATTTCGAAAGACTTTTAGAGAAACGTGTTCCGTATATCTATTCCTACGTCGTACGCTAGACGAGCGCCTGAGAAACAATATATTATTATTATTATGAAACCTGAAATTTTAATATCGTTAGCGCTGAAAATAATCGATTAGTGAATTAGGTTATCATTAGAACCGGCGCTGAAAAGAGTTTACATTAGATCCGTCACATTACAACGTACTATCATATATCAGAGGTGGCCGTGCGGCCGAGCGCTACGACAACCTGCAACAGAAATGTCGCATTAGATGATACCTCACGGGGGGGAGGGGGCCCGTACAGTTACGAGGGAGGGGGTGGGGGGAGCGCGCTTCTCTGCCGATAACATACTAAGTTGTATAAAGTGGTGCGCACCTCTCGTCCACGCTGGCCGGGATGCCGAGGTCGCCCGAGCGCAGCTTGCGGCTCACCTCCTCGATCTGCAGCTGAACTGTAAGGGAACGGTCAGCCGCGAGCGAGCACGGCGTTAGAACACGCGCTCGCTAACACACACACAGCGGGCAATACAGAGGGGCAAGAAACATGGTGAGCGGACGAGCGAGGACTGAGAAAGATTATGGAGACCCGGCGTACAGCGGGCCGGGGACACATGATCGTTCTCAGGCTCCGGGACGCGTCCACATGGTCACTCTTAATATTAATATGACATGTAAAGATTCAATTGATCATCAGAGGGTCACGTCACACATTATATACGGTAACCGAGCACAGTCGTCCGTGGCGGCGGCTGCGGGCGGGCGTGCTCGTGTGGCGGAGGGCGGACAGTCTCCTCGGGGAGGGACACTCACGTAGGTATTGCTCCTCCTGCTCGCGAGTGAGCGTGGAGGGCAGCACGGTGGGCAGGCCCGGGATGAAGGTCTTGTCGTGCTCGGAGCCCATCCAGCGAGTGCGGCGCCGCCGGGCCCGGCGCTCGGCCGCCGTCTCCCCGGGAGGACCTGCCACCAGGGTTGGCAATGTTTAAAACAATACGAAAATACATATCACGTTTAAAGCATAATTAAAAACAATTTGTTTTAAACATGTTTAAAACACTTTTTTAAAAAAAAAATATTATAATGTCTCTTTCTTAATTTTTTCTAACTAAAAGTAGGTATACTTTTAGTTAAAAAATTGTGATACTCATTTAATATATATATATAATATATAATTATTATGGTATGTTTTTTTACCAAAGAGTTGGCAACTTCGATATAACTACCTGGGATTTCCCTGGCTGGCAAGCGGTAATGCGGTGAATGAATTTTTTTAAAAGTCCTAAGTGAATGTACACATGTAAAGAAAATTCGTTGCCGTATTTTATTCATCTATGTATATTTTGTCGCCGAGACTGTATCGCCATTGGTTTATTTATTATTTGTGTTAATTATTGGAGATTTTGTGCTGTTATGTTTGAAATATTAAAATTTGTGAAATAATAAACTTTATATGTCGTTTCTTTGTCTACACGTATGTGTTTGGGTAATAGAAAGTAAATCGGGGTTAATTTTTTATAAGTTTTGTGTGTATAAGTTTAATAATAATAAAACTCTTTGTCTACAGAGCAACACATGATACATTGGAAGTCCATGGAGTATATGATTCCGGATCAAATGTTTCTTTGATTAATTCAAAGTTAATAAAACTACATGGAAAAAAGAAACAGTATTAATGAACCATGTTTAGTGACTATTAATGGTGTCAAAAAGACAAGTGGTTTAACAAAATTAAAATATTTGATATAGAAAATCAAATGGATATATATGTTATTGATGAACAAAATTTCAAGTATGATTTTTTGATAGGATTAGACATGATACAAATGTTCAAGTTGCTACAAAATGAAGATTTAAAAATCACTCAGAAAAAAACCGTGGATGAAGAAAATATAGAAGATAATACTATAATACCAAATAGTAAAGAAGAAAGAATGAATAATAAAATTAAACCAGAAGATTACAATATTAATTTTAATGAACATGTAAATGAAGAAGAATTTGATATACATATAAACCATTGAAATAAACATCAGAGATTAGAAATAAATAAATTGATTAAAAATTATAGTTTAATTTTTGCAGAAGATAAACATAATGTTGGAACTGTACAAGGGTATGAAGCTAGAATAGACTTATTAATGGGCAAATATTGTAGTAAACGTCCCTACAGATGCACTGTGGATGATAAAAAAGAAATAGAGGAACAGATTGCAAAATTATTAGACCATAAACATATTGAAGAATCTTATAGTCAGTTTGCTGCACCTGTAACATTAGCATATAAAAAAGAAGAAAACAATAGATCTAGATTATGCATAGATTTTAGGGACTTGAACAAAATAGTTGTACCAGAAGCGCAACCATTTCCTATTAAAGAAGATCTAATCACAAAGACAAGGAATTGCAATTTTTTCTCTACTTTAGATATAAACTCTGCATTTTGGGCCATACCTTTAGGCAAAGAAGACAGAAGTAAAACAGGATTTGTAACACAAGAGGGACATTCCCAGTGGACATGCCTCCCATTTGGTTTGAAAACTTCTCCGGCAGTTTTTCAGAGGATACTTAGTAACATATTAAGAAAACATAAACTTACAAATTTTGTCGTAAATAATTGTATCAAACCCCTGAAAGATAATCTAATATCAATAAAAGAATTCCCTATTCCGAAAACACAAAGAAATATGAGACAGTTTTTGGGGAAAATAAATTTCTATAATGAATACATACCAAGGAGTGCCATAATATTAGATCCGTTACATAATTTACTTAGGAAGAATCAACCGTTTATTTGGTCTGACAAATGTCAAGCATCATTTGAAAAGATTAAACACCTCCTTCGCTCACAAGCAGTTTTTAAATATTTGACAGAAATTTACCCATTAACATTTACACAGATGCTTCTATAGAAGGTGTTGGAGCAACTTTAAAACAGATACAAACAAATGGGAAAGAAAAACCAGTAGCTTACTTTTCTAAAAAATTGAAAGGAGCTCAAAGAAAAAAGAAAGCCATATACTTGGAGTGCTTGGCCATCAAAGAAGCTGTACAATATTAGCAATATTGGCTGATTGGAAAACCATTTACAGTTTATTCTGACCATAAGCCATTAGAAAACATGAACTTGAAGTCGAGGACCGATGAAGAACTAGGGGACTTGACATTCTATCTATCAAAATATGATTTTAATATAAAATACTCACCAGGAAAGGAAAATGTAGCAGCAGATTGTTTTAGTAGGAACCCCGTTTTTAGAATCAAATGAAAATAATGATGAACAATTAAAAATTGTAAATTTGATTAGCCTACAAGATATTTTAATAGATCAGTACAATAATGAAGAAATAAAGAAAAATCCTAAAAAAATATGAATAAACAAAATATATATTATAGAACAAATAGAAACAAAGAAAAAATTATTTTGTCTGAAGAATTCAGTATTAAGTTATTAAAGAATATACACAGGAATCTTTGTCATATTGGAATAAAACAAATGGTAAAGACAATTGGTCCGCATTATACTGCAAGATATTTAATAGAAAATATATACAATGTATGTAAACAATGTGATGTTTGTATAAGAAATAAATGAAAAGGACAGGAAAAATTTGGACTTGTCTCATTTGGGTCCAGCCACGAAACCGTTTGAAATGATGTCCATAGATACAATAGGAGGGTTTGGAGGATCGAGATCCACAAAAAAGTATTTGCATCTGTTAGTGGACCACTTCACTAGACACGCATTTATCCGGACATCGAAAACTCAAGGTTCAAGGATTTCATTAAATTACTTGCTACCATATCAGAAACAGAAGATATTGGCATGCTACTCCCTGATCAATAACCCTGCTATAATATGGTTAAAGATCTTTATTCTCATAAGAACATACATAGGTTCACTTACATGAGATTAAATAATGTTACACATATACATTAATATTTGATACATGGAATGGCTAGTACTACTTAATATTGTCTAATATATATATTTTAAGTTTATTTTTAAAAGCAATTAAACATTTACATTCTTTTATGTAGTTTGGCAAGTCATTATATAGTTTTACTCCATCAAAACATATATTTTTGTGTCCATAATTTAAGGTTCTGACTTTAGGTACCTAAATCAAGTTTATGTCTGTTTCTTAAGTTATGCTTGTTTGAGTTTTGTGTAAATATTATGTTTAAATGAATACCTTTAGATAGTATCTTTTTAATTAAAATACATGTGTTATAAATATATGTTTGATTTAGGATGAATAATTTTGATTTTTTGTATAGTTCTATCAACGGTGTGAAAAAGTCAGAGTGAAAAAGTACTTTTATAATTTTGTTCTGCGTAATTTGTAAGATTTTAAGGTTAGACTTTGAAGCTGACCCCCATATTTCAATTTAGTAATCAATGTGTGGCTTTATCAGGGAACTGGATTAAGGATAGGAATATAGCACTTCAGAATACAATAAAATCACATAACTACAACAAAAAAATCTTTGATATAAATAGAACATGCCATGAATTTAAGGTTGGAAATAGAGTTTTTGTAGAGAACGGAAACAGGTTCAATAGAAAGAAACTTGAGGAACTGAAAATTGGACCATTTCAGATTATTGAAAGAATTTCAAAATCAATATACAGAATTTACACAGGTCATGAAAAAACAGAGTCAAATCTGTTTCATATTACAAAACTCATTCCAATAGCCAGCACTCAAGGAGATGAAGAAACGGAATAAAGTAGTGGGACACATTAAAAGAAAATCTACCCCTGACTATTTTCTTCCCCATGGGGGGGGGAGATGTAAAGAAAATTCGTTGCCGTATTTTATTCATCTATGTATATTTTGTCGCCGAGACTATATCGCCATTGGTTTATTTATTATTTGTGTTAATTATTGAAGATTTTGTGCTGTTATATGTTTGAAATATTAAAATTTGTGAAATAATAAACTTTATATGTCGTTTCTTTGTCTACAGGTATGTGTTTGGGTAATAGAAAGTAAATTGGGGTTAATTGTTTATAAGTTTTGTGTGTAGAAGTTTAATAATAATGAAACTCTTTGTCTTATAAGCTTATACACATATATGTAAAGATTTACTCTCATCGGACTGGTTGTCAGAAGAAGGAGACAAACTTAAAGCAAGATTTAAAGCCGCAATGACACCTGCACATGTCGCTCCTTATATATTAGACCCCAATTATAATGGAGAAAGTTTATCAGAAGAGGAAGACACAATAGGCATGGAGTTTTTAGATACAAGCTGTCCGCATGCCATGAAAGATGTCCTGACGTACCGTGAGAGGAGTTATCCTTTTTTGGAATACATGTTTAAAAAAAAACTTTTATTGAAAACGCATGTGTCTGTGTGGTAGAAATAACTCGTAATAAAGTGGATCCAGGGATGCTCGACATTACGTCTCAGTTATTTACTGCAACTGCTTCTTGCGCAGGAATTGAAAGGTTATTCTCAACATTCGGACTGGTACATTCAAAATTAAGAAACAAGCTCGGGACAGAGAAGTTGCTAAATCATTGCCACTATGAGGGCTCTTAATATAAACAGTTCTCTTGAGAGACTTCAGATCATGGAAGTTGAGGGTTGAGGTGAAGAATAAGAGAAGGAAAGTTGATTGAACTTGATTGCATATAAACTTTGATAATAAGAATAATAATAATTATAATTACAATAAATAAAGCACTTTTTGTCTTTTTAGTATATTATTTTTTTCATTTTTACGTACCTATGTACATATTTAAAACATGTTTAAAACGTGATTAAAACAGCAATGAAGCATTAAAATAAACATGTTTTTTTCTCCAACCCTGCGTGGGTGACAGTCGGGCGGGTGTGTGTGTGTGTGTATGCGTGGTCCGTACCCTGTCCGTCGTCGTGGTCGTCGTCGGGGTGGTGGTCGGGCTGCTTGTCCCTGTAGCGGCCCTCGGTGCGCGCCTGCAGCAGTTCCAGCTTCTGCTGCACGGAGGTGGGCGGAGGGATGGCGGTGGCCGCGGACAGGGCCGCCGCCGCCGCCGCCGCGGGCTGCACGGGCGCCGCCAGCCGCCGCTGAGCCACAAACGTCTGTTACAGGCCGCCCGCGCAACCATTATATGGTATGACTCGACATGTTGCATCGTATAACGTTATGTATACACTTCATCCGACCTCCGAGGATACAACTCCTATATAGTCTACCTTTGTTTTAGTCACTGTTATTATTTTTCTTGTACTCATTCCTTGGTATGGTATAGATCAAGAAGCCCAGAGGTGCCAGTCGATTATTATTATCATACTTTTTATAGTAATGTATGGTGATGTTTCATGTATCAAAATAATAACTATAATGTGAATGAATAAAAAGCAGGTTATAATTATTCCGTGAACTAGCTTCTTTGTGTGATTCTAATCAACAAAAGCAAAACAAATCAAAAATTTCAAATCTATTAATTTACTTACCGAGTTACTCTGTGACCATAACTATGAATGCTACACAAAACTTCTTTAATTACAGTGACACAAGGATATTTTCAATTATTTTTTTTATACTTTTAACAGGTGTCATCACCCCATTCAATAAGGACTATACTCTGTACATCCAATGTCAACTGATATTTCACCATTCTTTCCAAAGAGTCAGACTTCAATGTACCATTTTAATTCATGGTAAAGTATTTAAAATGTCTTATTAGTCAATATAAAATATCCAACAACAACTCTGTTCCTACACCCACTATACCTTTTGAAATTTTCCAAATCTTTTCCACTGTTAAGCAATGCTTGTTGTCAAATTTCTAATATGTAAGCATCACTTACGGTACACTTGTTTATTAACTGTGTTAATTCAGCTCTGCACTATACTCCAGCCAAATTCAATGTGGAATGTTTAATAACAAAGCGTTGCTTAGCAACCAACGTCAGGCAGATGTTCAAAACATTTTTAGAAATATGTACAACAATTATTTTTGATGTTAATGAAAATTAAAATTGATGATTAATAATAAAATATTTAAGATAAAGGAAGCACATTCTTGGTAAAATTATAATACTTATGATCATCTGGAATAATATAGATCTCAAAAATAATACCTCCAACTTTAAAATGATATCAGAAATTACTTCGTAGTTATGTAATTAGCTTTATTAACTTTATCTATCTCCTCCCAAACGCCAATTGCTTAAAAAACACTCCAAATGTTACAAACCTGTGATTTCTTTACGTCAGTATTAAAATATAGGGTTGTTAGTAATATTATTTGTAGTAATATTATAGTGGTAATTAAAGATTTTTAAACTTTTATTTTAAGCTAATTTTCATATAAATTATGTATTGACCGGCTAAATAGAATTTTTGGATTCAATATTAAATTAAAAATTTTATGTTTAAACATAAAATTGTGTTATAATGAATAAAGTTGTAATTATAATAACTATTATTTTTTATTAAGAGTGCATCAACATTAATTATGATGACTCATGGTTTGTTTACTAAAATTCCAGATCGAATGTGGCTGGAGTATAGATACATATATGTGAACATGTACTGGTAAGTCTGTGTACATTATGTTAGTAGTAATCCTGACCTGAGCCACGGCCGCTGCTGCCAGTATGGCCGCTTGTGTGGCAGGGTTCATGGAGGTGGGGACGGCCACCTGGCGAGCCGTCGCCTTGGTCGTGGTGCCCACCATTTGATCCAACAAAGCTATTGTACCATCCCTACACATACAAAACAAATTTCATATATCACTATATATATTAAGTATCATCATATTGTATCCACACATTATTATAAATGTAAATAAAAGTGCAAATTCAATCTATTTATTTCTTTGATAATTGTTTGAAATTTTAGAAATTTTTTTCAAGTCAAAGGAAAATCTTAAGCCATAAATTACTGTTTACTGCCTCCAAGAGTGAATATGATCAGTGTTTGTCACCGCTACCTGTCTTTTGATTTCCTGCCGCGACTCCTGCTCCTGCTTCGAGAGCGGCTGCGTCTCTTTTCTTTATGGCGGTCGCGGCTGCGGCTTCTGTCACGGTCTTTATCCCTAACGTGAACAATGTAATTAATATTAATCACTGTACCTTCAACACCATCAGTATATTACATCAGTATTATCCCGCCGTACCTCTTCGACCGGTGCCGCTCTCTCTCCCGGTCCCGGTCTCTCTCCCGGTCCCTGTTTCGGTCTCGGTCTCTGTCCCTCTCTCGATCTCGGTCGCGATCCCTGTCTCGGTCTCGATCCCTATCCCGATCCCGGTCCCTCTCTCTATCCCTATCCTTATCCCGGTCCCGTTCCCGTCCCTTATCCCTGTCCTTAAGACGATCACGATCACGCGACCGTGATCGGCTTCTATCTCTATGTCGAGAGCTCATTATTCTTTTGATTATGAAATCCTCCTTCAAAGTAAATAGTTTTACACGTTCTTTTTGATACTTATACCAAATTTTTTAGCAATTACACCAAGCTTACAACTAAAGAGAGACAAACACTACAGTAAAGTATACCACCACGAATAACAAAATGGAGTAACCTCAACCCGTGTTCGTTTTGATTTGTAGTTTATACCGTGAATTGTGACGTTTAACAATTTTTGTCAAATAAATTGACTGCCTCAGATTCTGAACTATTAATCTTTGAAATAATCTTGTCTGTGAATTTACAAATAAATTCCAATATTTCTTTACTTAAATTTTTCTGAGATACTTATTTTTAGATAGTTTTTCTATTGTGATATAACTCTATATTTATAGAAAAAGTATTTCAATATCTTTTTATATATTTTTTTTGTTGGATAACAGAATATTCGTGATAAGAGTAACCTGAAAGTAGGTAACGATTTCACAATCAAACATTTATTGAAATAGCGTGTATAAACGTTTTGTTCTCAAGTTTGTCGTATTTGTTATATTTGTTTTGATTTGAGAAAAGATACCTCATTATTATACAAAGTATAAGCTTTAAATAAGTTTGTTAAGCGTTTTATCATCATTTTGTCACTATTAATTCTAACCACAATATACTTTTCAACTTGATGTTTTTTCGTTATCTACCTAAGTTATTTTTAAATATATTACATGTGATGAATTTATCACATATTATAAAAAAAATGTTAATTAGTATTTGTAGAGCAAGAGCCAGGGCCAGCCAGGCATTCGTTAATTTATAAAAGCTGAAAGTTTTTCTAAAGATGTACCCAATATAGGTAGTCACGATCCCCAAATATGAAATTTGGCTCTTGGACTATTGTACGTTGTCCATAATTTCAAAATTTAAGTCAAACGCTTATGGATTTTAATCAACACGTTATTCAAATCATGTAACAAAATCATCCACAACAGAAAAGAAATAAATTAGTTTCTCAACTGATTTGCTGATAGTGCAAGATAAAATAAGATAAATTTAAAAACTAAAAGGCTTTTACACATACGTTACAATTATACTATAAATTACCTTTAAATTTTAACTACTATTTTTATTAAGACTCGAAAATTTAAAACACCACACAAATGAATTATATTTATAACTTGCGTTTGTGAGGGCTTATTAAATGTTTGGTCTTAAATGGAAAACATCTTAAGAGAATTGATATCTTGTACTTTGTTAATGTGGTAGTGAACACCATATTTATTGATGCTTTCAAAATACAAAGTACTTAAAATGTATTAATTCAAACACACTAGGTGTTAAGCATAACGGTTAATTAGAAAAATAGATATAACATGTTTAGTTGTAATAATTTGTTAAATTTAAAATTATAATTTGTTATTAAAGTAGAACTAATCTGACCCTTATTTATTTAATGAAAAGAATTGGCTTAGACCAATTTTCCATTTCAATTTAGTCCTTAGTGAGTCATATATTTATCTTTATATATTAATAAATATTAACTTTATTTGCACTCAAGATACTTCAGAATAATACTAAATAATTAAATTGATATTTTTTGATCGAAAGTTTAATTATAATACAGTTGTAGATCTTTCAGTGGCTTGTTTAGTATCTATATACAGGACACTTATTTGATTATATCATGTAGTGTCATAAGCTATTAATTTCATCAAGTTTTATTAAGAGTAACCATCTCAAATAATTTCTTCTTATAGCCTGTTTATACTAAGGCATATTTTTGAACACTTTTTAAGTTAAATTCTCATTAGCATAAATAAATCAGATGGATACTTCCTAACTACAGTGTGTCGTGTGAGTTATGTGGAAGGGTAGTGTTGGGAGTCACCAGTATGAACACAAACAAATGTAATAAACAAACGTCCGTATTTCTCAATATATTTTAAAGATCAAAATACATTTCTTACAACTCGTAACAGTTCAATCATACCAAATTACAATTTAGAACAACATTATACCATTGCTTATTACAATTTGTCACTTAAAAAAATTACAAAATGCTGCAAATTATACTAAGACAGCTTAGAGCTAAAACAATTGCATGTCTAAGAGGTGAAATTACATCACTGCAACACAACGGTGGACTCCATCCAAACCCGATACAAAGAGTGGGCACGTACAGTGATGTAATTTCAATAGGGGAAATAATTGAACACAATATCTAGCAAAATATAGATGTCCTATAATGAATCATGAAAATAAATCTTATTTCTAATACAATCATATTCATCTCCTTACTCCTAAATATTACTAAAACTTAATATCTATAAGATAAGTCCGGATTAACAGTTCTGTGAAGTCACTCCACTGTCCACATCACTACCCATATAGACAACTATATATACCAATCGGTTGATCAATTTTTAAAATGCTGATACTTTATCCGGGTCAAATGCAGTGAGAATGTTGTGTGTAGCCTGCAAGCAAACGACACCATTAACATGGGTTTATAATAATATTAATTAGTTAACGTTCCAACATTTAGACTAATTAAAGTTAATGAATCACATTTTCTGAGTAGTAATGAACTAATGGAGTACCTCAATTAGACGGGTGCTCCGGGGCCGCCTTTCTTGCCGATGAGCGACTTGTGTATGTGTGGGATGACTCCTCCGCCCGCGATGGTCGCCTTGATAAGACTGTCCAGTTCTTCATCTCCGCGGATGGCGAGCTGCAGATGGCGAGGTGTGATACGCTTCACCTTTAAATCCTTCGACGCGTTGCCCGCTAACTCCAAAACCTACCATACAATAATACTATTAATACTCTACAACCATCTAGAACACAATTTACCGTTTGTTATGACAACGCAATTTCCCGCCAAAACACATCATGTCGAAAAACTAATAGATTATCATTAAGATATTACAACTTTTAAAGTGGAATTCAACATCATTATACATTTTGAAACAGCTTTTTTACATAAGACTAGACAGCCTTACATAAAACTGAAGAACAAGCGGTACATTAATTTCCCGCCAAAATATTAAGTTACAAGTTTACGCTATAGTAAACAAACAAAAGATGACATATATTTTAAGGTATTAACCAACATTGAAAAAATCGCAACAGAAATACATTAATTGGATATTTTTTCCAGAAAACACTAACAATTTCATATTCTAATTGCGCTTGACAGCCGCCATATTGACAAAGCGTCACTTACCTCGGCTGTAAGATATTCAAGAATAGCTGCGGAATACACAGCCGCCGTAGCACCTACACGACCATGGCTAGTTGTCCTATTTTTAAGATGTCGATGAATTCTTCCTACGGGAAACTGAAAACAACAATAAATAATGTTGACGAATTCATTGATTTCCCCTTACAAGCCTGGCAGCCATACTAGAGGTCATGCGTATTATTTAATTTTATGAAATTATTATAGGAAGAGATTTCACAACTCACTCGTATCTGTAAATTCATTAAATAAATTTAAAAACAATATTAATATACCTGTAATCCTGCTCTTGCCGATCTCGATACGGCTTTAGCCTTAGCTTTGCCTGAATCTTTACCCGCTTTACCACCAGCCTAAAAATGATGAAAAAAACCATTAATTTTTATCGTACGAGGTTGAAACTTCGCCAGGTAGTATTTCACAGTATTCTCCACCGAAAAACACAAGAAAAACCGCACAACACTATGTAATTTTCACGAAATCTTGCAAAACTCACCATTTTGAAACGTGTAAGACACTATCACCACTAGTGAACAACCAATATAGGAAAGGCGCCAAGCTAAATCAGCGCGACAAAGATGGCAGCGCCGCGCCACTCAACGATCTGACAGGTTGGCCAATCGTAAGCAAACGGAAATGTCGTAAAACAAACAAGTCTCGCCACATGCAGACAACCAATAAGAACATTACAAAATGGCGGGCGTTCAAGTGCTGCCAAGCCATGTTGTGGGACTTTTGGGAAACTAACCGTTTTTTAACGATTATTATATGCTTGAGACTTGAGAGTCAAACATTTTGCTTTATTGTACGTAAAGTTAAAAACTCTAATTAATTAATAGATGTCGCGTAGCTAAATGACGAAATTAAATCGAACCTGAGAGGGAATCTGATTTTAAACATTCTGTAATATATAATTTAATTCTAAAGGAAAGTATTAAAATGAGTTAAAATAAAAACCTTTCATTTCTCGCATATTTGATACGATGCATAATTTTTTCAACCATAATATTAATAGAAAGTAATAATGAGAGTAAACAACTGCAATATGTGCTATAATAGATTAACTGATAAGTTTAAAGTTATATATGATATAAAATGGCCTCTAATAATTTATCTTGTAGGCATGAATACCTCTAATGTGGGTGAAGGATTCCTCCAGATTCTTCCCTGTCTTTGGCGATGGCCATCCAGTTTTACCCAGTTATTGTTAATGTGCTATTTTCCCAATGAGTTATCGTTCTTTCTCTCTATGTAATAATTTGAGGTCCTGCCTTATCATCAGTCTGGTTCTATAGCCTGCCGATCAACACTTTGATTTTTGTGAGAAATTAAGTGCATCTGTGACTTTTTTAATGAAATTGTGTGGATATAATTTTGTATGTTTCTTAACATTTGAAATACTTCTCTCCATGCTGCCTTGGCAAGATCTGATGTTATCGTTTCTTACCTACAGTACCGTGTCCAGTGTCCACGTTTAGCAACCGTAGGTTATAGAAGTAAGCAGGCATGTAGCCATAATTTCCGTCTTTAAAATCATAGACATGTTCTTTTCAGTTATTTTTTAGACTCCAACATTTTTTTTAACTAGCTTGAAATTCTTTCAACTTCCATCTCGATGTTATGTTTTTTAAAGGAGACTTGTTTTCCCTAGGTATGTTATACTATATAGTTGTTTAGGTATGCCAATGGTTTCTGGTCTAGATATATAGGGTTTTTTATACTGTCGGTTATAATGTTTGTTTTATTCAAATTAATTGTAATTTATTGAAAGTATTCGAGAATTTAAATATTTTTTAACGTATAAATAACATATTTAAATTAAATTTTTGCTTCGTTACTTATGAACGAACTTTGTAAATTTTTCTTTAGATTACATTAGTCCTATAATAATGATATCAAATATCAATTAACGATAAGTTTATGCAGATTTCTTTAAAGATCGATCTCCACTAAGACCCTTCTTTTTAAACGAAACAGATTTTTATAATATTCATTCCTGTGTTGTTTTTACTGAATTAATTATTACAAATCCTTTTCCCTTTCGATAGTTTCGATGTTTTAAAAGCCTACTAGTTTAATTATTAACCAACTTGAAGATAAAATGATTGCGTATACATTTTTCGGAGCCGGAAGTTATAGTATCATAATGTTTATGATTATATGTATTAAGGTTTATAAGATGAGCGTTTTATCTTTTGAGCGATTGTTATTATTGTATTGAAATTTAAATAAATATAAGACGCTAGCAACATTTTTTTTGTACAGGTTTCGTAATTAGCAAAGGCTGAACATACTTATTTTTTTTATCCTAGGTAATCTAAATATTAACAACTAATCCATAGCGAATTATTTCTATATCTACTGTTGTTAGCTAAGGTCTTTTTAACTGGACAGACTAGAGTTCGTGAGTGTCCTTCATCGTGGCTAGTAGTTACATATATTTATATTTTCTTTTTCTGGAAGGAACAGGACAGGAAAGATCAAGTAAGGGGCAGTCGTATAAGGATTTGGTTTCAAATCATCGATATTTTGATAATATTTTATTTGATATAAAACATTTTTTGGTTTATAATCACAGTAAATTTATTGGTCACACATGTTCATAGTTGAATATATTTGTTTAATATCTTCTAGGGTTAAAGGCTTCCTGGTGGTTGGCAGTGATAGGAGATGAGATACCTACGTCCGATTTATTATTTTATTTTAATGTATCCCATTTGCTACGATAAAGTTAAAATTAATTACAATAAAAAGATGTGTTACACAGTCACATATGAATATTGAACAATGCAAAATTATTATTAGTTGTAACTTGTAATCTTAGATTCTACTTAATAAAAATTAAAAATAATAGTCCTCTGAGGACGGTCCGGGCTTGTTCTCACACAGGCCGGTTACACTTCATCGGTGAGCTCGTCGCAGCGGTCCTCCAGCTCGTACTGTAACAAGCGACACGTCACGTTACTTGTGTGTGTATGTGTGTCCGTGTGTGTGTGTGTGTGTGTGTATGTGTGTGTGTCCGCACCTCGTCGAGCTGCAGGCACTTGCCCCACTCGGCCAGCGTGATGCGGTGGTCGTCGTCCTCGTCGCAGCGGTCCAGGAAGGGCGCGATGCAGTGCTCGAGCGCCATGAGCGGCGCGCGGATGGGGAACAGCTCGTGCACGGACACGAAGCGGTCGTTGTCGTGCGCGTCCAGGTCGCACCACTTCCAGATGGCGGCGTTGGTCCAGCGGCGCGTGAGGTTGCTCTCCGCCTCGCGCTCCATGCTCAGGTAGTGCGGGGACAGCTCGCGCCTCTCCGCCATGTCCCTCATGATGTTGAACAGCCAGTCGCGCATGCGCCGCGGGAAGTCCGACATCTCGCTCTCGGTGCACTCCTGGAACGAGAGCGGGTTGTAGTCCGCGCTGAGTGTTAGTACCTACACGTGCCGGTGTGTGTAGTGTGTCACTCACGGGCATCTCCCGACACGCTCCGTAGTACTCGATCTGCACGTGGTGGTACTCCGGGCCGCGGCACAGCTCCGAGTTGTCCAGACACAGACACCGCTGGCGGTACACCTCGCAGTCCGACGACCAGGTCTCGTTGTGGTGGGTGCACACCTGTGGGGGGCCGTGTGTCAGTAGTGTCGAGTGAGTGTCATCACCGCGCTATGTTAAGTGTTGTATATGAACCTTCCTCCGTGAGTCCGTCTCGTAGGGACACTCCTTGATACAGTTACAGACCGCGTCCCCGTGCTCGTTGATCTCACACACGCGGCCCGCGCTGCAGTGCACCTTCAGACACGGATCTACACAACACATTTAGGTTGGTCATTTTAAGAATACAATCAATGAATAGCCTCGTCATATCGCAACTTAATTATTACTGGTTACGGTAAATGATACATATAATGTAAATGTGAGTGTCACGTACCATCTAGGAACACTTCATTCCCGTTTTGATCCGACTCAGCGATTTCATTCATGAGTTCATTGATGCGGGCTCTCTCTGACTCCTACACACGAACAAACACAGATCAACATTTGAATTTACAATAGGACGACGAGGTTGTTCTTAATTAAAAATGATTCTCAGCCTTTACGAGTAACAAAGAATTGGAAGCCATTCACGAAATCATAAGCTTAATGTTATATGTAACACATTATCAAAAGGAACTCGTCATTATCTCAAAAATAATCGTTTTCGGGAAGATGACCTCTACAAAAGTTGTTCAGTTTGTCCTTCCAAGAGAGTATCAGGATTCAGGAGGATGCTGTATGTACCTGGAATTTCTTCTCATCGAGTCTCTCGGCCATGCCCAGTTCGAGATGCTCTGCTTCCGTGTCCTCTCTGCCGGGGAAGAGTCGAGCGTGAGCCAACATCGACGGCTCTGTAGTGGTGGTGGGCCGCAGCCGCCGGTGGCGACGACGAACCTTTATATTGGTAATAAACACATTTAAAATGAGAGCATCTCTTAAAAAATTAAAATTTATTTGGTTCTGGAGTAAAGAGAATAAGGAAATGGAAGGAGCTCGAGGAAAAACCACGTTTGATACGTTCCTTATCACGAGTCACGTTAGCGTTCAAGATGAAGATTAATTTTAAACATTTATAAAACTCATAAATCAACAAGTCAAATATACTTATATGTATATTAAAGACTACAGGATTTTTAAGGCTCTCGTTTTAATGATAGATCATGAAAAATGCAATAGATTTATGTTTATACGTTTTTATATAGTTTACGTTCGGTTCTTGAACATCAAACTCACCTTAGCCTCCGTCATGCAGACTGCTGCGACCAGTAAGGCCAACAGCAAGATGTGCCCCTTCATAGTGATTGTTTTCTGTAAACATATATTTACAGCAATCAAATTAGGAATTACTTACATACTTTACAAATAATTAAAATATCCTAATTGTAGAAATCCTTTGATATATAATGCAATAATTCAACCCACAGCTGATCATAAGCCGCCAGTCGTTCATAACCTGAGGATGTATCATGATTCACGCGAGGCCCGCTGTTATATATATCATCCTCCAGCCATACGTCCACACATTCCTCTGACTTCTGTTTATATTATTTATGAACGTTACTGTTCGTGTGTTTTTGTTTTGTTTACGACGCACAGACTAAGATTTTCCGGAAATGAACGATGATGGTCTAACAGAATATTTATTTATTTTTTTTAATTTTTTTATTTATTTATTTGTAAAAACACTTTACAATGCAATACATAGTAATAGACAGAACAGATACACTGTATAGCCTGTAGACCCAACAAGTTACCAAAATGAAACGAATGATTAAGTTTTTTCATATATTACGAATAATATATAACTTATCATTTAGGTAAACTGTATGGAAAATAGAAATAGTTGTCAGATAACTTTCCGTGCTACGCTTACAAGTCTGCATCTCGCTGTACATACGGAGCGGGCCAGTTATTCATAACTTAGGTTGTTGTGTGAGAAACGGGAAACGCTTTGCATGTAGGGTGACCATGCAAACTTATTTGAGGTATACCTTTACCCAAATTATTTAAGAAATCTTAAAAATTATGTCGGATAACATAAAAAATCTAAGATATCATAATGTTCCGTTTAGTCTGAAATGATATTATGCCACTACATAGTAAAGAATGTGAGCACTAATGAGATTTAAATGTGAGCACTAGTTCCTCAAACATGACATTGCTCCGAGATTCAAATTCGCAACAATATTATACATTGTGAGAAGAATTATACGATTTTTTTATTGTTATGGTGTCGTAACGCATAGGCAGAAAAACAATCTCGTTTATCTAGTTAAGACATCAAAATTAATAAATAAAATATAAACAATTTTAAACTTAAATGAACAAAACTTAAAATAATATAAGACTGGGTTTAAATCCTTTAAAGTAGAATGACCATATGTAAAAGTAATGTCGTGTGTTATTCTCGTTAATTTGTGATGACATCACTCACATCTCCAAACAATAAACTACTCTGTATGTGATCTAATATGAAAATGACCGTTGAATTAAATCATATACCGAATATATTTTGTACCTACAGCTACAGCCATGATTCGAGATAAATATATCGCATCGAATAAGTATAATTTTACATATAATAATTGTTTTATTTTTATTGTCATGCTTTTATATATAAAAGTATGATACTTTATTGTTACTAAACAACACAATTCCCTCATATTCTCTGAATACAAATATTGTCAAATCTCAAGTAAGATTCAGCTCGTGAGTCAACGAAGCATCTTGATCTATAAAACATAAACGACTATGTCATAGTTCACGATCGTGGCCCATTTGCCTATTTGGGTTCGAGTCGATTGAAGAAAGAGTAATATTAACAATTGGACTTACGGCCACAATCACATCGCGGCCATTTATTTCTATTAACCTTAATATGAGACATCACCTTCTCCTGGCTCATTATTTACGAGAAGTACAAACAGATGTATTGGAGCCAGCGCGTACGAGTTACTATAGATGTTATTACATTTATTAAAGAAACGAGTCGTGACGTCAGTTAAATTGATGGAACGATCTAATCTGTCAGAATAAGTTTGGATTATTAGGTGAATGTTATAGCTCACACTTATACTGGTGTATCGCGTGAAGAAGTCGCCACCCTTTACTAGAAAACAAATTTAACAACGATATTAAGTGTAGATCCAGATAGTCAATTCCCACCAGTTACAAATGACACTTATACATATTTAAATACATCTTCAGTTTGAGTGTGATAATAAGTTGATTAATAAATAATAATATTTTTTTATGTTATCGTCGAGCTAGTATTTCAGTGTGCCAGAAAACATTTTGGTAGCGACGATATGAGCCGGAGATAACCTGCGACCGACCTCGTTATAGATCTGTGTCGTTTAATGTTTTACGACTTCCAAAAAATATTCTGACGTTTTGTGATCGACCTGTTACCGATAATAACTACTCCTATATTTAGATTCATCTCTTAGGTTTCGAAATGTTACGTACCTACTTCACTGTAACTAACATCCATGAACACAGAGCCGGACTCACCACCAAGCTCTACTAACAACCCCTGCTAGTACAAAGCAAAATGACGCTCTCATATGTATTAACATGCTCATCCATACATAGCGTAATTTACCTACTACCTACTTCAGAACATAAACTCGTTAAATATATATGTAGTATGGCTTTCAAAAAAAAAAACTATATGCATATTCTTAGAACTACTAGGATAAACATATTTAAAACCCACAGATCGAGAGTCCTTAGAAAAATTGATGAGTTATCTAAAGAATAAGCAAGCGTGGTGACTGCCTCGCGTACGATTAGTCCGCCACTGCATGAAGTCAACGTGCATTTACCTACTTACATAAAGTTTACCGGCCGGAGCAATCGTAAACTATGATTAGTATACTGCGATACACATTAATAGTTTCATATACCTACTTTATGAAATAGGTCATGATGACAATGATCCTGCAAAACAATTATCTATAATTCGCACTGAGCGGACGGAAGGCTGGTTATCGTGTCCGCCGATACGACACCCGACCCCGACACGAGATAAAAATGAAAAAAATATATTATATATCAATCGGTTTATGGCACACAGAGCATACCTAAAGATATTTAAATCTCAATTACATTATGAACATTCAACATTGGTCACAGAAGCTGGAAAATAATACTAAAATAAATGAAGACGAGTTATTTTAACAAACGTACCCAACTGTTTTAATCAACAAGATATATTTTCTTATTAAGCCTGTAAAGTTCATTCACAGATATTGCTAGATGATTGTTGTTTTATAGTACTGAATATGAAAAGTTATTGAATTACGTTACTGTTTGTTACGAACCGGGAGCGACCTATTTGAAACTGTTTACAGTATCGCGTACGGACGCCAATAAAATGCTGATACAAAATAATTGCGCTTCTGATGACTAAGAACTACGGACTGTGGCGACAATCAGAACACTCAAACGATTGTTCAATCATTATTATTTTATTATCTTCCTACAGGTTACTACTTTAGAAAAAATAAAATAAGCATTCCTAATTCCTATCAAAGCGAATTTCTAATTTTGAATAACCGCTAGATAAGTTCGATCTAAGGTACAAATAACAAAATAGTTGGATTAGATGACAACTTAGTTCTCAGAACATGTAATGGGGACACTGTAATAAGAAACCTGACCATAGTTTTAATGTGGTTTAAAAATGTACAAAATTTTAGCAGTTTAATAACTCCAGCCGTTTAATCTTAGGAGGTCGTGAATCCGAGCGTTAGTTGATCCTGAAACCTGTTCCCGGTACGATAACTTTTAAAAAAAGTTCGCCCCTAACTTCAAACTCTAATAATTCATCTTTCATACAAAATTTGAAAAAAAAAATCTAATCAGTAATATAAAAACCGTTTGTTTAATTTATCGGATGTTAGTTTAGTGATGTTAATGTATTATTCCCTACATCACAGTAAGCGCGTGTTTGTCGTGATACTCACCCGGTACCCGTTCGAGTCACCGTCTCCGCCGACCCTCTCCGTCGTACTGCGGCCGCTCGCTCGTGTTCGCGTCCTCCTCCAACCACCCGCGGTCACTCGGCTCCCCGTATTTACTCATTTTCATATATTCACGTGTTTTGATCTTATTCTAAACTAATATACATATTTTGTTTTGTCCGGTGGCTGGGAGCCTTATATGTATAACCTACGTGTAACACAACTGACTGATCATGACCGATCACCTCAATCCAAGTAAATCTGTTCAACTTTTACAAAAAATATCCCTATTACATACAAGACAAACATAAAAATGTATATAATATTATTTTTCAGTGTCGGAACCATATTGTGCTCATTAAAAATAAGAAACAGAATCCAATTTTATTTCGGTTCTTTCGAGAGGCTTTATTTTCTTACTTAGTTATGGACATTTTTCACGGAGGTATCTTGTTTATTAACCAATGACTTATTGGTGTAATATTTGTTCTGTAGGGATAGTGTTATATTGTAATACGTAAACCAGTATCAAATACAATTCTTTTATTGTTTCATCTGTTTCTTGAGAATTGTGTTTAGAGTATCTTCTTCCAGCGTTCAAGTCAACGCCCAATATTATTTTGTAAAAATTACCTTCTTGCAATAAAGGATTATAACGGATATCAACATTGCTTATTAATAATTTCTTCATGTTTAACCTGCCAGTATATCATATACCTAGTACTATTAAAAAAAAGAGTAATTATAGAAATAGAGATAAGAAATATCCTGCGACTCCTAAGAGCTCAACTCTCAAATAATAAATAGTTTCTTTATGTAACCATAATATCGTTAATGTTCCGAGTTACCTGTGGTCGGCGCGTCACTAGACATCAACACAAATATAACATGTTGTAAATAAAGTGTCAAATTTGTCCTTTTACTAGTTTTGGAGCGACTTTAATAATAATAATAATAAAACTTTATTGCTTCAGATAGGTCGTACATTAAAAAAGTAACTTTTAATAAAAACATACATATTTTTATGAGATACAAATTATTCGTACTGGAAATTTTTTTTTCTTAATTTACCATTCGTTTTCATTGACAACCGTATCGCAATTTGTTACAAGCTCAGCTACGTGCTGTGCTATGCCCAGCGCTGATTGTCAGCTTGCTCCTTCTACGTCATTATATTGACTTAGTTAAAAGCGCCGCACCGTTCCGTAACATATTAAAGTGATACAAAAAAACTGATATAAAAGCAAGTAAAAAAGATACCGGTGAAATTATTATAGATAATAGAACACAAAAAGAAATAAACAATTTCTCCAGTTTATAACTATATTTTAAAACTAAACATTAAAAGAACGACAAAAACTTGATACACGCACGCACATCTTCGCATCATAACAACCATAACTCTTATGTGTACATCATGACTAGGACAATTGAAACTATGATTAAATAAAAATAAAGAGTCGTCTAAGTTTTTAGGATTCTATTCTTTCATATTTTGCTTTATTCGCATTCATTTACAAAGTTTTTTTTCTCTTCCTACGTAGCTGCTTCTACTTGTAGACGTAGATAATATTCTTAAGGGTATTTTTTTAAAGTTACGATTGAAAAATGACAATCACGTAGGGGAGGTGGTAGGTTATTCCAAATTTTTGCTGCAGCATATTTCAAAGCACCTTTAAATCCTGCTGTTTTATGTTTAGGAATAAATAGTTTAAGCTTCTCAGTTTCTCGGACAATCCTATCTGTTCTATTCTCTAGCCAGTCAAGCTTTTGATATAAGTAATTTGGTTTTTTGCTGCGCACAATTTTATGTAAAGATACTGCTAGATGAAGGTTCCTACGTGATTTCATGTTTAAAATATTGTGACAATTAATGAAAGGAGATATAAGTGACCTCTTAGGAACGACAAAACAAAACCTAGTGCAAGCATTTTGTACTCTTTGTATAGCTTTTTCAATAATCTAGGACCATACACTGTGTCACAGTACCTAATTAAAAATCGATAAAATAAGTGACTCTATCAGGGTAATTCTCACTTTCTCAGACATGAAAGGTCTCAAGCTACCTATATAGAACTTTCAATTTAAAAAAAGCATTTTTTTATTTTTAGATGTTCTATAAATCTGAGATTTTCGTCAACGTATAGACCAAGATTTTTTGCAACTTTTACTTGTTATAAAGATTCATTGCCTATTTTAATCGGTATGTTATGTCCCTTAACACATTCACGTTGATGTTGGCTACCCAGTATCATATATTTTGGTTTATTCGCATTAAGAACTAATAATATAAATAATTTTTTTCCGACCACTGAGTTATATGTTCTAAATCATTATTTATAAAATTTACTGAATTTTTTTGTATCAAAGTGTAGATAAACCTGAGTATCACCTTTATGAGCAGGGGCACATATTAAAAGAAATAAAATAATGATCCACTGATGTTTTTGTCACAAACAGAAACGGTCGAAGTTTTGTAATCTTACGAATTTAAGTCTTCACAGCATTTTAACAAAATAAGTTTATTTCAGTCGATTATTAATTATGTAAGTCAAAATATATGAAATGTGCTTTTCATGAGTAGTTTAAATTGTATCGATCACTTTGCACACGGTTACGTAGTGACCCGTGTATGTCAAGTACCTGGAAGTTGTAGGGAATGGAGAGGGGAAAAATAAAACACAAGTTACAAAAAGTACGTCTCTATTAGAGAGGGCAACGATACACGCGTCGTGTCACAGGTGAGTGAGGCGCCCGTGCGGACACGGCACCACACCGACTGTAACACACTGGAAACAATTTAGACCCACAGAAAACAAGTTCCACACCCGGCGGCCTCAGGAGAGACTCTAACCGGTCATAGACACGCGGTGGAACATATATTACTGATTGTAATAATAATAGACGCTCACACGTAGCGGGCGGAGGGCGCGGGACACGGCGCACGCTCCGCCCGATACGACGTATATGACTTAACACATGTACTATTATACTTTTGTTACATAATTTATATAATTAAAGATAGTTCCATCGGACTGAGACCTGTTACAGATATAATGTAACGAGTCATCAGCTGCGGGTACACGAGACAATCACCTCACGAGGTGACGGGACTAACACGTTCAATGAGAACTGACGACACGATCAGACAGACCAGCTGAGAGGAATACAATGTATTGACGAGAAATGGAGAACCAACGATATATAATAATTTAAAATTGGGTAACTCGCCCTGAGAGGGTAGGAGTCAGTGTCACCGATACAGACGTACGAGGACACACGGAGACCTGGCGAGTACGATGTACAACTTCAATAACAAAATATCCAAATATTTTGTATCAAAATATTACAATAAAAATAGCAGTAATTTTCTAAGCTGCGAATAAAAAAATGAAACGAGCGAAGAGGACGGAGGGTCCAGCGACACGGGCGAGGAGACGGCCGAGGGGGGAGGGGGGGGCTCAGTCAACATGGCCAGTGTCACCGGACGCCGGCCGGGCACGGACGAGCCGATGGTAACCTAACATATAATTAAAATATACAAAACTTGTAAAATCACATAGATTCCATGATCGGAACAAATTCTACTCCCGCCGGCAGCGATGAGGAGCGCCGCGACACCGGGAGGGGGGGGGGGCGTCACGACCCTACCGTCAATAACTACTACGAATTTCCAGGAGTCTTCATGAAGACGGTCACCGGTCAGCGATCAGTGTGGGAGGTGACGGGGCCGAGTTCACGATCAGTATAAATAATATTCACACGAAAGTTACAAGTGTACAGGATACTCGTTAAAATTAACCAAAATTAAATTTAAAGTGCTTAATATAAAACTATTATAAGTAATTACAAAACATACACGTACAGGCCGGCCGCGACCCGCGGACGGGCGGCGGCCGGGCCCGGGGACCGCGGGGGAAGGTTCCAAGGTCGGGGGTCGACGACCTCACCGACTAAATTAATTTACTATCTAACTACTTAACGAAAGAAGCGAAATGCGAAGCGCGGGGGGCGGCGCGGGGTTCAGTACGCGGGGTGGAGGGTCGGGGGCGGGGGTGTCGACGGAGGGGGGGTGTCCTAGCGGCGGAAGTTCTGTCGCGGCTGGAAGGAGGCGCGGTGCGAGGACAGCGGGCGGCGGCGCGGGGGCTCGCGGCCGCGGGTCTTCTTCTCCTCCACGTTGAGCTTGACGCCGGCGCCCTCGCCGCCCTCTCCGCCCTCGCCGGGGAAGTACAGCGGCTGGAGAACACACACACGGTTAGCGAACCTCACTAGGCCTCACGAGTATTAAATAAATAAAATATTCTTTATTTTCTTTAACAAATTTGTACTTAAAGTTATCGGAGTCTCCTTTTAAGCATATGAAAAGCCTGTGCCAGGAAACTCCGCTCTTCCATATCGCGAATTAGTTACAAGTATACAAGATATTTAAGGTACAACAATAATAAAGGAACAATATAAAAAAGTAATAATAAGAGAAGTAATTACCAAAAAGGAAGCAAATGTGGGATTAAAATGTATGTGTATGCATGTGTGCGCGTACGCATTTGTGTGTGTGTGTGTGTTGTATATGTATGTTGGTGTGTGTAGGATATGAATGCTAGTTCCTATATTCTAAAAAAAAAATCCGTTTCTTGAAAACTTAAAGATTATATCCATTTTATTATTTAAATTTTACACTGTTTACTGTTTTTAAATATATGTATATCAACGTATTTATTTATTTTATTATATAAATAAGTAGATCTATTATCATACTGAATCCTAGCGAAGACTGTTTTAGTAGCAGGGATAGATATAACATTATATTCTATACGTTTATTGAGTAACGATATATCGTAGGTTAAAGACTTGTGTTTTTTTAGAACAGTATGCACGATATACAATTTCCGTACAGTTAACAAACCACTTTCTTTATAGAGTCTCTCTGTGCTGAACCCTTGTTTTCTAAAAAACATTACTTTAAAGGAGCGGTGTGTGTGTTTGTGTGTGCGTGTGTGTGTGTTTGTGTGTGTTTGTGTGTGTGTGTGTGTCGGGCAGGTACCTCGTTGGCGGCGGCCTGCAGACAGTCAGCGGCGGCCTGCGCCGTCTCGTAGGTGATGAAGCCGTAGTTGGGGTGGCGCGGCGCTCCGGGCGCGGCGGGCTTGCTGTGCACGCGCAGCTCGGCCACGGGACCGAAGCGGCAGAAGATGGCGCGCAGGCTCTCCTCCGTGGCCGAGTGAGGCAGGTTGCCCAGGAACAACTGCTGGGCGTCCGAGTACCGACGACCGCCCTCCTGGCTGCCGGCTGGGGAGATACACACGGAGCGATATTAATATATTTATTGTTTCATAAACAATATTACACATTCACTTAAATGAAACTTAAACTAATTTACATAAATGTTTCCATTTTTGAGCGTACAAAACTAGGTTCTTAAATCTTATTATACAAAATAAAAAATATATTTAACAAGTAATACATCAAAACATAAATCACTAAGTGGGTGGTTTTGTATATCAACATTCATCACCACTAAATGTTCACAGACAAATTACAACTAGATGTGACATTACCAAAACAAGAAATTATCAACATTTTTATTCTTCTTTTATATTTCTTAGATAGTTACTTTATTTATTTTTTATTTCTCCGCTGTTAGAAATGTATTTGTATATTTTATGTTTTTGGATGGTTTTAGTTATTTTTATTTAATTTTTTTTAAAGAAATCAATTCCATCAACGACTGCAACTTCTTACAGAATGACTTAAACAATCTATGTAACTATTGTGATAAGAATTTTTTGACTTTAAATGTTATAAAGTGCAACACCATATCATTTACCCGGAAAAGAATTCCACAAATGTATGTGTATAATATAAATAACATTTCTTTAAATAGGGTTTTTGAGGTTAATGACCTCGGCATAGTTTTAGACTCTAAGCTTACTTATGCTTCTCACATCTGTTACATAACATCAAAAGCTTATCGAATGCTTGGATTTATTTTAAGAGTTGGTAGGGACTTCAGACAGTGCTCAACTTTGGTTCTGCTCTATAACTCATATGTTCGGTCTACCCTTGAATATGCCTCTACCGTATGGAATCCTCAGTATAAAACTTATATAAATGAATTAGACTCTATTCAAAGAAAATTCTACAAACACATGTGTTATAGAGCTGTATCATCTGCTAAAATACAACTCTTGTCTCCTCTTACTTTACGTAGACAAGCTAGAGAGCAACTTTTCTTATATAAAATAATTAACAGTTTCATAGATTCACCTTTCCCATTGTCTAATATTGAACTTAATTGTCCACGAATAAATTCTAGACTTAAATCATTATTTAATGTGCCGATTTGTAAAACGAAAAGTACTAATAACATCTTCTTATATCGTAGTTGCCAAAATTATAATACAGTTTATTCAGATATTGATATATTATTCGAAAAAATGTGTTCTTTTAAAAATAGTTAATAAGATTAATTTATGTATCAATTCGTAGTTTGTTTTGACGTGTATAAATGTTTTGCCTGTAATTTAACTAACCGATGTAGCCATTAATGCCTTCAACTTTGTTGAATGTGTTTTGTTACTTCTGTTTTTTTTTGTTTCATTTAATTATATTTATGTTAGATTTTATTCATAACTGCCGAAGAAATTCGTCAGAATACGTTTTAAATGTTTGATTTTATGTATGTAAGTCTTTTTTAATTTTAATAATATGCGTCTAATTACCAGGGGAAACTTAGCTGATATATTTAATTTTGTATATTCATATCCCATAAGTTTATCTTATTGTTTGTTCCCCTAAAATAAAATTAAAAATATATATATATTTATTTGTTCGTTTATAGAATACATATTCTTTTATTAGGTAGTCTTATTTAATAGACGATCTTTAAGTATTTTTTTTAAAGCTACGTGTATTTTTATTTCTTTTATACTTTTAGGAAGGTTATTATATATTTGAGAACTTTCGAATGTTATATTTCTTTTACCATAGTTTGTTCTTGGGGGACGTAATACTATATTATTTGCATTTCTTAGATATGGGTATTGCGGATTATTGTTTTTTAAGGACAAGTTTATATGTGTGTGTTTCATTTGATAAAATTTTTCGAATTAGTATGCATGTATAATATTTATACCTATATATTTTTTATATTCATCAATTTTGCTTCCTTATATATTTTCTCTGTTGGCGTAAAGTAATTGTTGTGAAATAGTATCTTTATCAGTTTATTTCGTGCTGTTTGTAATATTGTAAGGTTAGTTTGAACCCCAAACTTGTATTAGGTAATCCAAGTGTGGCTTGACTAGGGAGTTATAGATTATGTAACGGACTTAACGGACTTGTTAACGGTCGTATCATACCTTGCTGCTGTGGCTGGGCGCTCCGGGGCGGGCGGGCGCGGGGCTCGTGCGAGGCGGGCGCCGGCGCGGCAGAGGGTGCGGGCGCGGGGGCGGGCGGCGCGGGGGGCGAGCCGCGGGTCGTATTAGCACTCGACCCGGACTTGAGCAAGTTGGCGTACGTCTTGGGTTCCGGCGGAGCGGTCACCACTGAAATGTAGTTAGGTGATATTATTATTACAATCGATGACTCGAATAGTCAAGGGGGAAATGAGACGCGCCACTCACCGGGTTGAGGCGTCGGCTGAGGGGTCGGCTGCTGGGGCGGAGGCGTCGGCTCGCGCTCGGGCTCCGGGGCCGGGTCCTCCTCCCGCTCGGGGACCGCGGCGGCGGCGGGGGCGGGGGCGCCGGCCGAGGACACGGGGCGCAGAGTCGAGGGGGCTCCGGCCGGCGCGGCGGGACACATGGCGGAGGGGTCGGCCTGCAGCGCGGCCGCGAGGTGGCGCGCGGGGTCGTCGTGAGGGTGTCCGTTGAGGTGCGGCGAGGCGGGCAGCGACACGAGCTGCGCGTGCGGCGGCGCGGGGAAGGGCTGCGGCGGGAAGGCGGGGGGGAAGTACCCGCCGGCGGCCGCGTCCTCCTCCTCGGCGTCCGAGCGGCCGGAGCCCTCGCCCTCCTCGTCCGAGAACACCACGTCCTGGTAGCGGAAGATGTCGTTGTGCACGTAGTACTTCTTGGGCGACTGCGCGGCCAGCACGAAGGTCTGCGTGAAGCGCCTCATGGGCGCGCCGGCGTTGGACAGCTCGCCGGTGACCTGCACGACGACCCCGTTGCCGAGCGTGGCCTGCGCGTCCACCTGGCTGATCTTGGCGTGACAGTCGCGGAAGTTGAGCTGCTGGATGCGGTTGTGGATCTGCTTCTGGCCCACCACCGGCAGCGTCTCGCGGTTGGGAGCATCCAGCCCGCCGTGCACGAACGACGAGTAGTTGTTGTAGAATCTGTTCACAACATTCATACATTAAGTTTACATTTACAGCACCTTTATAATTCATACATCACAATAATATATACTTTTGTATATTTAGTATAAGTGTTGTTCTGTATGAGGACAAATGTGACTGGTTAATATTACAAGCATAGACATGACACACGGTGTACATGATAAGTGATATTCTATATGTAACAAGTTGAATATTAATAAATGTTTCAATTTATATATTTCAAATTAATCAATTAATACAAATTTAAGCAAACTTAAGTGTGTTTTTGTAACCAGACTGTATTATAAAACTGTTATTAATAATTTTTAAGAGAAATCTGTGTGAATGAAAATTTTAATAATGAACATTCAATGTAAATTTTCTTAATGTAATATATAATAAACATTCATATAACAATGCATGTCACACAGTGTAATGACCATGACTCTGTTAGGAGACGAGGCCAATGATGTCACCGGAGCTCTGATACTACTGATAACAGATAAGATGATGACGTCACACTCATGACAAAGGCAGTTCCCTCAACTGAACACACACACATACATATCTAACATGTTAAAGTTAAGAGATACCATGCTGGAACAAAAACTACAATGTTTTAAATAAGTCAGGTTATGATGATGACCCTCATTGTTTAAAGAAATGTTTACAAAGATATGTATTTAACATTCCGAAGGTACATCACTATCAGTTATACAATCAAAGTAAATGGTTTTGATAAATACATAACTATTTCAAGAGCATTATTGATACAATCATTGAACACATTGTACTCCAAAGAAATTGGTTGAGATTTGATTTGCCGGGAGGCATGTAGAGTACTGTTAAATAATAATATATGTATGTAGTGAGTGTGTGTGAGTGTATATGATATAGTTATGAACCTATGCAGGTGTGCGGGCGCCTTGTTGAGCAGAGTGTAGTATTGACGGACGAACTCGCGGCCGACGCTCTGCGGGGAGGGGGACGGGGACGCCTCCATTACCATCGCTGTTGACACGGTGCGCTGATACAGCCCTCCGCTATACGCTGACAACACACACACACACACACTTAAATAGGTTTGTCGTGGATATGTACGCGGTGCAAGTGGGAGTGAGAGGTATAACAGCTAAATCTATTTACAACCTACTACAAGACTTGGGCCTGTCCAGAGTTCACATTGATACATTCTTGGGACATACTTTAATAAGTACAAATTTGGTAAGCTGAGAGAGGAGCTTAAACCTACACCTGGGTTGCAAGTCCCAGGCACTGTTGAAGCTCCTCTCTACAACGATGGACCCTGCACCTGCACTGTGAATACTTGGAATGCTGAGAGGTTTCGTCTCATGACTACCACCACAACCCTTAACATATATCACATATGAGATACATAGAGCCACTTCAAAGATCTTAATGTTTCATGACAGTACTAATAAATAGTTTCCTATTCACATATCTCCCACCACCTACCTTTTCGCTGCACAATTTCCCCAAATCGAAGGTTGTCTGGCAGAAATCGCTGTATAGCGATAAGACCGCCTTTTTGTACATTTCCATTTATTTTATTATTATTTTTCCGTGTAAAATTTACTATTTGTGGTGTGCAATAAAGTATATTCTATTCTATTCTATCTCCCTATACACTACAACATGTTAGCGTCGAGTGAAAAATTCAAATATTTGTTGCCTTAATTCTAAGGTGAACCAACTATAGCTAGTATACTAACAAACTTGTAATGAATAAATTATTTGTAACTAGGAAGTTGCTACTGCATCATCACAAAAAATATTTACTATGGTCTTAACACAAAGAGTCACATTGTTATCAATATACAAAACTATAATTAGAGAGTTAAGAACACATCTTATCAATTTCACTAATTGTACTCTTTATTAGTGCTCCATTAACAATAATTCAATAAAATATATTTATTTGATAATCAAACCTGAAATGTGAATTAAATATCAAACAGTTGTATAAAATATAGTTTAAAGTTTCACTAAAATCAACATGAAGAAATCTTTATAATCATTATGGATTGGGAGATTATTCAGTTTTAGTTTCAAATGTGTGTAAATTAATACATTTTACTGTGACTAAAAAAGCTTTTCCTACCTTAATACTTTTGTTTAAATACACAAGTGTGTTTTATAAGAAGCAAAAATTAAAATCTTGAGTAGATTATAACTATCAAATAAAAATACTGCAACAATGTATTTACCATCAGAAACTATTCTTATGCTCATCAAATTAAGAAGCAACTCAAATCTAAGTGTGTGATCATAAAACAACAAAACAATGTAACCACTCAAACAAACAAATAAACTTCAAAACCGCGCGAAATTAAATTAGATCCTATAATCTATATACTTTAACGGGAAAGGGCTGATTTCCTTGAGATGCTTAATCTTTTCTGACCGTATATTGAACGAGTAGTCATTCAGGGCTTTTTCGAACCACGCATGGCGCTTCTGACTCGTCTATAATCACTATTTCAAAAAGGATCCTTATAAACACTTAACAACATATACATGTATGTGTAAATAGCCCACTATTAACGAAAAGCAAACCTTTCCTCAGCTAAAAAGCTCGGTTTATATAGCATAGAAACTAGAGGTTTAACCTATAGAAAAAATCTTCCGCCGTTAACAAGATTGCGTTATTGAGCATTTAATAGGTATTCGTTGAAAATCTCTTACCTCAGTAAAATATAGGCATCAAAATGTTGTAATCTGTAACGAATCGTCACGAAAATCGCGAAATTTTCACGATAAATACGGGCTGAAAACAGAAAAAGAGCCTACCTCACCGTTCGGTGTCAATTTTGTAATAGTGCTGCCAATATCAAAATTTCACTCTAAATTAACAATTATGGTTTTATTTAAAGATTGTTAGTCTTTTATTTTATTCCAAAAATTCTAAAATAAGCGGTTATCTTTTATGTACGAGTCATTTTGTGTGAAATACAGGTATTTTACTAATCATTAAGTGTTGATATGCAATATTTCTATTTAATTTAAAATCAAACTAAGTGTCAACGACATTTTTAATATTCCTGAATTATATTATATAAATTATTTATATAATCATATATTTCGTACCTTTGATGTAAATTGATGTAAGTTATTAAGACAGTTTTTCTTAAAAAGCATATTTAAGAGGACAGCTTAAAAATTGTATTTTTGTGAAACGTATTTTCTTCGTCATTTAGCGAATTTAATGTTTATGTGTGTAAGTACTACCTTATTATATAAGTATTTGTTACATTTTCTATAATAATATTTAAATCTGCTGACTAATTTTATTAACTATATAAATTTAGATTCCTTGTATATCGCTGTGTTTCTACTGATGTAATAGTTTTAGGAATATTTTTGAACGTAAATGTAGTTACAATTGGCGGCATTTAGTTTGTAATGTTGGTAAAGATATTGATTTATTCCTGTGTAATCTTTTTACTCTTTTGCTCCTTTAAATTTTGTATCATCCATCTCTGTTTATACCGGTGCGTGCCATTGACCCTACACAAGCTACTGTCCGTTTATTGGTGGATTCGAGGGAAGGGATGAAAATGTCAGCAAAAAAAGCGCGTCGCTTTACAAGAAGCCAACATTCCGATATAGTTCGCGCCGACTCATCATACTCAGTCTTTCATTCTTCTGCATTTGGCATTCGGCGTCGAAGGTCGTGTTTAGACCTTAGATTTTAGTTTATTGTTACTTATAAGTCTATATTTAGTCATTATGGCCTCTAACGATAATTTTGCACAAGATGTTACTGAAAACCAAGTGAATGGAAATGGAGAAAACGGTGGAGGTGATGGTCAAGAACATAACAGCGCCGACGCCCCAGGACGCGATGACGACAGGTACTACTTTTAAACTTTTTAAGTGCTTTCAGGAGTCGAATACTTCGGTTAGGAAATATGTTTTCTTATATCACCTATGTAAAATAGCTTAAACTTAGTTGTTTAGTAAGAATTTTGCGTTGTAACATTGTTTTTACAGTAACTATTTGCTCGCCGCAATGGCGGCGTCGGTCCGGCATTTTTCTCTATCGGCATTGCAATCTATTTTAATCCTTAAGGCGTTTTCAAAATTTAATGTTTTTATTATTGCAGTGGATTCTTCGCGTATTAAATTAAGCCTCCTATGTCATAGTTCTTATTTCAGATAATTCCAGGATACATTATTATTAAATTTATTCTGTCACCGTTCTACTTAAAATGGCGTCACTCGCGCGTCAGTATAGTTCCCGCCGGCGCGGTCCCGTTATCGATTTTCGCATCAATTTTTTTATTTTGCATTCGATGAGTGGTTTGAATGTTACGGTCACGGCGAGGACCCTATCGTTGATCGCACAGTACAGCTCCTTGCAAGATTTTAAATCGGTGGTAGTGCGTACGGCTGAGTACGCGGTCAGTTTGGAGCGCCACTAACGCCCTGTCTCTCTGCAGGTGTGAGCCTGCGCCGCCGCCGCCGCAGCCGCCGCAGGACGTGAGGGTATATATCCGCAAGGGCTCACACTAAAGTAACCCCCGACCAAACTGACTAGATTGTCTTGGCCACTTAACTTTGGGCCTCGTTCACACTTGCCAATTTCAAATCTTGCGATATATCACTGTAACATTCTTTTCATTTCTGGTTGTCTCTGATAATGTTAAATTTTGCAGTTTAATTTTTGTAACTTACAGGTTTCTGAATTTGTTTTGCTGCAGTGCTTGGAGTTTGTTTTTCACAAAATAGTAGCTGTAAAGTACTGTAAACAAGTACTGCATAGTGTTAATTTAAATTAGTAATTTACACTTAAGTCAGTTTCTAAATCGCGACCGTGCATGTTTGTTTTGTTCCACAATTGATTTGTTTGTTGTGCTTTCAGAAAACTTTTTGTGGGAGGGCTCAGCTGGGAAACGACAGACAGTGAGTAGCCATCTCTCGATGACTTTTAGATTACTTTAAATATAAATAAATCTTCTTAGATCATGATGAACCAATTCAGTTCTGCTTCTGATATTTTTTGAAGATAACTTACCCACTACCCTGAGTTCAACAAGATTAAAATGGAGAAAATGAAGAAATGGAACAGAATTAAAATGTGTAAATTTAATTTTTCAGAGGAATTGCGTGAACACTTCAGTGCATATGGAGAAATTGAAAGTATCAATGTCAAGACAGATCCTAACACGGGAAGATCACGAGGGTTCGCCTTCATTGTATTCAAAGCCCCCGACTCCATTGACAAGGTGATGGCTGCCGGAGACCACACAATTAACAATAAGAAAGTAGACCCTAAAAAAGCGAAGGCTAGACATGGGAAGATATTTGTTGGAGGTCTTAGTAGTGAAATCTCTGACGATGAAATCAAAAATTTCTTCAGCAACTTTGGAAATGTAAGTACTTGAATTATTGTATATATTATTCAATCTGCACATTACATATTAGGCGTATGTGATGAAAAATCCGGATTTGGTGAGATAATTATGTTCTAGATTATTGTGAAGAAGACACCGGGCCACTGAATACTAAAAATAATATATGTACATATAAAATTTATTTATATGTTGGGGGTTAACAGATGATGTTTGTTTCAGATTATCGAAGTCGAAATGCCTTTCGATAAAACGAAGAACCAGCGGAAAGGTTTCTGTTTCATAACATTTGAATCTGAGCAGGTGGTCAATGAACTCCTCAAGACACCTAAGCAGACCATCGCTGGCAAAGAGGTACATTTAGAAAATGTGTTATTTGTTTGAATATATTTGCCATGATGCACTTGTAAACATTGTTATAATAATGTGACTTTGTATAAAGGTTGATGTCAAGAGAGCGACTCCCAAGCCCGACGGCCCTGGAGGCATGGGCGGGCGAGGAGGACGCGGCGGGCGGGGGGCGCGCGGGGGACGCGGCGGCCGCGGCGGGTACGGCGGACAGGGCGCCTGGGGCAACCAGGGCTACGGCGGGTACGGCTACGGTCAGGGAGGATACGGCGGCGGGTACGACGGCTACGGCGGCTACGGCGGATACGGATACGACGGCTACGGCGGATACGGCGGATACGATTACTCCGGATACCCCAATTACGGTAAACGCGGCAAGCAGCACTAGTAAGCCGGCTCCGCTGGCCTGCTCACCGACACATTACCTCGACTGATGTTACCTGATCCTAGAATGTAAACGTAGAGTAAGGCTAGGCGCTAGGCTAGCGTAGTGGGGTCGCTCACCCTCCGTCCTTAACATACCTCCTCGCTGATGTATATTAGGTGGATAAGGAGACGTCGTCGCGTGGACCTTAGGTGTATGTCTTTAGTGCGTAGAAAATATTTATTTTTCTATTATAACTGCGTATTTACATTGATATTCTATCGAGATAATGTGTAGTGAATGTTTGTCGGGCGACTGTTAGGGTCGGACGAGTCGACCGCCCATGGATACTACTCTTGTGTAATCGAAGTTAAATCATTTCATATAACTGAGAATCATTTTATTACATTTTCATTAGTTAGTTTATTTCCACTGAAGTCGCGAGCCGCGCCGCCTGTGTGCGCACTCGGCCGACCGCTCTTTATCATTGTTTCACTGAGGGTACTATGTTTGTACATATATGTTACCGCCTTACGTTTTATAAGTGTTTTTTGTAATACCACTTTTGACATCTGTAGCAATGTCGCCCGAGTTATTTGTTTTGGTATTTTTATTTTACCTATTTAACGCTCTCGCCACATGCTACATTTGGGTAATTGGGGTAATATATGGAGAGACATTGTGAAAGTGATAAAGATATGATGAAGCTTTTGAATAAAGCACTGTTACCAAAAATCAATGTGTTTCCATATATACCCCAGTCCGTCCCCATCCATCCATCCACCCACACCCACACCCACACCCACACCCAAACCCATCCACCCTCCATTCATCCAATCATTCATTCGTTCATATAACCTACCACCACGCCACACAACTAACACTACAGCGATTTGTGTTACTGACACACGTCTCCCAGTCAATATAATATCTAGAGTCCTGACACAACAGACACCAGCTTAGTGTAACGGGTGGTGTCTATAATATTTATGTAATGGGGCGACTTTTGGCTCTGACATGAAGTTAAATAATAATATATCGAACAGTCTGTAATGAAGAGGGAGTATGTTGTTACGCACATAATACACAGTAAAGCATTACAATATACAATGAAAGATAGTACAAAGAACGGGGGGAGTGTGGGAGCTCGGGGGAGGGAGGGGAGGGGGACGCCACACGCCACGGAGGGCCGAGGTTGATGACTGTAGACTAATGGCTTTGTGTGTGTGTCGGGCAGACTACGGCGGGTACGGAGGGTACGAGGGAGGCTACGGCGCGCGGGCGGCTCCTCGGGGGAAAGGTACTGCGAACATGCACGGCCGCGCGCAAACTACCGATCATATGTAGCCACGGCACGGGCCCGTACAAGTATCGGTCGTTTACGCCGAGCGGCTGAGCTCGTTGTCGTTTTATTGACCGAGTGTTCGGGAGCATGATGACCCTTGACCCTGACCGTGGACATCTCCCGTCATGTAGCATCGCAAACGTTTGATGTTATAACACTGACCGATTAATTTATACACATTCCTTTTCAATATGTAGATGTGACATTAATATTACTGCATGTATATTTCGCTGTAAACGTTCCTCACACTCGATTCACTCGTAGGAGCTTTAGTTTTTTATTATCCTTCTTCAGTTCGTGTCAGGTTACACATGAACTCTCGCCGCTCTCATGTTTGTAGTTATATTAATCGATCCGAAGTGTCGAACGGAACCGACGCCGACGCGGTCTGTGTAACCTCTCAGTCGAATGATCGTAATACTTGTTCAAAACAGACACTTCCGTAAATACTTAGATTTAGAGTATAATAACATTAATGTGACTGAATATTAGATTTCTGCGTAAAGATACGCTTACACTAGCGACCGAGAGACATGTCGAATACACCGTCGATATAAATGTGTCGTGACGTCACGGAGACGGTGGTGGGAGTGTGTATGGGGGGGGTGTGAGAGGGGGAGGGGGCTGACATTCGACCGTGACGTGACGTGTGAGCGTACAGTTACTTTGGATTATTGGCATGAGTTAAGTGTAGGTCACGGAGTGTGTGGGCCGAGGATATCATGTGACTCGTTGTAGCAGGTTACCAGGGCGGCAAGCAGCGCGGGGGCGGCGGCGGCGGTGGCGGGGGCCGCGCCAACCAGAGGCACCAGCCATACTAGACACTACCAGTACCTGCCCATAGTCATCTCAGTCCAATAGTAAGGTGATGTGAAGCACGTTGACTGAGCGCCTGTCTGTCTGTCTGTGTACTGTACCGATGAAGCTAACGAGGCGGTGTGTTGTGTTGCAGGTTAAGTGATCGGTCATGAGCGCCCCCCGCGCCGCGCGTCGGTCGGTCGAGTCGCGGGTGTTGGGGAGGCGTCGTTCCATTCCACATGATTAATTTAAGAAGTCTTTTTAAGAAATTTAAGAATAAAGTAAATAGTCGGTCATGTGACGCGACCGCCTCGGAACGGTCGACGCATGGAATGATCATAATATAGTATGGATTATAGATTAACTGAGTATTATTGCTGATTAGATTCAATTTTGACATTTTAGTATCGAAATCTTACCTTTTAAACCGATTCTATAGAGTAATGATAATAATTATACAGAGCTTAAAGTGTAGTGTCGTATGTGTGAGGAGCCCTGTCCGCGTGTCTGTGTGTGTCCGTGCGTGTAGGTGTGTGTGCGTGTGTGAGAGAGTACGGCCGCGGTCCACTCAGCGATGACTGTCTGGATCTCATTGCAGAATGTTGTAGATTTGTAATTTTTCTTGGTAATGTAACATGGAAATTGGAATCATGTATTTTATACAAAGTAGTCGTTTCTTCCATTTTGTAGGGATGAAAATTAGTTTAAGGTAAATGTTCATGAACAAACTCTGGAGATGTAGGATTGTATGTCGGAATATAACGATATGTAAATAAAAAGTTGACGGTTGTCATTGAGGTTTCCGATGTCGAGAGCTCTGTACAATGTTTAGTCTAATTTATCAATCTTTAATTAAAATAAAAACCTCTGAATCTATTTTTAAGTACTTAAATGGTTATACAATAAACATGAAGCTTTATTTTTCTGAAAAGTTTGCATTCTGAATCTTACCGTCTGGGTAAAAATATAAGAATAAGTCTTGTCAGTATCGAACTTGTAATTTGGCAGAAGTTAACAATAAAAATGTATAAAAGAATGAATGTTGTTTTCTGTCCCTGTTTCTGTCTGTGTCTGTACAGTGTGCGCGGGGTTGTCGACACGTTATGTTCTGCCACCCATGATTCCCTGAAATGTTCCGTTATTAGCAGTGGTTTATCTGAGATTTAAATTCCTCTGAAATCCATTTGCCACTTGTAAACACTATAGTACCTAGGTCCTTAGATTTTTTTGTGTTACTAAACTTTGTTGATAGATTTTTTTGATTAAAGGTATTCCTGGAAGTACACATTTAATAAAATAATGTTTTGGGAATACAAGGTCGCCTTATTTTGTTTTACGATTTTCAGGAATTTCGTAAACGTCTGTTAGAAATGGTAATAAAGTCACGAAGTCAAATTCAATGCCCACATTTATACATACACATGCCCACATCTTTCGTGAAAAAAACTTTAAATTTTAAATAACTGAGAATTATAGACGTAAAAATGGCTAGCTCTCCATTAGTTTAGAATATGTATAATATAATAAAGCTGGGAAATTGCTAGGCAGAGAAGATAATAATACAATAGCATTGTTGTAATAAGATTAAGATTTTGTATCACTTACAGTACTTCTATGTACCTATATTAGGAAATTTTATGTTTCGTGTTGGCCCTGCATCTTTATAGGTACTTTACAATTATTATTAGAACCATTAATTACTATTTCATACATTTCTCCTTTGTAACAGGTAAGGTGTGAATTCTTCTCTCAATAAGCCGTAGTTCTAGTTGTAATTAACCTACTTATCAAAATTAGTTTCTTATACGTACATGAATATTTTAGAGCACTAGTTTAGTCCTAAATAAATAAAAAGTCACAATCATGACATCTCAAGTAATTCAACGAAATGATAAATGTTGGTTTTTAACAATGTTTTACATACCTACGACAAATCTAATTTTATTTGGCGTCGTTGAAGCATCGAGGCTGCCATTTTTAAGAAATTTTTCATATTTTTTTACAGGGTACATTCCTGCTTTTTAGTTTACTTGTTGTTAAGTAAAAGAATTTGTATTCAAAAAAAGAAAACAATTTGAAGTGTTCCTACTTTCTTTTATTACAGCGACTCGAAGTCTTTCGTTCACCTATCCCATGTCTCATTACAATCAACGTCAAGTAACCACTACATAGTTTCTAAAACATTGATTTTCAATGTAGTCCAGGTGGTTGATTACCTAGTGGACTTAATTAATAAGATTGGGCGGTGAACGAAATTTATCTGGTTGCTTTGGAAACAAAATTCTGGTTCAAATTAAATGCAGTGAAGACTTATTATAATAGGTATATTAGAGAACGACTGTTACTTGGAAACAGGACATATTATACTTAGTACAGTTCATCGAAACTAAAAGAAATAGGCTCAAAATGACATGTTTAGGGAAATATGTTTGTTTGAATCTTCTAAAACCATCAAAATTGAAAGTTGTTTTTATAAATGATGAAGAAGGTACAACGTTTAGTAGACCTTATAAAGGTATGTCCACGCTAGGGTTCAGAGTCAAAATCAAGGTAAAGTGTATTATTATTATATAACACTCGGGGGCTATATAATACTGTGAAGTTTAATTGTAGTACATACAACCTACGCACATAGGTACTTGATTTTGTACATAGTGTATTTGTAGGCTCGTCGGAAAATTATATTTGACAGCGGCGTGTATTATATACCGAGTACCTAAACCACTATACTATGAAAATAATTCATCAGTTATGATTCCATGTAGAAGGAAGTCATTTATAATTTTTTCTGGAAATCGTATCATTCAGAGTTTGTTCAGACGTTTACGTTTTCATGAAAGTCAAGCCGAGTAACATGAGTGTAATAAGAAAGAACATGATACATAAGAATTGTCAGTCAGTGGCGGCCTAGTGGTTAGAGATCCGCCTCTCGTGCACGAGGGCGTGGGTTCGATTCTGGCAAGTACCAATGTGATGTCATGTACTCTCTCAGAGCATTTGGACACTACTGACAGACTGTAAAGGAAAACATCGTGAGGAAACCTGGACTTATGATTTCAAGTTTGAAATCACCAACCCGTCTTGAGCAAGCGTTGTGATTAACGCTCAAATCTCTTCCTTGTGAGAAGAGGCCTTTCTCATCAGTGGGCTCTGATAGGTCAATGACATAAGAATTGAAGAATTCCCTTTTATAAGAATTCAGATAATATTTTTTATTGAGCAATTCTTAACACAGACCTATTTCATTGACGGAATATTGTGTTTTTGTTTTCTGCTCTTGTTGAATCGTAGGGACCTACTATTTTCTCAAGTGTACATATTTCATGTTGTACAGCACACTTCCCCTTTTCTTTTTTAATTTATTAAAGTCGACACAGCAAGAGTAATCCTAAGTAAGGTCTAAGCAGACAAGTCATCTACATCACTTAGTTTCTAGACCAGTGCCGATAGCTTTTAAAACATAAATAATTATAGTAGAATGAAACTCATTAGAAAAGGAGGGGAATATTATAAAATTTAAACGAAAAATAATTTACGGGCGATCTGAGGTCGGGAAGGGTATGGGGATGGGTATTTAAAAGTAAAAAATGGGTTTTCTCGATTTCCGGAAAAACTAAGAGTCCTAATGAAAAATGTTATATGGCAAAGTTGTAGGTATTAAAAAGATCTAAAACTTTTCTATTTACACTTTTTTCACATAACCCGAAAATTTATGTGATAAATTCGAAAAACCAAGTTTTTGGTTTTTTATTTTTATCTCTTACAAAAAACAATTTTTTTGTCACGAAATTTGGTGAAAAAATTCATTTTGATGTTACAAATGCACTGTACTTTATTTGATTAGAAATATTTATTTTTTCAGCTTATCTTCTTCTTCTATATATCTTCTATATATATATAAAAATGGATTGCTGTTCCTTAGTCTCGCTAAAATTCGAGAACGGTTGAACCGATTTGGCTAATTTTAGTCTTGAAATACTTCTGGAAGTCCAGGGAAGGTTTAAAAGGTGAGAAAAATTGGAATAATTGCCGGGAAAACCCTAAAAGCAGCCCTTTTCTATTTTCCATACAAACGTTTTTTTTTGACATTGGATTTGACAACTAACTAATGTGTCAATCATTCTGTTTGATTGAAACAGGAAAAACCTGATTATTTATGGCTTCTAAGACGGAATAGAGTTCGCCTGGTCAGCTATACCTACATATATTACTCTTGACCAAACTAACGCGGACGAAGTCGCGGGCAAAAACTAGTTTTGAATAAATACCGAAAAATCATCCTCATTTTCAATCGAAAAATCACCCGTCAAAATATCAGCTATTTTCAAAAATTTGGTATGTTTTCAATTTGTTTTAAAAGTTTTAGATCTTTTTAGTACCTACAATTTTGCAATATAACATTTTTCATTAGGACTCTTAGTTTTTCCGGAGATCGAGAAAACCCATTTTTTACCCTTAAATACCCACGCCCGTACCCTTCCCGTTCCCGACCTCAGATCGCCCGTAAATTATTTTTCCCTTAATTTTTATAATATTCCCCTCCTTTTCTAATGGGTTTCATTCTACTATAATTTATTTTCACTTTTCATCATTTTTAGAGGCATCTGCACTGGCCTATTCACGTTTTTTAGGTTTTAAAATAATAGTATATACCTGCTTGGATACATAGTATTTATTAAATACATTTATAGGGAGACGAAACCTCATTGCATTCAATGGATTCACGGTGGGGGTGCTGGGTCCATTGCGTTGCAGAGAGAGAAGCTTCAACCGTGCCTTAGACTTGTGAATTGTGACCCAGGTCTAGGTTTAAGTTGTAGGTTTTTTTGCAAAACAAAAGATATCAAAACTTCGACACATGCTTATCAAGATAGCATTCTTGACACGTTAAACCTCTTAATAATACCAGCTCTTATGTGTATAGCAGAGTATAGTTTATAAATTGATTTATTTGTAGTTAGTTACAATAAAAAAATATATCTTTGTACCAAGATGGCAAGATTTACATTACTATCAAATTTAGGAGTCATTATATGATGTTCGTGGATAATGTGATTATTAATTTAGAATCCTTTAAATTGTCCCTTTACCAGGACTCGTGAGCACCAAAAATAAAAAGTGATATATTTCTTGGTATCTGTTTATTGATTTAATCTGAATGTCCTCAGCAAGGCTGCGCGCTCGATGTTGCGTGAAGGACGTCGAGTGCCTTGCACAGCGCTCGGTAGTCCACCTGGAGGACGTACAAGTGATACATTATAGAACTTCGTAGCTACAGGGAACGTTCGACTAAATGCAGGAGGCAGGTGGGACTGCTGCTAGTGGAGGCAAATAATTCGATGCTACTTAATATTTTTTGATGGTTTAGAACTCAGAGCGAATTCCAAGTGGAACAGAAAAAAATAATCAGTGTGCTTATCAGCTCTAGATATGGCTACCTACATCTTCTGTTCGTCATTATGCATCGCGTTTTTGTGTTCGATCACGTAGTTTAACTTATGTATATAGGCGGTGTGTAGGTTATTTTATCCACGACATATTAAGTGTGTGTGATACCTCGTCTCCGCATCCTCGTCTGTATCCGAAACACTTGTACAGCAGGTCTCTCTCCCTGGCAGACAACCTCGCCAACAAGCCTCGCTGGCACAGCGCGCGCTCCACGCTCACCCGAGGGATGGTGCCGCAGCGCTCCTTGTCAGCGTCCTTTGGAATAACAAGCGTGACTCATAAACATATATTTATATAATTAGCGAAGAGTCCTAGGTTCTAGGTGATGGTTCCCCGGACTGACCTTGAACACCTCCATAATATTAGACAGCTGATCGGGGAAGTGTGACAGTTTGTCCAGAGCGGCGGCCACTAGCGCCCGTTCTTCGTAGTTGAGGTAGTTGAGCGGCGTGTCTCTGGCGGGCACGTGTTGGAGCGGCGCCAGTAGCGGGGCTCGCTCCAGGCCTCCTTGCACCAGACTCTCGCCCACCGTCTCACAGAACCTTTCATACTCCACGTACCGCCGGCGACCCGGCGCGCTGAAACTGTTCGCGGATAATGTTCACAACAGTTTAATTGTTCCGCTACATGTAGGACATGTAATGTTTAAACGTACACCTCCATGAGTGTGTCCATCTCTATGGGGGTGAGAGCCAGCCCGGCCGCCGCCAGGCCGCGGTAGAAGTCCGCGCGGGGAACCACTCGCTCGTGACGCGGGTCGAACTGAGACACGAACTCGCGGGGACGGACGCCCTCGCGGACCATCTGATACGACAAACACTTCATTACTTACGAAACATACACTTACTGGTAAAATAACAAAATAAAAAGATCCTTGATACTAGGAGGCGATATTGAATTATATGAACATACAGCATATTTAGTAAGATTAATATCTTTTGTATACACCGTGGTCAACTATACCTGACATCTTGTGACAATAACTGAAATCTGCTAGGTTCAAGTAATTTAATTAAAGAGCACATTTAGAAATTCATTATCAGAGCGAATAAAAACTTGGAGCTTATTTAATAGATTTATGAAAATTACTTCTTTAGATTATTATATGTACATATAAGAAGACCTACTTTTCCTTTGATCTTGGCAAGTATCTGCACTATGTCAGTCTCTCTAGGATCAACGACGCTGGTTTTAGCTTTATGTCCCGCTACCACTGGTCGAGAGATGGTGGCGCTTTCAACTGGTTTCTCTTCTAACTAAAAGTTGACTCAATAAATATAAAACTATTTAACACGTACCTACCTACCTGTAACGAACAGGAAACTGATTGGCTTCATCTGGGATATGGTATTGATAAGTAAATGAATTAAAGTAAATTAAAGAGTGAGAAGGTGAGAATGAAAGGGAAAGTATTGAAAACATGTTGGGATTTATAAAGTACTAGCTTTCCGCCCGCAGCTTCGCCCGCGTGGAGTTCGGTTATATCGCGTTTCCAAGAGAACCTTTCAAAAGTCTGGTGTAAAAACTATCCTATGTTCTTTCTCAAGGTCAACTTTAACTCTGAACCAAATTTCATTAAAATCAGTTCAGTGGTTTGGGCTTGAAAGCGTAACAGACAGACAGACAGAGTTACTTTCGCATTTATAATATTATGTAGTAGGGATGGTGTGTGAGTCCTTGCGTGTTGGGTGTGTGTATTGTTATTAAAAAGTTTTTAAGAAAGATCCCATCTTAATGTTGTGTTAAGAAAAGAGCTTGTATCTAAAAAGTATCTCGGCGCAATTAATATCTACTAGTTTGCATTAAATTATATATTGTACATACAAATGTATATTAGAAATTCAAGATAGAAAGTTATAGTCCAGAATTGTTCATTTTATACTTGCCGTAATTATTTTCTCAACAAATTTTAAAATACATAAACTGAAAAATAAAGAATTTTATAAAGGAATATTCAAACAATGTATATAATAGTGAGTGTAGAGGTATATACTCGTATGTTTTTCAAATAGTCTGACCTCATCTAGTAGGGCAACGTATTTGAAGCCACAGTCGTCCAGGTATCTCGTCTCCAGAGCCCGGAGCTGGGCCGCGGCCGGCAACACGCCCGCTCGAGCTAACACGCGGCGGACCTGCGAGCGAGACACGTGGCCGTTGTTGTGTCTGAAGATAAACGATATTATGTATTATTAATAACTTCATGACTCGGGATACGTTCTCATTAGACGCTCGTACGTTTATGTTAGAAATAGTAATAAGCACATTGTTATTTGGGGACTACGCAGATACGTTCCTCAATATATTCAACTAGAAGACCCGGCGAACTCCGTTTCGCTGTATAATCAAGGAATATCTGTTACGTTTTTTTATTCATATTTTTTGAGTTTACCTATTAAAGCCATAAATCTCCGTGTTTTCAAGTGCGACAGAATGATTGACATATTAATTGTTATATCTAATGTTAAAAAAAAAAGTTTATATTAATAACTACTAATAAATTAAAATTGATTAAAAAACCTTTGTCCAGCGGACAAAATTGTGAATCTAAACCATTAACAGATCCCCTTGAACACACACAAAAAATTTCATCAAAATCGGTCCAGTCGTTTGAGAGAACTTCAGTAACATACACACTCACAGAAGAATTATATATATAAAGATATGCTCGACCAAACTTAGCCACTAGACTGTAGGTACCTATAACTGGTCAATTATTTATCTACAGTGAAATGATGAAATATAAATTTGCTTAAGTGGGATTTAATGGAAACAAAATAAGTATGTACATATTTGGCAATTTTCAATTCATAAATATTGTATCCGCACCGGACTTATCTGAGTGAAGTTTGTGTTTAGAAATGTTTAAGAAGGGTAGGTATTGGTTAATAAATATTTAATCTGTATTGATCGAACCGTTCCGTTTAAGGCTTGGCATCCCGGGCACGAGGAGGTGGAGAGAACTTAAGTATTCATTTGGTTAGTATTAATGTGTGCTGATGAAATAAACAATGGTTACTTCTTAAATATTGTTTAAGTTTAATCAACTTATACCAAAACTCTTTTTCTGTACCTAACTCAAAACTTTATATATATAATTCTTCTGTGAGTGTGTATGTCACTGAACTTCTCTCAAATGACTGGACCGATTTTGATGCAATTTTTTGTGTGTGTTCAAGGGGATCTGGGATATCTTTAGATTCACAATTTCGTCCGCTGGACAATATTTTTTTAATTAATTTTTAATTTATTAGTAGTTGTTGATACAAACGTTTTTTTGATATTAGATTTGACAACTAACTAATATGTCAATCATGTAATTAAATATAATAATAATGTAATAGATAAGGAAATAAAAATAGGATAAAAAATGATAATCGATGTTAACAAATTGTAATGTATTATATTAAACTGTAATGTATTAATAGTAATGATAAAATTATGATAAAAATGTGTTTTTAAAATTGTAATAAAAGATATGTATAAATAAAATAGGATAACTGTAAGATAAGTAGAATATATGGAAAAATGTAAGTCAATGTAAAACTGAAAGATAAGAATAAAAGAAAAGATAATTAATAAAGATATCCCCACCGAATCCTAGAAAAATGGTTAAAAGAGTAACAATACACACATAGTTTAAGGGTATATCCCTGGTATGAAAGAAAGAAAAAGTATGCAGAATGAAAGGCCCTAGAGAAAGATAGATCTGGTATGAATGAGAAATAGCTAACAAGGTCTCTGACCGTGTCTGAGGGACTAGGAATAAAAAAAAACATATATGTCAATCTTTCTGTCGCACTTCAAAACACGGAGATTTATGGCTTTAATAGGTAAACTCCAAAAATATAGATAAAAAAACGTAACAGATATTTCTTGATTATAGGGCGATACGAAGTTGGCCGGGTCTTCTAGTTTTATATAAGTATATAACATTGTGATAACTGAAGGTTCCATCAAAAATATTAATTCTGTATTTGTTTTAAAAATAAAAAATGATTTAACTTCCACTAACAGTCTTAACTTCTTCGGCTAAATTTTTATTATTCAGGTTGGAAAATTAAGACATCAATTTAAACGAGTTAGTTAAAATAACCGTGAGATATACTTATTCAGAGTTTTAATACATTTATTACAAAGATTTAAGATATATGTCAATGACAAGCTGATCTTTGTTTGTCTACAGTTATCAGTTATCTCTTCTTAATAGAATATTTTAAAATGAAATTCGTAAACTTATTAACAAACTAAAAAAATATAATTACGCGATGCGTTATAGGTAAGGTATGTATGCGTGAGTTTAGTTGTCGGTGAAAGCTATATCTAATGTATGTATATTTGAAAAATCATAGTCATACTCGTCATGGTCTCCAAACAGTGGCCTCAGGTCAATGGATCGTTCCTGGCAGGCGGCCCGTACCCTCAGCAGGGCAGCCTGCGCCGCGTCCAGCTGCCCCTCCCCCTCCCTCCCCGGCGCGCCGCCCCGGTCGTCCGCGGACCCCGGGGCCGGCAGCTCCGACACCTCCGCAGCAGCCCCCCCCACCACCACCTCCGGGTGCTTCTCTAGCTCCTTGATGGTGAACACTGCGAGTATGACAGACAGTACATATATTACGATAACGATTACATATAGTTTTAAACTTCAACTCAAAATTATAAACTTAGACATTTTGTACTGTCGGCTTTTAGCATTCTATCGATTCCATTGGCTTGTAAGATGTGTGCTAGTTAAGTATCTGGTCACCTTATAAAAAAATTCATATCACAAGGATTGAAAATATTCAAAAGCGTTTCTTGCTGCAATTATCATTTAGATTTAAACTGAACCTTAAAGTTATAATGAGAGGTTAAACTACTTTAGCGTTTGCAGGCTTGAAAACAGAAGAAAAATCTTATCATTAATGTTTCTTTACAAACTTTTACACAACTAAATTGAATGTCCAGATCTTTTGAATATAATTTTATTTCGAATCCCACCAAGAGTTCCTCATTATCCATCAAAACTATTTCAAGTTGCAACGTATAGGACTCATTTAGGTAAAAACTCACCAACACCCAGAATGGCGACGTTATATAATAACATTTCTAAAGAAATAAATGATTTAGACATACATACATATGCCACGACAATTTGGTACAATTTAAGAAAAAAAATTAGCCTTTTTAAAATAATACATTAATAATAATGCTTGCACTACTATAATTATAATTTAAATTAAACTTGGATCTATTTGTCATGTATTAATGAATGATATTATTTATAGACATTTATTATATGATATTTTAAAACTTTGAATTATATTGAAATGTTAAATTGTACTTTCTGTAATAATGTTATTAGTTATGTCAATGTTAGTGATTGTTATTATTGTTTTTTAATTTAAATTTTGATTTACTACAATTTTTATATTTTTCATAATGTGATAGCCTATAACTAAAAGGACATTTAAGTTATTACTAATAGTTATAATGAAATGAATGTAATAATGTTTTCTTTTGTTGGTTATCCAAATAAAATAAGTAAAGAAAAATTATAATATCTCACCCTGGTCGCAGTCGTCCTCAAACGTTCTCCAGCAGACAGCTACAGGATCGTTGGGGCTGGTGTAATGTGCGCACACACAGCGAGCTTCATACTCTGACAACACGGCTTGTAGACCCATAGCGTCCAAGGCGCGGAGAAACTGTTGCGGGGAGATGCGGCCACAGTTCAGTGGATCGTAATCCTACAACAAATAATACATTGTAGTCTTTCTTTATTATTGAGACTAAACTTCACACCATTTCAACCTCGCTAAACGAACCCTAAGAAATTCGGAGACTCGTATCCTTCTCTGCAACACAAACTCCTGCACTCTCATCATGATATCCAGCAGGTGTCGCGGTGGTCGCCTCGGTTCCAGCGCGGGATGGAACACGTCAGTATGTCCGAGTGCTGTCGGCGATATTCCCGCTTCTATCTCGGGTCGAGACAGCTTGGGCAGCGTCGTGTCAATCACCGCTTTCGGATTATTGTAAGCCTGAAACATTACATTATTTTACCAAACTTATTAACGTAAGGTTATTAAATATCAGTGAGTGAATTGTTACCGGTCCAAGTCCCTGTATGCCCTCCTTCTTGACGGCCTCCACAGCTTTCAAGAACTCCACGTAGTCGAGTGTGTACGAGTCCTTGATGAAGCGACGCACGAGGAGGTTGAAGTCCTCGGGAGACACGATCACACCGATGTAGTCGAGGATGCGGGCGAAGTGAGCGAATGTTATACGGCCATCGTTTTTAGCAACCTGGTGTTGGTTTCAGAGAAAACTTTACATTATATTTATTTCTAAAATGTTTAACAAGAGGACATTACTTTTATAGGTATATATTTTTTAATAAACTTTAATTTATATTGTATTATTATTATCGAGTTGCTTGCGGTACTAAAAATTCATCAATATTATTTATTGATTCATTATTTTGTTTTTAAATTGAAGAATAAAATGTTATTTAATATTCTTGATAAATATTCCTCAAACAAAAACTCAAAGAAAAAGCAAACTGTTCTAATGTTGCCAAACATAAAGACTGATGTATATGTAAAAAACTTTCGAAACTAGAAATTAAATGTTTTGAATCCGCTAGCTGTGTTTTAAATAATATAATTTATCTTGTGGTTAGATTATATTAAGTTTAATATGGATTTTTTTTATAATCTAACTTATGAGTGTACAGTGCAGCGGTAAGATTAATTTCTAGCCACAGTTAATGATAGTTATAACATGTTCAGACCAGTTCATAGTCCTGGAAGTAGGGTCTGAGCGGCAGGTCTCTCTGAGCGATGGTAGCCAGCAGACAACACAGACGTCTCATCTGCCACTGGTCCAGCTTGTGACACTCGGGCTCGGGAGGCGGTGGGCACGCCTCTAGTAGACAGTCCGCTGAGGTCTTGTCACGGCCGCCGGCGTCTGTGGAGTATATACGAAAAATACGGTTAAAATCATTTTAGAGAAGATGCTTGAGTTCCTGTTACACAGCTACATTTAATAACTTGAACGAAAGCCACATTTCAAGGATCATTTATTTACAAACTACTTATTTCTATACCGTATTCATTTCTAATATCCCTACTAGTATAACAGGAATGTTGACGTTATTTCATTTTTCTTCTGTTTTAAATTGAGGAATTGTTCGTCGTCTTACAAGTTGTGACCACTATTATTGTTATAAGTTATTAGCCAATTTAACAAATATGTTTTTAATGAGATACAGTAACAGTATCAGTATCTTGTACCGGCAGATAAAATACGCTGAATATTAGATACATAGGTTCTAGGCTCCTTTATATTAAAACCTTTCTTGTAAGAGTTAAGATGTCTGTCTCTTGAAGTGAGGAGAATTTATCAGGATTGTTTTATATAAGGAAGTCTTTTACTGTTTTATTAAAGAATACATATTTCTCCTTTCATAATAAAGTTCCCAACTCTTGAGACGTTTATTTTGAGATAAAGTTAAAGGTTTTTTTTGTTTCCATGTTAATTAATAACTACAGATATGTTGAAATATAACAAGTAATGTGAATGCAAACACGGCAAGTGACAATGATAAACATTACAGAAAAAAGAGGCCAAAAATAAAATGGTTAGATACTCGGAAGCACATTTATTTTGTAAAAAATTTGGGAACATTTGGATTATTATTTATTAACGAGTTATGGATCGTTAATATTACACAAAATATTAAATTATACTTTAATCATATTTTCAATAAGGGAAGTTGAATTGCATGATGTTCTTGTTAGTCTGACATACAGAATTTCTGAAAAAAGTTATAATTATTTTGTATAGGTCATTGTTGATTCAATGAAAATACATATGAAGTAGCCAATGTTATTCCAATGTTTGTTGTTTTATGTGTTAATGTTAGTAACAATATGTTACTAGATGGAAGATTAAAAATCTTTTGTGATCGAAGTCCGGACAAACCAGACCAATCCTCTAACTACTACTTCTAATTAAACTCTGTTAAGTTATAGAAGCTTTATAGAAGCGAAACTATATAATGGCTTGCCTGACGAAGTTTTTGATGAAAAAACGTTTGCGATGTTTAGAATTGGGTTATTGTAGGGAGCAGTTGGATTAACCGCTCTTGAGTTGTATGGTTCCTTGCTACTGTACTGAATTGTTGTTTGAATTGAATTGTGTATTACATCTCATTCAAGTGAACATTGTTCTTTATGAGAAATAAATAAAGTTCTTTAACCACAAGCTTTGTATTTGATGCGTCATTATATAATAATGAAGTGTTATTATAGTCACCCTCTCCGTGTATTATCTGACACAGCTGGTGGTAGAGCACGCGTCCGTCCTGGGCTCGGAAGTAGTCCGCCAGCTGAGAGATCTCCGCCTCCGACAGACCCACCACCGACCTCAGCGGGCCAGCCAGCACCGACACGAACTTGGACTCTACACACATATATAACATATATACACTACGTTAGGACAACTTGCTTTGGACCTACTTCATAGCGAACATGTAGCTATTGAAGATGGAGCGAGTGGCTCGTACTCTCTGCAAATTCATTAGTCTATTTAGCACCGACTAGTAAAATATCCTAACAGTCTCTTTAATATACTTAGTTATATACTGTCGGCTGAGCTCCTCGTCTCCTGGCTATATCACATGTAGGTTCAGTAAACTGGTTCATTACCTGATATGAGTGAGTTCCCCTCGGGATCCAGCGGCCGGTACCAGTCCCATAGGTTGAGTCCCACGCGGAACACCGCCGCGCGGATCTTGTTGCACGTCTTCCATACATCCGCGAGACGTACTATCTTTATATGAAAAACAATTTGTATAAAATTTGATATAGAAATGTCAAATATATATATTTCTAGTTGATAAGCACAAAATATTTTTAATGTGGACGTTAGATCACATGTAAATGGAATAACAACAATACTACCGTATCATGCATCTTGATTTATTATAAAATTTCGTCTTCAAATAGGATTTCCGGAACTCAATTTAGAAATGACACAAAAATCTTGACTTTGAAGGTAACATCAAAAATTTATGAACCGAATGTGTAACTGATAGTGACAGTTTGAAAAGTAACTGTTGCGACGTCCGCGTCGTGTCACATTTGAAAAGAGAAAATAAAAACAAATAATGATGGCCGGAGATCACACAGATACAAATAGTATGTATTTAATTTACACATATGTTTATACAGGGTGACTGGTGAATTACTATCAATATTTAAGGAGCATACTCGGTACATGATTCTCATTCGAATTATGTAAAAAAAATAGGTACTTAATTTTTGACAAAATTTCCGTATAAATAAATAAAGTGTTGACACGTTCCAAGTGTTCCAAGTGTGGACGCGTGCGGCGGCGTGCTGATACAACACCACGCCGCACGCCGCACGCGTGTGTGTGTGTGTGTGTATACCTAATCTGTAGGGTGTTCACACGATGCGTAATTAATTACATAACTTTTGGTTAACTTTACTTAGAAGTTTATTAATATTTATGTTTTATTAATTTTTATTTTGTATATATGATCGTCAAATATCACGTCCTCAAGTATCGATAGTAATTCACCAGTAACCCTGTATATATATAATTCTTCTGTGAGTGTGTATATCACTGAACTTCTCTCAAACGACTGGACCGATTTTGATGAAATTTTTTGTGTGTGTTCAAGGGGATCTGGGAATGGAATAGATTCACAATTTTGTCAGCTGGACAATGTTTTTTTAATTAATTTTTAATTTATTAGTACATAGTTACAAACGTTTTTTTTTGACATTAGATTTGACAACTAACTAATATGTTAATCATTCTGCCGCACTTCAAAACACTGAGATTTATGGCTTTAATAGGTAAACTCAAAAAATATAAATAAAAAACGTAACAGATATTTCTTGATTATAGGGCGATACGTAGTTCGCCGGGTCTTCTAGTAAACATATATAGCTCACTGCTCACATTTGAATCACATCTCTAATGTCCCATGACTTGATAACAAACTCACTAATTGGATTAAATTGTAAAAGATATTTAATTAAAATTGCTAATCAATTTTTAAACGGTATAGCGAGCAAATAAATAGTATCTTTACTATAAACAGACTTAAAACACATCTTAAATCATCCTGGTTGCCATAAGATGTGCTTTCAGGCTCTGGACATGATAGTTTTATACATAAGTACATACAAATACTTTTATACAACAGTCAACACGAGATTTGTTGGAGAATTAATTGTATGGAGAATAAATAGAGAATACAGATTACGGTCGCTCGGGTTGGATAGCGGCGCTGGTAGCTTAATGTTTCGTTTTACTTTTGGTAGATGGCGCTTTAAGGCAGTGCTAATTTACAAATGAAAAATTACATTTGCAGTTGCTTTTATCGGAGTAGTCAATTTTTTTTTATGTGTAGCGCAAGTTAAAATAAGCTTATTTTAGATTTCGTGTTGTATCTATCTTAGAAAAGCTGATGAAAAGAAGTTTTTGACGTAGCTCATAAAGTATGAATCCTGCATAAAATTTTATAGAAAATGATTTGAATTCAATTGTTCAATTCAATTTTGCTATTTTTGTTATTTTATTTTGAAGACTTACCCTGCTTAGAGAAAGAGGAACAAATTTGATCATAAAGCAAAGACGTGTAAATATATGTGTCAGATGTACATATAATATGATAAAATAAAAACCAAACGGTACCACAAACATGTACCGACAGGCCGACTGTTCATTCATTTAATTAAATTTACTTACTGCTTGGTATTACAGAAAGTATTTTCACATTTTTATTTAAGTTATCATTGTTGTGAGACTGATCGAAGTTACAGTTCCTACTGTGTTAATTGTTCTGCCATTAAAAACTGTTTATTTTTTAATGTTTGTATATTACAAGTTAATGATTTCTTTACTTTAGTATTTCGTGAAAAGACTTCCATTCATGTGTTATATAAAATATTAAATCACATGTTATAATATAATTGTTCAGACCAGCATTTGCATATTATTATGTTTACGAGTATTACCTAATTTTATGATCTTTCTGAGTTATGATTTTACTTTTATATTTGACTTTTTTTACAAATTATATAAATTGCGATAATACCGTCAAATGTTCTCAATACGAGGCTAATTAGTATAATTTATAATCATTCTTGTACTCTTATTATGTTTTTTTTGAGTATGCAATATATAACATAACTATATTATGGATTACTTAATTTTAAATATTTTAATGAGATCTGAGATTTCCGCGTCTCTTATTCATTGAAATGAAACTAATATTTTGCGGATATACTACAACCGTGATCACGGTTGCTGTAAAGTAGCCGAAACGTCAGGAGTATGTAGTTTTTATCAAAAATAAAGACGCGCATTAATAGGAAAAATATTAGTTTCATTCAAATATGTTGTTCATTAATTAAATATATTTGTTTGTGTTCCAAATGAAAAAGTAATTTCTTAATGACATGACCTACAAATAAAACATATATTTCGAGATTCTACCCTCCAGCGGTCTATATTTATCGCCACAGACGGTAAAACCATTACTAGCCATCTTCAATCAATTTGTCAATGGAAACAAGGATCGTATCAGTTTGTTACTATTACAATTCCTTATTACAGTATCAAAAGCTGAGCGCGTCGTACAAGTAGCATCGAAGGTTAGAGTCGGGAAAGGGCGAGCGTTCTCAAGAGGAGATGTATAGAGAGCACCGTGTGGGTGTTATCGGCGTCGGTGGATGTCGAGTGGGTGAGTGGGTGTGTGGGTGGCTAGAGGCATGCGCCGTGGAGGTCGGAGGCGACCAATGACGTCAGGGGATCGATCGCGGCTCTCGGGCGAGCGACGAGCGGCGAGCGGCCAGCGGCGGGCGACGGGCGCGCTACACCGTGCTCTCATGGTACAGAGCTGTCAGCCGCGGCACGTGATGTAACGGACAGCAGCGGACAGGAACACCGGTTTGATGTCTAAGGCACGGGACACGCGCGCTCATGTGCGGACTAAGCTTTAGAACCAGGAACAGCCCTTCGCAGAAGACCTCCCTCCGATGGGGCGACAGCTGTGTCAGGCTCGAATGTAACGACTTCCACGGCACACACACCTCTCAGCTTTATAACGAGAGCGAGTGACATAACGGTAGTGTTCAGATCACATATATATATTTTATGATGGATTATTATTATACACGAGTATAGTTCCGGAAGTTATTTGTACTAGCTGGTAGTGAGTGGCCACTGGCAGGTCGAGCGACTCCAGCTGAAGATTCAAGGAGGCTTACATTAACAAGTGAGTACTCGATATATTTATATGGATGTTACCTTAACTGTACATTTCGTTTGTATTAAATCAATAAAAGTCGGTTCTGTGTATTAAAAGCGTTTCTGATGGCTTATAATATTTTACTTAAATACCTATTCAAATTAGAATAAAAATATTGATTTAAATAAATATTGGAAAGGTTTCGTAAGTTTTAATTTTGGCTGTCATTATATATTTAATCGATTTTGGGAATTCATTCATTGATATCAGGTACACTCTGTTGTTTAAGGACCTATTTTCTGAAATGTAAATGTGTGTTGGTTTGTTGTCGATGAAGGAATCCTTCAGGACATCAAGATGATCAACATAGCGGGCGTGATCTCCATCATCCTGTTCTACGTCCTCATCCTGGCCGTGGGGATCTGGGCGGGGCGCAAGAAGCCGCCAGGGAACGACTCCGAGGAAGAGGTCATGCTGGCAGGACGGTCCATTGGATTGTTTGTTGGCATCTTCACTATGACCGGTGAGATGACATCTTTGTTGGTTACATCTAGATAACAATGAGTAGTTGCTTATAACTGACTCCTTTATTAAATTCTTTCATAAAAAGTAATTCGAATTAAACATAAGACTACAATCGACTATAATCACATTAATGACTTTGAAGTATGTATAACAATGACTGTGAGTGACGCGGGGGGGGGGGGGTGTAAACATTCTTTGTATATAATTAATGCGAGCCTTCATTCAGCAACTACCGTTCTTTGTATGTGATGGTAGGTGGTACTATATATTGTTTGTATCAGCGACGTGGGTCGGTGGAGGCTACATCAACGGCACCGCTGAAGCCATCTATACTTCAGGGCTGGTGTGGTGTCAGGCGCCCTTCGGGTACGCCCTGTCACTCGTGTTTGGTAAGAAAATATTTCAACTGTTCAGTAGCAAGACAGCTGGTTACATATTTATAATAAAATATATGAAAAGAGAACCTTACCAATATAAAGAACGTACTTTTGATAGTAATAACATTAAATTAAACTGTAGAACCTTTCATCGTGATCTATATTCATGAAGAGGCATCTTGTACATTAAAAAGTATTGAAATATGTTCGCGAAGGTGTTAGATCTCATTATTGAAATATATTTGTACCGTTACAACCGAATTTCCCCGTAACAAGCGATGTCGAGTGTCGGATGTCAAGTGTCGAGTGTCTCTCCACTTATTAATTGTTCTTAACGAGGCCTCCTCACTAGACACTTTACATACAGCTACAGTCGCTTTCTGCCAAATTATTTTCATATTATTATTTGTTTTACATTAAAGCAATATACGACTACATACTCGCCAAGATATATTTTAGATCTGAAATATTGATTCCTCGCAATTTAACGTCGTATGAAACATAAAAGAACTTCGCAGCGATTCTGAAAATAATGCTCATGTAGGTATATTTTAATCATGCATGCATGCATTAATATTAACTTATTACATTTTTATTGTTAAAGTATCGAGATTCTTATTGAAGTATTCTTAATTTAGATATCGCTGAACAAGGGTCTATTATTGATACGAAATTAATTTATAACTACGAAATATAGGTTACATTATACAAAGACAACATCGTTTTTTTCTCTTTTGTATGAATATAATTACAATAATATGTGAACACATCAATATATCTCGTTATTTCTCCACCAGGCGGTATCTTCTTCGCCAATCCGATGCGTAAGCAGGGCTACGTGACCATGTTGGATCCTCTCCAGGACTCGTTCGGTAGTCGTATGGGAGGTCTGCTCTTCTTGCCCGCACTCTGTGGGGAGGTGTTCTGGGCTGCCGGCATCCTCGCAGCACTTGGTACGTCATCAACTATGCTTTTACGTCATAACAAAACATAATGAACTTGAAGCAAATTATTTTCTTTGTATTTGTTTCCTTAAAAACATCAAGGGGTTCTCATGACGTAACTGGCCAAAAGAGTAAACAAACTACACACAATAAGCTCGACTGTCTATTGTATATAAAGAAAAGTTTCTTAAATACAAAACCATCATCAAAATCTCATTACTTTTAGTGATCATTTCCTATAAAGCTTGTGTGCGTCATTAACTAATAAACACGAAGTTAAACGAATCTTTAATGTCCCTTAACCTTCTGAAGTCATTACAAAATAAAAGTACCTATATATTCAAATCTGAAGTTTCATGCACATGCAATATTCCATTCGTTATGTTTGCGAGAGCAAAGTTTCATTAGAATTCACATTTTATGTAAACATTAATCTTTTCTTCTGACTTTCGTTCACTCCTCGGAAAATTTATTCCTCCATTACAAAGAACATTTGAATGATTTAATGAATTTAGATGAATTATATTCGTAAAAATGAAGTTATATCTTCAATTTATATGAATTAGTGTTTGTATAACACAATATAATCAGATAATAATAATAAGAACATTCATATAATGGTACACTGTCTGGTCGTTACCGTTACCACTAATGTTCAATAATTTGTTATTTATTCTTTAATTATACAATGATAGCTTTTAATTGTAGTTCATCATACAATTACATTGAATGTAAAAATACTCGGTTCATTATTTATTCATTACACGTGTTTGTTATATTTTTATTTCGTGTAATCTAAATGTAATATACATTTCGTTTTTTTCATTCGTTTCGCAAGCTATCGACACATTTTAATATAAATGTAATTAGAATTTCCATACCGAAGACTACAGAAATATAAATCACTGAAACAAAGTTATCATTTAAATAGGAGAAAGATAATATTAATGATTGTTTTTAACAATGTCAAATGTTTCTAATCTGTTCTTCTCATGTTTCATCAATTACTGTAAGCTTGGATGTGGTTGTATGAGTGGTAGTCTCAGGTCGTAGCTCCGCCCGGGGTCAGGTTTCCTTTCACCCTAATTGTAGATATCATTACAACGATTAAATTAATTGCTTCACCAACACCTGATGGCTTACTGTCATTTAACAATAAAATGATGAGCGGTATCGTCTTTTAGTACCTTAATTTTCTCAAGTTTCACACATTTTTTTAAAATAAGTCAAGTAACAAAAACCATATTGCCAATTTAGCGAACGCACACAACATTTTGTGCATACCATTTCATTGATTTTAAAATGACGTATTAAGTTTTTATAAAACTATTTTAAATTCATGAACTTCTAAATCATTATTTGAGTTTGAGAGTCGGAACTCAAAATTCTTGATGAGTGTGTTGTTGTGTTATGGTGTGTTGGTGTGTGTGCAGGCGCCACGCTGGCCGTCATCATCGACATGGACCACCGCACGTCGGTCATCTTCAGCGCCTGCGTGGCCGTGTTCTACACCCTGTTCGGAGGCCTGTACTCCGTGGCCTACACGGACGTCATCCAGTTGTTCTGCATCTTCATCGGCCTCTGGATGTGCATCCCCTTCGCCTGGGCCAACGAACACGTCAAACCTCTCAGCTCTATGGAAGTCGACTGGATAGGAAAGATCGACCCGGAGTATTACTGGTTCTACGTGGACTACGGGTTACTGCTCATCTTTGGAGGGATCCCGTGGCAGGTGAGGGATTCCCTTCTCAACAATGTTTTGAATATTTAAATAATTATTCTTTATAAATTACTACCTGCAGTTCATAGAACTTTTGTAGTTTAATATATATTGTCAGTAAGAAGTGCCATTCTTCCTCAGGTATACTTCCAGCGTGTTCTAAGCAGCAAGACCGCCGGCCGAGCCCAAGTTCTGTCGTACGTGGCAGCTATAGGTTGTATCTTCATGGCCATACCGCCCGTACTTATTGGAGCCATCGCTAAAGGCACCGGTAAATAACAACTCTACGATACCTTAAATATACCAAATATAAAATTTATTTTTTTTGCGTTTTACTAAATAAATGATGAAAATAATTTGTTTGTAGATGATATACGACTTATAAATAATTAATATAACGTTTTAGCCTATAATTGTGGTGTTAGGTAGTTCTTATGTGTTTTTATTCCATCAGCATGGAACGAGACCGAGTACCACGGCCCGTTGACAGCTGACGGTGAGTTAACGTCTGAGCAGACCTCTATGATCCTGCCGCTCGTGCTCCAACACCTCACTCCAGACTTCGTGTCATTCTTCGGTCTGGGCGCCGTCTCAGCGGCTGTCATGTCGTCAGCTGACTCCAGTGTACTCAGCGCGTCCTCTATGTTTGCGAGGTGTGTTTCTTATATTTTTCATTACAGTAGTCCTAATATTCTTCTATTCCAAGTGTTGCTCGTTTGTCTCAGGAACGTGTACAAGTTGATATTCCGTCAGAACGCCTCTGAGATGGAGATCATTTGGGTGATGCGTGTGTCCATACTGGTGGTGGGAGTTCTCTCCACCATCATGGCTCTCACCATCCCTTCTATATACGGCTTGTGGTAAGTTCTAGTTCACCTAATTTCTAACATATAACTTGTCGCCGAATTGGTAAGTACATGAGATGATATTACTTGTAAAGTATTACGCCTACGAAACCAGTTGATAATATTTACGAATATTTAAGAAGTCTTCATATAGAAGTTAGTTTAATTGTTGGTCGCATATAAAGATCCCAAGTTTTATTAAAAATGCCTGTATTTCTTAGAAGATTAAAGAGCATCTTATAACTTAAGTGCCATTAATAAGGAATTACTAGTTTCATTAATAAACAGTTGTAGTTTATGACTAAGTGTCGAGAGAAACAGACAAAAATATTAAACATGAACGTTATGACCTGTGTATTAATTTCTAAAGTATTTACAACCCTCTAAGGAATCTAATTCATTAAGAATGACGTCTCAGGTGTACATGGTTTAGTATTGTTTGTCCAAGTATTAACATTATTGTAAGTGGGTTCTAGTCTGTGAGAGCGGTATTTATATAGGATCTATACGTAGTATGTATGTCAGTCAGGTCGTCAGTTCATGATACACATCGTCTGCTCGTTGACTTCGCAACCTATTGACACACGACGAGCCCTAATCGGATCTCCGCCATTAAAATGTTTTACGACTCATTGTACAGGAACCCTTCTAATGTACTTTATTTCGCAATCTTCTATATATATAAAAATGGATTGCTGTTCCTTAGTCTCGCTAAAACTCGAGAACAGCTGAACGGATTTATCTTATCTTAGTCTTGAAAAGTTCGTGGAGGTTCAGGGAAGGTATAAAAGGTGAAAAAAATTGATTCATTACTGGGAAAACCATAAAAACAGCCCTTTTCTATTTCCCATACAAACGTTTTCGTTGACATTAGATTTGACAACTAACTAATATGTCAATCATTCTGTCGCACTTCAAAACACGGAGATTTATGGCTTACAGGTAAACTCCAAAAATATAAATAAAAAAACGTAATAGATATTTCTTGATTATAGGGCGATACGAAGTTCGCCAGGTCTTCTAGTCTTTGATAAATCTGGAACGTATTATATATTCAAACCGTCCACAGTCCGCGACCTAGTATTGTTCTCTTTAGATGGACCACTTTATAGTATCGTAGCGTATTTGTGGTGGTCGGGGAAGCGATCGGAAATAGATGTACTGGGATCGATTTTCATTATCAGACTATCAGAACAAGGATTACTTCTATCGTTCATGTCTACGGATGATGTCACGAACTACCTCGGACTTACGATTTATTTCATTCATTTTCAATTCATGGTTATATAAGTATTTTATGTGTGTAATATAAAATATAACACAAGAACATATAGATGAATGTACTACAGCTGGTATGGTCGATATTATATGGTTAAAGATGTTTATGAAATACTATTTGGAGTGTTATTATTAAATATTCATTTTAAATTTGATTAAGTCTAATTGCTATGTAATTATTTACATCAAGAAACATAATTTGTATTGTTTATAATGTATCCTTTTAAGTATATTATTACGAAGATGTGTAATTATTTTTCATATTATTTTTACTCACATTTTCAAAGGCACCATGGCTTTATTCTTTTTCTCTGGAACTGTTAACTTTGTTCAAGTTTCTGTCGTCATACTAAATTCAAAGTTTAATTTTCAAATTTTTTATTCCATAATATATGTTAGTATTATAATGTGCGTTATTAATGAAAACTGTTAATTTAGTTAACAATGAGAGCTATGTATCAACAAAGTCTGCGCTGTCACCAGTGTCGGTAGTAACTTGTCTCAGTGGAAGTAATATTACATATTGTATAGCAATAATACAATATTATATAACGTCAGAGAACGATTATGTGTATTGTAATATATATAAACACAAATATTCTTAAACATGAGGAAGGAAATAATATAATAGCTAGTTATTCGTTGTGAAGACTAAGCTTATGTCATTAAGTATCTCTGAGTGTTAAACATTTTAATCAATTAAAAATTATAAAAAGCAAACATACATTGTGTGTATCATGGAAAGAACATTTACAATGACGTAAAGACATCTTATTAACAAAACTATTTTAATACAGAGCTAGATATATTTTTTTATTGAACTCTCGTCGCTTCAAGTTTACAGTGTAAGGTAGCTGGTAGCTGGTAGGTCAAACGTTACTTTTACTTTCGTTGAATCAATACTCAGACTCGTCCGATGGACACATAAACCTTCATCGAGAATTACACAGTCTGCTACTTTAACAGTATAAATGTTTTAAATTTATTTAAAGTTAACAAATTTAAGATATACTATGTTATTAAATGCAGTGGCTGTATTTATATATCATATAAAGAATTAACAATACTCTTCAAATTTCAACAGATGAAGTTTTTATAATTAGGTTCTCCCAACAATTATATTATGTTTGTAATATTTAGTATTTCTATAGTTTTTATATTAAAGTTAATATTTGATTTCTTTGTTAGCGTGTGATACACTTGACATATATTGTGTTTATCTGAGTAGTATATTAAAAGTTCTTGATCATAAAGTTTACTATTATTAACGGTCAATTCATGAAAACTAAATGTTTACTATAATTACATGTATATTAATACACTCTCTGGTAAATATTCCCTTCGTCATAGTCCACGTGTTGTGTCCAGGTCGATGTGTTCGGACCTGGTGTACGTGATCCTGTTCCCCCAACTGTTGATGGTGGTTCACTTCAAGCATCACTGTAACACGTACGGCTCGCTGGCGGCCTACATCGTCGCTTTAATGGTCCGCCTGTCTGGTGGTGAGAAGCTCCTGGGTCTGCCCGCTCTCATCCACTACCCTGGCTGGGATGAGGTCAACGAGGTGCAGCTGTTCCCATTCAGAACACTAGCTATGGTGCTGTCACTATTCACACTGGCGTTCATCTCCTGGCTATCCGTGTGAGTTAACATTATATTTCTACCTATATATACCTTTCTTTTTTTATATTTTATCTGTTAATCGATGTCTATTTTCGTCGTGTTTTCATCGATCGGACCAAACGTCCCGGTGAATAATGTATCTGACCCGTCCTATGACCATTCCTGTATTTTTAAACCAGGTCACCCGCTGATGAATTCATTAACTTGATATGTAACAGAATGACAGTCCAAGGTCTCTCGGCCCTTCGACAGTTGAAGAGCATCTCTAGAGTGCTTGTAACTTTATAGAAATATATAGCTCAGTTGTACGAGCAAGAAGCTGTGTAGACACAAATATAAAATACTTAAACATTTTGAATTTTTGCCGAAGAATAAAATATATGTATGTTTTCTATAAATTTTTGTCAATGCGAAAAAATCCTGACAACAATTTTGCACTTCTGAAATTTCTTTTTAAGCACATCGTAAACTTTCATAATGATAGATCAATAAGAACAAAACAATCAACTGAATTCATGTAACTTTCGTAATTACGTTGATGCTCCGCTCTTGAAACTCTTGAGGGCTGTCAAATATGTATTTAATCACAATGAGACGAATTGCCTTTCGTGGTATCAATAAAATATTACTTTCACATTAGCTAGATAAAACGAAATAATGATGTGACGGTGTGTCGATGTAGTGAGTTGTTGTTTATTGGTTTTTATGCCAAAACTAGTCTGATTTAATAAATTATAATTAAATCTGCATTTTTTGTGATTGAAGTAAACTGTTCGATAGATATCAGCGCAAACTGATATGAAAAATATATAAAGTATCGTCATCACATGGACTATCAAAGAATGTTTATATATTTCCATTGTCATTAAAATTTAAAACTAATATCTGGTCCACAGGTTCTTGTTCAACTCCGGTTACTTGAGTCCTGAATCTGATTACTTTAACTGCGTCGTGAACATCCCCGAGGACATCAGGAGAGTGGACGAGCCGTCCGAGGCCGGGGAACAGATGTCTGTGTTGGGAGGAGTTCCCGGACGACTGTATGGAGCTGCGTCCACACTCGTGGGCCCGGACGAGAAGTCAGGAAGGATCAACCCGGCCCTGGAACCCGACGACGACGACCTGGACGACCCCAACGACGGACCCACGCCGCTCTTTGGAACCAGCAGCGCGCCCCCGCCCGTCCAACCGTTCGGAAAACAGACGGCTTTCTGAGACGACTACTACTACTACTAGTTCTCGACATTGATTTGGCTAGGAATGTTTTATTTTCATAGTGACCCGGATAGGATGATCGGTTCAGTGCTTGAACTCTTATCGACTGCAACGAACAGAATCGAGTTTCTAGATTAGTAGACTCAAATAATACATATCAAATATATGTTAATCTTCCGATGCACGACTATGTATCGTACAGCACCTCTGTTGACTTAGATCGGGAGGAGAACGAGGAAAGGTAATACATTTAGGAGAGTTTATTTTGTAGCGATGAATTATGATGTGTATTTATATTAATGTGTAAGTAACTATAACGAAACGCAGACATATCAAGTAATGTGAAACTGTATTTATTATATATTTGTTGTTAGATACTTACTTATATAACATTATTTACATTTAAAGATTCCTTATTTAAGTCAATTAATGTAGGAAGATGTGCACGAATTATATTAGAGGACTGCGCAAGCTTGAGACACGAGCAGTCGAACTAGCGACCAAGAAGAGAGGATATACTAAAAGTAATCAGATACATATCAATATGCTTTAAAAGCAATAAAATTATTATAAACGATACCTGCATTGATTGAAATTATTAAATATTATGCTTCTATTAGATATTTTAAATATGTACAAATTCTATTTTAAAATGTTTGCGAGTTATACAAGTTATTTTCTTAGCCTCTAGTTATAATTGAGAGCATTTACCGTTTTTATAAAATTCCAGTCAGTTTTATAGTCGGTCTGTGAGACCTCGGGGTTGAGGTCGAGTAGGAGCCATACACTGCGCAGTGCTCACTCAGATTAAAACTGAAAGGGGCTTCATAAAATCAGCCGATTGAGTTTAAACAGACTTCATATAACAATTACATATATTATTACATAAGAGTCGGAAGGAAGATCACTAGAGTGAGTGACGTAACATGTGACGGTCGAAACGTTATGTCCTAATAATAAATGTAGTTTCGTCTGTTCCACCGTTGTATTGAACGTGTCTGTCTTCCTCGCACCACTCACTGTCACTCTATTCCGCTGATGTTATGAGTAAGCCTTCGATGTCGTAGTTTAGATGTGTGCCCGTCGGCTGAGGGACGGACGCTGTGTTTATAAAGTGTTTTAACCCCTTTGTACTCGATACTGTGAAGGTACAGCTTCGACTTTACATGCATTACTCGTTTAGCGTCGTATAATCGTATACCTTATTGTGATACATTCACCTGCCTGCTGTCCTACGCGAAGACTCCTTGAGACATATCATTGTGAATTATTGTATTAAATGTACATCGCATATAACTAGTTGTTAGTGAAACTGATACATATCAAATATATATAAGGTAGTGTTAGATTAATGTTGTTGTTTTCTGCGGCGGACCTCCAGCTCGATGACAGATATAAAGAACTTACAAAGACGGTACAAGAACCACACAGAGTCTGTGTTACATCACACACCTTCATCACAAGTACAGAATCAGTCCACTTGAGTGATATGAGCTCTGTAAACTTCATACAACATATCTGTCTCGGGCTGGACGCCGCTGTACCACTGTTAGGTGTAGTTATGTCTACTATTGACTTATTCCTAGTTCTTGTTGAATATTTGAAATGTGTAAATTGTGTAATGTTGTGACTCTGCAGTATCCCTGCGACCTAAATAAAACGTATAGTATGTTGAAATGATTGTTTTGTTTCTGTGTCGTCCTTCCTCTCTTTATATGTATTTATTAGAACAAGAAGCTATACAATTTATTGACATAAATAATAGATAAATTAATTTAAAACTCAAGATATAAGAATGAAAAGAAAACACAGAGAATATTATTTACAAATTAAATTTGTATAAAATTGTCTTTTCCTTATACTTAATTTTGTACATTTTTATTACAAGTTAAATATCACTTATACATTACAATGTTACTTTGAGTTCAGCTTTGGAATTAATAATATTGTTATACAAAGAATATATAATGACAGACGTGGAGGAGATCTGAGACGTGATGTTAACAGTAGGTGCAGGAACAGTAAGGACTGTAATAATGATCAAGTAGGGAAAACATTCTTATGACGGTGACTCGACCAAAGCTGAAGAGATACTATAAATATATTAATACACATAGCCGCCGCTGGCGTCGTATTCCTGGCTGATGGTGGCGGGCACCCCACTGGAGTAGCCTCCCGACCCGGAGCCGTGACCTCCACCCGAGCCTCCGGAACTGTATCCTCCTCCTGAACTATAGCCGCCTCCGGAGCTATATCCTCCAGAGCCTCCTGAGCTGTACCCGCCTCCGGATCCGTGGCCACCTCCTGAACTGTATCCGCCTGAAGAACCATGTCCTCCTCCGGAACTGTATCCACCAGATCCTCCTGAACTATATCCGCCTGAGGAACCGTGTCCTCCTCCGGAGCTATACCCACCAGATCCTCCTGAACTGTAACCACCTCCGGAACTGTATCCACCCGAACCTCCTGAGCTGTAACTGCTGCTGGACCCGTGTCCACCGCCCGAACTATATCCGCCTGAGGAGCCGTGTCCACCTCCGGAGCTGTATCCACCGGATCCCCCTGAAGAGTATCCACCTCCTGATGAGCCGTGACCGCCGCCAATACTAGGAGCGCCGTATGAAGGAGATGGAGCGCCGTAGCTACTTGAGGGAGCGCTTGCGCCGAAACCGCTGCTACCAAAACCTGAACCTCCAAAACCACTGCTGCCAAAACTTGAGCCTCCGAAGCCACTGCTGCCGTGTCCTGAATCACCGGACGGAGCTCCATAAGAAGGTGATGGAATCGGAGCACCGTACGAGTCGGATGGAGAGGGCGCGCCGTAGGAGCTCGATAGACTTCCGGAACCAGAAGAACCGAACGAGGGAGCGCCGTAAGACGGAGAAGGAGCACCATATGACGATGAGATACCACCTGCTCCAGAACCGAAGGAACCACCGCCGTGACCACCGGAGCCCGACGAACCGAAAGATGGAGCTCCGTAGCTAGGTGAAGGGACGCCATATGATGACGAAATGCTTCCACCTCCCGACGAGCCGCCGTGACCGCCTCCGTGACCGCCGCCGTGTCCACCGCCGTGTCCTCCTGATCCATGTGAAGGAGCACCGTATGAAGGAGATGGGGCGCCGTACGAAGAAGAGATGCCGCCTCCTGAACCGAAACCACCACCGTGTCCACCAGAACTAAATGAACCTCCTGATCCGAAGCCACCGCCATGGCCTCCTGAACCCTTTCCGGGCGCTCCATATACACTGGAGGGACCCGTGGGTACTCCATAACTGGTTGATGGAGGACGGGGAACTCCGTACGAGGGTTTCGGTACCCCGTAACTTGACGAAGGTCGGGATGGTACTCCGTAGGAACTGGAAGGCTTCGATGGTGGTCCGTACTTTGAGGATGGTCGGGGAGGACCGTAGGACGGAGAAGGCTTCGACGGCGGCCCGTATGAACTGAGAGGAGCTGCGGACAATGATTAGGACGCATTTAGATGGCTTACAGTTACAGTTTAATTTTTCAAATTCACAGTCAAATGAATTTCATTTATAGTAGTACTTCAATGACGTAATGATAAAATTTATACGGAGATGAGATGATTTTTAAAGTTATGTAACAGTCAGAAGCTATAAAAAAATCTAAGACTGTGGTTTCTCAATCCGAACATGTGCATAGTAATAGTTCACTTGGGAAAATTCACACCGTCTCTACATACGGAGTGATTCGTATGTACGAAACATTGTGAGATATGTCGTGTGTAATTAATATGTTAGACGAAATACGTACAGGCACAAGTAATACATGTGACTACAATATGTAATTAATGTGTTTAGATAAACAGAAAACTAATGTAATGTGTGTCAAGTCACCTTCTCTCTTTCGTTGTTTCGGCGTGGCCGCAGCCACCGTCACTGCCATCAGGACTGCTAGCATCTGAAATATAATAAATCTTGTATAGTATAAGAGATAGTTTAGTTAATCTTTTCCTCTTAATATTCTCGATGCTTCATAATGTAACAATCATTATTCTGCTGGCGTCTGTATGTTTATTTAAATAGTAGATTGTTTCGCGCGCTCGTCTCTCAGACTCACTGCTCGGTCAATGTTACATAGATTTTACTATGTTACTTCATTCACAGATAAATATTTCAAGTTTTCTTTAATTTGATGTATTTCTAATGAAATATTAATTTTACCGAAAATATATGATATTGTTCGATGATATGAGATACAAAGACTATACATATTTCCTGTCAGTAAGCCTTCGATTATAATTTTGTTTTTTTTACGGAAAAATGCTTTTAGAAATTTTATTACTATGAAACTTATTTCATTATCATGAGTTATGATATACAAACACAATCAATCTCTCAACTCTTATATGCATATAAAGCAAAAGTTTATTCAATGTTGTTATGAAAACTTTTTGAAAAACATTTTACTAAAACTAATTTAAATGACTTGGCATGATAGTATGAGCGAGATTTGAAGTGAAACTGTTCAAGTATTCCCAGTGTATTATTATTCTAGAGACGCTTCATAGTAATGGAGGACGAGTGAAAACATTTTATCCGATAATCGAAGATTTGAAGATGTTTAGATGTTTGGTAGTCAGAGGACGTGTCCGGGGCAGCGGACACAGAAACTAACAGAAGATTTATTGTGTCTAGGAGAAAGTCAGCTTGAGATTTAAGAGCGGAGGATGACAACACATACTGATATATATAAAGGAAAGTGGTAGAATATATTTAAACATCCGGAGTATAAAATAAATAAAAAAATATTGGAACATGGTTTTAGAACGTCACCCTCGCAACACGAAAGAGTTTCAACATTCTTTTGGGTAATTAAGATAATTCATATATGAGAATATATTTTTTATTACAGATATTTAAAGATTGTATAAGATAACAAAATTTATTCAATAATGTGGTACTCATTATAAATCTGTGGATGTGTTAATGTAAATAGAAGTATAATAAAATATGCAAATTTTCCTATTATATATGACGATTCATTTACAATAGTATTGTTCCTCCCTCACCTAATACCCTATAAGCCTCACACCATACATCGCTACCCTCACGATATGGTAATATAATTCAACAACAATAACAGATTTATTATTATTCAAAAACTATACAATTCTTTTTATTTTATTTAAGTACTTTAATGGGTGTCTTTGTTTTCGTGGGAGTGTTTAAGGAACAGTTGACCTATAATCAAATATTCTATATAATTATATTTTATAACATATGAAACAGTTTATTGTTCTATCGTTTGTGAGTAAAGACACAATCAGAACATTGTTCACACTCGTAAGAGGTCGGCGAATACAAAAGGATTTGACAATAAGATAACAGATAAGAGAGGATCCTTCTCACGAGAACATGAGGGAGCACCATGGGAACAGATGAGAACATTAAGGCGAACTAAATAGTTAAGATTTTCATAACAATGTTGTATTAAACATCATTGGAACAGTTTTGTATGTATGTTAACTAAACTCTTATTATTAACTGAAAATTTCATTATAATTTTCCCTCCACGTAATGAGTTTTTATTCTATATCCTCTTTAATCTATTTCAATTAGTTTCAAGTGATATAGTATTTTGATATCTGTTACGTAAACTAAAAGTAGTAGTGCGACAAATTTTCTAACATATATTAAATCCATCTTTAATCCATCTCACGAGATGAAAATAATCCCACGGTTATAATGATGTTGAAGTGAAGTGAAGTTAAGATCAAGTTTTTACGAACGTAGGAACTGTATTGCGGAACTGAACAATGACTTCAGACTTTCCAATACATGATGAATAGATTTCCTAATGTCATTCGTATACTTATAAATCACCGTCAAATAAACGACACTTACTTCGCTTAACTTATATAACAACGTCATATTTTAACTGTTTTTATAAGTAATATTTGGCTTAGAACAGATTCAACCAAGAAGGTAAATCCGCTGAGAGGTCAACTACATAGTATAATTCATGGTTTCTTGTTAAGAGTACTAACTAAATCATTTAATTACCCTATTAATAATTTAAACAGAACGTACTCGTTTCTATGTTCATATGTTAATATATTGTAATGTTAAATTCATGTGATATAACAGTCTTCACGTGCGCGCTTAGCGAAAGTAAAAGTGGGTCTAATGTTTAACGGACTTTATTGACTACATACATCGACGGTTCACATAGAAAACATTGACGAGCGCCGGTACAGAGCGAGCAATGTAATGCAATATGAATTATGTTTCACGAGTTGCATAATAATATCGTTATAAGAGCGATTGAGCCGCGAACTATGACCCGGAGTTTTTGTGTTTTTTGTTGAATGTATGTATGTGTGTGTGTGCGTGTGTGTGTGGAGAACTTTCGCATTAGAAGATTACCTATTGAGATTAAGATTGTTATGGAACATGTGACGGAATGTACAGTCGGTGTTTTGTATAACATTGTAAATATAGAATTATATAGGAGTTTAGGACCTACATAAGTAAATAACTAGAATAAATACATGAAGCTAATGATAATGAAAATAAACTAAAGAGTTCAGACACGGCAATAGTTACTAAGGGAAGTTTTACTGAAGAAGAATGATCTTCAGACGAATTAGTAAACTGCAGCTACTTTTACATGTTGAACAATTTTTTTCTAAGTTAAAGTTAAGGAGATGTGTGAATTATAAAATGTTCAAAAATTACGTTGGTTGCTGTTGGTTCAAAATAAAATGTGAGAATATGTAAAAGCAAAGGAATATTCAGATGTAGGGAGAATAACGTGTTATATTTCCTAGTTTGATGTGTTCAGACGAGATCAGATCTCAAGTGACGTGATGACTGATGGATGTGTGGGGCCGAGAATTGAATTGTTCAGTAGCGATACAACTTACTTTTATAAAATATTTATAAATATACGGAAAAGATTTCATTTTCGAAATGTTTGTTCTCAAAAAACTTTACTTTTTGTACCTTTTATCATGTTAATAGTATCTAAATGATTTTCGCCACATTTCTAATAAGTATCCGAAAAAGAAATTTCATTATTAGAGATGATAAGTTCTTAGGAAGGTATAATTTTGTTTTTCATTAAAAATTTGTACTCTTTTGTGAAACATAACCGTAATATATTTAGTTAATATAAAAGCAGAGTGTACTGTGTTGTTGTCTGTACGTCTGTCACATCGAGTCAGGGTCGGGGGATCGGATTAGTGTCAGCATGAAGATGAGGAGGTCTGAATACATCACCGGGGACTCACACAGGGGCCACACACGAGAGAAGAACTTGTTAAGGGAAATTCTTATAGTTTTGATACTACCAATATAGTATTATAGATAATATAAAGAAGAATCCAAAGAATCTTAATTGTTATAGATCTACTGACTGTAATTAACATGTTATTCATTGTCGTGTATATGTATGTCGCGGTGTACGTGGCTCGTGACGTCACCAGCCGGACCGGAAGCAGCTCCGCGACCTTCACCTTCTCTGAACTTTCCCTCAACATCTCTCAGATGTAACGCACCGTCTCTTCATTATTCACTAATAGAAGGATGATTGTGATCTTCGTTATGTAACAGTCTCTTTGAGCGCCGTCATTATTGTAATGAAAGTATTATAACTGTTATAACATCTCTCATCTCTCGTCTCCTCTACCTCCCCGTCAGCGTCACCTCAGCCTCATATCGCACGGCGTCATTGTGACGTAACACGTCAGTGACGTAACTCATTGTTTAGTGACGCCGGCCCGCGGTCTGACACTCTCATGTTTATTTAGTAACGTGTGACACAATTTTCATATGTTCATTTTCCTCTATATATTATAAATGGAGGTTCGATGGGTTTGGAAAGTTTTGAAGATGCACTTTGATCTTACGGATATACAGAGAAAAAGGTAAACTGATGGACATCTAGTATGCCTCAACGACTTAGAAAGTTTAAAATTTAAAATGTTTTCCCTTAACTCAAGTAAACTTATTATAATAGTCCCGTTGACATCGATTATAACTTAATGGTTCAATTTATTTGTCGTACAAACCAGATTTCGCATTACCCATTAACATCTTCAATAAGGAACGCCTTGACACTGTTAAACCGTTTCCAAAAAAGACTAAGAAAAATGAGAATAATGTAACATGTTTAATGTTTATTTTACATAATTGTTAGTGTGAGTTAATGAATAATGTTTACTGCAGTCATCACCGGACCGCGGATCACTTTTGAGAGTAAGTAATTAATGTAAGTGAAAATCACTCTCGATGTTATGAAATATTTTTATAGTTATTTAAGACGATTCAGATTTTAATCAACTCCAAAACTGTATAAAATTTATTGTAACATTGTTTTTTATATAATTACTATACATGTGTGTTTATTTGAATCGTAATAATCATATTAAAACTCATATTATTGATGTAATTAAATTTCAAGTGAATGTTGCTTTTTACGATTTATCATTAAAATATACTAAATGCATTTGTAACCCGGAAACAGAGGATGTGAAGCTGAATTAAAATTAATTAGAAAATGTTCGTACAGTCTGATAATGAATTGAAAGTGTTCGCCCGCATGGCGGTCCATGGCGGGAGAGAGTCACTCAGATAATGTTGACATTATATATAGATCATATGAAGATATGTATTGAATATGACACTTACCATCAGTTTGTGGTGCCCCATCTTGACGAACAGCTTACACCTCACCTCACTTCTGTAAAATACAAAATATAACAATGTATTCTCCTTAATACATAATTTCTATATTTTTTTTCTTTAGTAAAGTTATTACACTGCGTTTATGTGCTGAAAAATCTTGAATAATGTACCGGTAAATTTGTGATTAAAATTTAACTCACCAGTTACTTCTGAGATATAAACTCACTTATTATTTTTACACAAAACCTTTTTTTTTGTATTATTTAAGTAATTTTGAAAAGCTCCACGAATTCGCGGCAAAGCACTGTGTTATTTGCGCCTGCGCATCTTCTCTATATACGTGAACCTCCCCGCTCCCCCCTCTGCCCCTCCTTTTCCCTCCCTCAAACAGTCTCGGAGCACATTTTTGGTGTAATCATATAATTTGTTTACAATACAACATCTAGACATCGAGAGTGAGACCCGTCTCTATGGTCCTCTTGAACAATTATTTTTATTTTATTTATTTACTTTTACTTTCATTACTTATGAAAACAATTTAATCAATTTACATTTAATTTAGTTAATTTTTAATTTTCTTATCGTTTTGTTTTAATTATTTTTGGGAATTCATGTGACAGGATCAAAGGAATTGGATTATGACCATCCATCTCGGCTCGTATTTTCAATAAAATTGAAATGAATTGTTTTGTTATAAATAACATCATAAATATATTTTTCATAAACACATTAAATATAAATTTTACAGAAGATATGAATACTATGAAAATTAAAAAGTTTTAATGAATGCTGTTAATTAGATTCTTTTTAAAATGAGAGGCTTCGAAATTAATCGTGAATTATATGTTGAAGCTACAAGTTCTGTATCGTTGTGAAGAACAGCTGTGTACAGGAGTTTAACAGATAAGAATAATAATGACAGTCAGCGATACACATGGTATAAGGTAACATGATAATAGTTACAGGTCAATATTTTAACTGAAACTTTGATTTAGTACAGCGGCGTGTTGTTTGATGAAAATATAGTCGGTTAATGTAATTTAAGTACTATAACTATCTAAATTTAAGAATTATGTTAGTAGTTTAGTTGTTTATTTGTCCAAAATACAAACATACACACTCACATCCAAGAGAAAGAGCTATAGATCACGTAATTAGGATCTCGTTTAAAATATAATAATTGTTTGATATCTTAAGAGAGCTACACAGTACACAAGTAAGTTTATTAAAAGTAAATGCGGAGCTTCTGTACGCCTGTTTGTTGTTAGGAGTTTAGTGTTTTATAAAGGACTCGAGAACAACACGGAGCAGACCAAGAGCTCATTATAACTTCTAGATAACATTGAACATGGAGTGAGGACCGGCTGTTGGGGAATTATAAGTGAAGTAAGGACGGCAACAAGTTAACAACATTACATGAATATAACAGACTACACATTTTCTATTCAAATGTATTTTTGTCTTTTGTTTTTCCCATGTTAGCCCAGTCATATTAGGTGAAAAAAGGGATCAACCTCGGAATAAAAGATAATAAGCTGTAAATTGGTATAAACCTTTGTTTTGTCGTTCTAAATGTTATCTCAAAAGTCACAAATGACATCGTGTCCGTGTATTAAGATATTGAAGGTCAAAGGTCATAAAAATTGGTTTTTCCCGAATATCTCGCGTTCTATTGCTTAAATGATATTTTTATCCATAACAAATGTTGTAGAGTATAACATTCTCTACAATTTTTGTCGTATTTTTTTTTCATACGATCAACCGTTCTTGAGGTAGAGCGCCAAGAGTGCGCAGCGCACAGTCATATATGGTCCAATGCAATGTCAAGCGTGAGTTATGGTTATCAGTACGTTATTAAAATATTATAATTATTAAACAATGCCCATTATTTATGTACTAATTGTTATTTGTTTATATTTTATTAAAATAAGTAACTTAAACAAGAAAATTGCCCGGTACAAACATTATTTGAAAATGGTTACGGAATGACTTAGAACCTCAAGAATGAGCTGGATGCTTGAAAATGGAATCCTGGAACCCATAAGAACGTTATTACCTCCAGCACCAACCGAACTACTAAATATACAATTTTGCAATTACAAAAATGTTTGTGGTTCCCGCTGAGGATGCAGAAAATCAGGGCTGTTATGTTGTTTAGCTTGTGGCCAGTACAATGGACAAGCTAGCCTGAACGCTTCACTATATCCAAGTAATCCCGATGAAGAAAGAGATCAGAACAGATTCTGAAATTCTGGAAGGTTTGGAGATGAATATTGAAGATAATGAGAATGATGACAATGAAATGAACGTTTTCGAGCGACGAAGCGTAAAGTTGTAACTTTTGTTATGGATAAAAATATAATTTAAGCAATAGAACGCGAGATATTCGGGAAAAACCAATTTTTATGACCTTTGACCGTCAATATCTTAAGACGCGGACACGATATCATTTGTGACTTTTGATACAACATTTAGAACGACAAAACAAAGGTTTATACCAATTTACAGCTTATTACCTTTCATTCCGAGGTGAAACCCCTAAAATGACTGGGCTATATATACAATTTATTTCCCATATAAATATAGAGATGTTGTTCCGTGATTTTTTTATCATAAACAAATTAGTAAAATGTTCGTCTATGGGTTTTATATACATGCCTTTAAATTCTATAAAATTTTCCAAAGTTTAAGTGTTCGGTTTTAAACAAAAAGTTTTGTTGTTATAATAAATTCATTGACGTTTATAATTTCTTTTGGATTTAAAGAAACCTACATAATCTGTAGGACTTCATTTATAAATACGGAATTATTTCAGTTTCTTTGTATTACATTTACGTATAGAAACGAAATGCAATTAGTTTGTTAATTTATTTATCAATAAGTAAACAGCGTGAGTTAAAGTTGGCGGCAGGAGGTCTTTCTCTCGTCAGGAGTCTGCACTTGACATTTGATCGACCCACGTCGAACATAATCACTGATATAAGGAAGTACGAAAACATTAAATATTCAGCAAACGTGGAATATATGTATTATTATCAATTAAGATATGTGCCTTGTAAATTATTAAACTATATCATATCAATGAAACAGTGTCAAAATAAATCAAAATTAATTTACAATAAGGAAACTCAACCTATAAACTATAATTGTTTTTAGGCGACTCGATATATTTGTAAAATCAATTAATTTAAAACAAAATAAAATCAAACGCGTCCATCTTTTTATTATTTATGAAGTCGTGAATGGAATGCGAATTAATGAAACATTCTTGGATGATGTGAGAAGTCTAATATGTTGAAGGTGGAGGGAAGACAGGGAATGCACCAGGACTTTTGCTTTAAATGCTATAACTGGAGTGACTATCATTGTTTTCTTCTTCAATATTTCCCAGGTGGGGGAGATAGTCATACTCTTGGAACTCGCATACAGAATATTATGTATAGAACATATTAAAGCTGCATTTCATGCTGTAAATAAGACTTCCTACGATGCTTTTTTCTGTCATTGTTCTTTCAACATCCTTATAATTCACGAAGCGGGAATATATCTTGAGCTCTATCTTCAACGTCTTGCTCTCAGTTTCAGAAGTTATTTAAGTATATTAATTTAATTATTTTCATTCATCTTCACCGACCAGGACCGTGCCAGATGTCCTCATGTTCACCTCCTACTGCTCATGAATCATATTCTTTATTACATTTTTTTCACCACAAACGTTTCTCCAAAAGTGGAAATGTCAATTAATAAAGTTATCATTACGCCTTCATTGTATATAAAAGCTCACTTTTTGTTTCTGTATATTGATACTAGCTGTGGTTTGTTTGTTTTTCCAGTTGAGCTGATATGAAAAAGGACCTTTCAAAATTAAAGAGCCTTTAAGGGAACTTTAAACGGATTTATATTTAAAAAAAGTATTGATGATATATAAAAATTCTTTTTCAATTGCGAAGGCATTCAAATGTAAATAATTTGCTTTAAATTTCAAAACACACAATATAAACTCATATAATTCAGGTTATTAAATAATATTTATTTTTTAGAACACTTCAATCTTATATTACGAAATAGAATGAAAA